ACTCAGAATAGATCTAGAAATCGTTTAAGGTACTCCGCTTGAGAATCGGATCAAAATTGTCCAAGATATAGCCTCCGAACTAGGTCAAAGTTGGTCTTCCTAGGCAGATGCCCATTTTTGAAGGGAGCCCCCTAGAAAAATTGGAAAAAATCGGATCGAAAATTTTGTTTCTAGGTTTTGATGCAGATTTACTCAGAATGGATCTAGAAATCGTTTAAGGTACTCCGCTTGAGAATCGGATCAAAATTGTCCAAGATATCGCCTCCGCAAGGGGTCAAAGTTGGTCTTCCTAGGCAGATGCCCATTTTTGAAGGGAGCCCCCTAGAAAAATTTGAAAAAATGGGATCCAAAATGTTGTTTGTAGGTTTTGATGCAGATTTACTCAGAATAGATCTAGAAATCGTTTAAGGTACTCCGCTTGAGAATCGGATCAAAATTGTCCAAGATATAGCCTCCGAACTAGGTCAAAGTTGGTCTTCCTAGGCAGATGCCCATTTTTGAAGGGAGCCCCCTAGAAAAATTGGAAAAAATCGGATCGAAAATTTTGTTTCTAGGTTTTGATGCAGATTTACTCAGAATGGATCTAGAAATCGTTTAAGGTACTCCGCTTGAGAATCGGATCAAAATTGTCCAAGATATCGCCTCCGCAAGGGGTCAAAGTTGGTCTTCCTAGGCAGATGCCCATTTTTGAAGGGAGCCCCCTAGAAAAATATTAAAAAATCGGATCCAAAATGTTGTTTGTAGGTTTTGATGCAGATTTACTCAGAATAGATCTAGAAATCGTTTAAGGTACTCCGCTTGAGAATCGGATTAAAATTTTCCAAGATATAGTCTCCGCAGGGGGTCAAAGTTGGTCTTCCTACAAAGATGGCCATTTTGAAGGGAGCCCCCTAGAAAAATTTGAAAAAATCGGATCGAAAATTTTGTTTCTAGGTTTTGATGCCAATTTACTCAGAATAGATCTAGAAATCGTTTAAGGTACTCCGCTTGAGAATCGGATCAAAATTGTCCAAGATATAGCCTCTGCAAGGGGTCAAAGTTGGTTTTCCTAGGCAGATGCCCATTTTTGAAAGGAGCCCCCTAGAAAAATTTGAAAAAATCAGATCGAAAATTTTGTTTCTAGGTTTTGATGCCGATTTACTCAGAATAGATCTAGAAATCGTTTAAGGTACTCCGCTTGAGAATCGGATCAAAATTGTCCAAGATATAGCCTCCGCAAGGGGTCAAAGTTGGTCTTCCTAGGCAGATGCCCATTTTTGAAGGGAGCCCCCTAGAAAAATTGGAAAAAATGGGATCGAAAATTTTGTTTCTAGCTTTTGATCCAGATTTACTCAGAATAGATCTAGAAATCGTTTAAGGTACTCCGCTTGAGAATCGGATCAAAATTGTCCAAGATATAGCCTCCGAACTAGGTCAAAGTTGGTCTTCCTAGGCAGATGCCCATTTTTGAAGGGAGCCCCCTAGAAAAATTTGAAAAAATGGGATCGAAAATTTTGTTTCTAGGTTTTGATGCCGATTTACTCAGAATAGATCTAGAAATCGTTTAAGGTACTCCGCTTGAGAATCGGATCAAAATTGTCCAAGATATAGCCTCCGCAAGGGGTCAAAGTTGGTCTTCCTAGGCAGATGCCCATTTTTGAAGGGAGCCCCCTAGAAAAATTGGAAAAATGGGATCGAAAATTTTGTTTCTAGCTTTTGATCCAGATTTACTCAGAATAGATCTAGAAATCGTTTAAGGTACTCCGCTTGAGAATCGGATCAAAATTGTCCAAGATATAGCCTCCGCAAGGGGTCAAAGTTGGTCTTCCTAGGCAGATGCCCATTTTTGAAGGGAGCCCCCTAGAAAAATTTGAAAAAATGGGATCGAAAATTTTGTTTCTAGGTTTTGATGCAGATTTACTCAGAATAGATCTAGAAATCGTTTAAGGTACTCCGCTTGAGAATCGGATCAAAATTTTCCAAGATATAGCCTCCGCAAGGGGTCAAAGTTGGTCTTCCTAGGCAGATGCCCATTTTTGAAGGGAGCCCCCTAGAAAAATTTGAAAAAATGGGATCGAAAATTTTGTTTCTAGGTTTTGATGCCGATTTACTCAGAATAGATCTAGAAATCGTTTAAGGTACTCCGCTTGAGAATCGGATCAAAATTGTCCAAGATATAGCCTCCGCAAGGGGTCAAAGTTGGTCTTCCTAGGCAGATGCCCATTTTTGAAGGGAGCCCCCTAGAAAAATTGGAAAAAATGGGATCGAAAATTTTGTTTCTAGCTTTTGATCCAGATTTACTCAGAATAGATCTAGAAATCGTTTAAGGTACTCCGCTTGAGAATCGGATCAAAATTGTCCAAGATATAGCCTCCGCAAGGGGTCAAAGTTGGTCTTCCTAGGCAGATGCCCATTTTTGAAGGGAGCCCCCTAGAAAAATTTGAAAAAATCGGACCGAAAATTTTGTTTCTAGGTTTTGATGCAGATTTACTCAGAATAGATCTAGAAATCGTTTAGGGTACTCCGCTTGAGAATCGGTTCAAAATTGTCCAAGATATAGCCTCCGCAAGGGGTTAAAGTCGGTCTTCCTAGGCAGATGCCCATTTTTAAAGGGAGCCCCCTAGAAATATTTGAAAAAATCGGATCGAAAATTTTGTTTTTAGGTTTTAATGCAGATTTATGCAGAACGGATCTAGAAATCGTTTAAGGTACTCCGCTTGAGAATCGGATCTAAATTGTCCAAGATATAGCCTCCGCAAGGGGTCAAAGTTGGTCTTCCTTGGCAGATGCCCATTTTTGAAGGGAGCCCCCTAGAAAAATTTGAAAAAATCGGATCGAAAATTTTGTTTCTAGGTTTTGATGCAGATTTACTCAGAATGGATCTAGAAATCGTTTAAGGTACTCCGCTTGAGAATCGGATCGAAATTGTCCAAGATATAGCCTCCACAAGGGGTCAAGTTTCCAGAACGGATCTAGAAATCGTTTAAGGTACTCCGCTTGAGAATCGGATCTAAATTGTCCAATATATAGCCTCCGCAAGGGGTCAAAGTTGGTCTTCCTTGGCAGATGCCCATTTTTGAAGGGAGCCCCCTAGAAAAATTCGAAAAAATCGGATCGAAAATTTTGTTTCTAGGTTTTGATGCAGATTTACTCAGAATGGATCTAGAAATCGTTTAAGGTACTCCGCTTGAGAATCGGATAAAAATTGTCCAAGATATAGTCTCCGCAAGGGGTCAAAGTTGGTCTTCCTTGGCAGATGCCCATTTTTGAAGGGAGCCCCCTAGAAAAATTTGAAAAAATCGGATCGAAAATTTTGTTACTAGGTTTTGATGCAGATTTACTCAGAATAGATCTAGAAATCGTTTAAGGTACTCCGCTTGGGAATCGGATGAAAATTGTCCAAGATATAGCCTCCGCAAGGGGTCAAAGTTGGAGAATATCAGAATTCGAATGAATTTGTTGTAAAAGTTTATTAGTTACCATATGGCCGTGGAATTTCTGTTTTCTACATATTTTTACGCTGTTCGTGGCTTATTTTTTGGCATTCGATAAGCCAAAAGGCATTTGCATAAAAAAACGCGAAAAATATAAGGGTCACACACTTTCAGCCCGCCAGCTTAGAACTTTCCCTCGAGGCGAAACTTTTGCGGCAAGGCGGGACCGCACCTGTTTTTCAGAGGCAGCCATGTGCCTGCACCTGCACCCGCATCCAAATGCCAAACAGCGCACAGATAATGGGTACCTTTACATGCACAGCGAGAAATTTTTAGGTGGTTTGTGGAAAAATTCAAATTGTAGTCATTGTGGAACTCTTTTGGGTGATGAGGAATACCGCATATATTAGACAAAAATGGCATAGTATAACCAGTCACTGATTTCTTTCAGTGTCTTCTGTGGGTGAGAGCAGGAGAGAGTGTGTAGTGCTTACTCGGTTGCTCTTATTACAGTCCAACTACTCGGAGGCGTGCGTGCAAAATTAACCAAAAAACTAAATTGAGTGGAAACGTTTTGTTTTTGTTTGCAGACTTTGTTTTAGTTTCTTGTTTTAGTTTTTTTTTTCCTAGTCTTATGCTAATTACTGTTGTTAAAGTGAAAACTAGGCATCAGACAGAGCAGTGCGTTCTGCAGTGGGCTTATAAACTTAATTTGATAAATTGCACGATAAGTTCTTGGGTTGGAGTGCGGAGAGCCCTTTCTTTTTGTGCCCTTATAGAGGGCTATTAAGATCAAGCCAATCAGTTTCTCAGACAAACTAGTCTCTTAGTATTTAATCATTAGACTCCCCAGACTTTCCACAAACCATTCATTTTTCTACTAAGAAGTACATCAGATAGATACAGCTCCTAAAGTGTGTATAAACTTCGTCTTCCAGGTGCCTACTCTAGGTAGAGTCTCCTATAATTTCAGTTAGTAATCTTGGCTTTTGAGTAAGATCTTGGCAAAATCAGGCATGCAAAACGTTGCGGGCCATTTACTTAGCCTTAAATTCAGACGCCCCCCAGCCCAGCCCACACTCTGCCATCGTGGTATAGTCACCCAGTGTGCATATCCAAGCAACGTGCCCAGCATACGCAGTCTAGAATTTCCAATGGCAGCCGCTGAATGTGGATCGAGGTTGACAAGTGAAACCGTTTACTTACCATATAGCCCCCGGACTAGGTGGCCCCCCCCGCCAGTGGGACAGGTAGAGAGGCATTCTGGCCATGGCATCGGTCATTGACAGCCGATCGGCCGAACTTTCACTTGGCCCGATCATTAGCATGGCATCATCATCACACAACCATCACCCATCACATCACCCATAGCCCCTCATCATGGTGATCGTCATCCCATTGTTATCATCCGTTGTCTTGATTGTTGAGTAATCCCAACCTAGATCGGATCCGCTGAGGGGGGATCTGATATAACTGATATAACGACAAGCGAAAGTGAGATCGTAACGAGAATCTCAAGAATAGCCACTGAGGAAATGGTTCATAGTCTTAGGAGGTAACAAACCCACAGAGTAGACAGATAGTTTCTTTCTTTTTGGACAGAAAAATAGAGATTGCCGTTTTATTTTATTTGCTTGGCCCAACAACAACAACAAGTTTGATTAATTTTTTAAGATTTCATAGCTAAGAAGCGAGTTTAGATTAAGATCAGCATTCACGAAGGAAAAAAAGAGGATTCAAAATGGCGGCTTCTTGCTGGTGGAGGCCACGGGGTGCTCCTCTACCTTGTCTATGTCCGAGCTGTCGATGGAGAGCTTAGCGGGCGCCATCGCCGGCAGGAGCAGGAACTCGTTGAACAGAAAGTCCGCATCCATGGACTGCGTCTTGCCGTGGTAGCCCCGGATGATGCCCTTCTTGGGTGGCTCGATGAAGCGCTCCTTCACGATCAGAGCTCCCGGCGATGGGGAAGGGGACGGCGACGGCGAGGCGGAAGCCGATGCAGACGCGGAGCAGCAGGTGCTTACGAGGCGGCCCAAGTGGGCTGCTCCCGCCGACGCTTCCCGCTCCACTGGCTCTCCACCCCGGCCGCCTGGTGCGACTGTTCCTCTCTGGTGCTGCGGCGATCCCCCCAGAGCAGCGCTGCTCACGCCGCTCTTCAGGTTGATGCAGCTCTGGGTGTGGCTCACGTTGGAGTAGTCCCCAGTGGCCTGCATGGGCACCCGCTTGAGCGTGTTGCTCTCGAAGGGAAAGTTTGAGTTCGACGTGGACTGCGTGAGATTCTCGAACTTGCGCAGCCGGGCATCCTGCCGCAAATGCTGCGCCGACGGTATGTTGATCGAAGCGTGCAGAGCAGCCGCTCCAGCTCCTCCGCCGGCCACCGAGCCACTGGAATCCGTCTTGTCCGTACCGCTGCCCGCGGTAGTGCCCTCGAAGAGGCTTATCTGTTTCTGGATGCGCGGCGACACCGGATCGTGGGCCCGTCGCACCTGACGCACATGCTCCGGCGACGCCTGGGTGACCACACGGACGGGCAAAGCGAAACCGAAGCGCGGATCGTCGCTGGCCACCTCCGGCGGAGCTTCGGCGTGGCTGGGGCAGCAGTAGCAGGTCTCCAGGTGAGGTTCGCCGTCCGCGGGCAGCGACGGAGTGGTGGCCGCCGACAAAGTGGGGTCCTCGTCGTCCTCAAAGCCCTGAAATCGTGAAAGTTTCACTATCATTATAGTCTTTATCGTTGCGTAGAGTCCACTCACATCCATTGAGAGCGACATGGAGCCCTTGTTGGCCACCATGCTGAGATTCAGATCCATACCGAAGCTGACTGGGGTGAGGCAAGTGCTTCCACTGCCTCCGCCACCGGCTTCCTGCTCTCCAACGCTCAGGAAGAAGCCTCTGCCAAGGGTGTCCTGGTTCAGAGGCTCGAACTGTCCGTCCTCGTCGTGCTCGAACTCGACGTTCTCCATGGTTATCTCCAGGCTGCAGGATGGGGAGTGGCATTACACCTTTGAAAGGGGGATCTGTTCAGTTGACTTACCTGCTCTCCACTTCCGGTGGGAGAGATGAAGCCTCCTCCTGCTCCTCCTCTTCTTTTGGCTTCTCCTCTTCCTTCTCCTCCAACGAATATCTATCCTGTGGCTGCCAAGCTTTTAACCCAAAAAGGGGAAGGACGATCAAGGATGTTAGTTCACAGTCACATGTTAGTTAATAAATGAAATAAAAATCGCAAAATTCAAGATAAAAAGGTTGCGCTCCGGCAATCTTTATTTCGAAACTTCAGAACAAAAGGCTAAAGGACCAAAAATAAATATATATCCACCAAATCTGTACAATCCATAGACATATATGTATGTATAGAAGAAATATGTATAGAGTGAAAAAAAGGTGTGCATTTAGTTTAAATGCTTGGCTCAGTTGAATCCTCTGAAAAACCAAAAGAAAAAATAAATAAATCACTTGGAAAACGAAACTTAAGCATAGGACATGGATTTTCCTCCACCAGGATAAGGACTTTTAATACTTTTCTGGTTAGAAAGTACCGTTTACAACAAATAATAATCATTAAAATCAAATAAAATAATAATAATAATAGACATTCATGATAAGAAAACGTAAACAAATAAATTTAATGAATTCCAACAAGCGTATTATGGATTTGGAATTTTTGCAGCAAGTGGACATAAGGGGATATGGGTTTCCGGGTTCCGTGTCTCTAGTACCAATAGTTATCCGACTTGCGGTAGCACTTACGCTTCGTGCCCGGCTCCTGGTTGGAGGACCGGGGGTCCGCCCTCGACTGGCTATCCAGGGAGCACTGCCTGGCCGAGCTGGACTCGCTGCCGCCGCGTGGCACCTCCGTGGGTGTGGCCGTGGCCGTAGTGCTCGAGGGCGTCACATCGACCAACGTCGGCGGTCGGTGCGTGCCGAGCGTCAGGGAGGAGACCGCCGGCAGGTCGCAAGGTGCCTCAAAGCCCCGCGGCGGTGATCCTGTCGGTGTCTTAAAGATCTGCGCCAGAATCATGTCCTGCAGGAAGCTATCCAGCTTACGTAGGGACAGCGCGTTGTGAAGTGTTTCCAGTGGCCGAATCGGCGGCACATCTCCAAATCCTAAGGGATCAGAGATATTGTTAGTAGGTTCCAGACGATAAAGGATTCTAAATAATTGTTCTAATAGCATTGGCAACCCCACTATTTTGAAGTATTCTAAATGGAATTCCTTTGGAATCCGACTATAAGATACGTGGTTGGGAGTACTCACCGGAGGAGGAGACCGGTATCATGTCGCGCAAGTTCGGTGCCGAGGAACTGCCGCTAATGACGGCGGTGCTGAAAAGGCTATTCGTGCTGGTGGCCATCTTTTTGCTAAAACCACCGAAACCCAACATTTTCATATAGGACATCTGGCCGGCAATACTGTGTCTTTGGCGACGCGACGATGTGGACGAGTTCGCCGATGAGACCGAGGCCGAAACCGAGACCGAGACTTGGCTATCTGTGGCGATGGAGTTGGTACAACAAGACGGGGTCGTAGTGGTTGTGATTGTGGTTGTTGTTGAGATTGTGGTGTTATTTGATTGTTTCATGTTGGTGGATGATGGTTGTTGTTGTTGATTGATGATTGCAGTTGCCGTTGTTGATTGTAGAGTGTGTTGTTGTGGTTGTTGTTGATGTTGTTGGAGTAAGTGTTGGTGTAGTTGTGGGTATGGTGGTTGTGGTGGTGGTGCGTTAGTCGAGGTGGGATCGATCGATTGGAGTTGGTTAGTAAATGGTTGATTAGAAGACATTGTTGCTGTATTATCAAACAAAGCTGCTGCTGCTTTTGTTGTTGTTGTTGTTGTTGTTATTGCTGGGATTGGTGTTGGAACTGAGTGTTGTGATGGGGATGTTATTTGTATTGTACCTGATGCGGGTTCTTTGGTGGTTGTTGGTGTCAATAGTGGCGTAACAGTGGCGGTTTCTTGTTCAACAGAGGAGGATGTCGTTGGTGAAGTCACCCAGTCGTTGGAGACGGCGTTTTTCGCGTTTGTCAGTTCTGTGGTACTTGCCGAGGCCGTCACCAACAGCCTCGGCAGATTGTAGACCACCTGGGCCTGTGGCTGAGCCTGTCCTGGACCTTGAACTGCCTCATTTGTGGTCGTGACCTGCTCTTCTATGGGTTCGAAGCAGTTCACAAAGGAGCCGCCGGAGAGCGCATTGGCAGGCGAAACACTGAAGCGAAAGGGATTCTCCGCCAGGACCGGTGCCGAGGCCGGCATGGACAACTGGCCGCAGGAGCTGCTGGTGGCCTTGCGCTGCGCCACGGAGGAGGCGGCTGCGGAAGAAGCCGAGACTGCGGCCTTGTCCATGTCTTGGCAGAGGCGCAGCGTTGAGGCTGTCGGGGAGGTGGTGGCATGTTGCATAGGCGAGAGCGAGGCCACCACCGGTCGCTGGCCGAACTGAGAGCTCATCAGGATGGCCGGAGCCGAGCTGGACAACTGGAAGTCGTCGTCGAAACTGCTGGCACTCGCCTCCGTTACCGGGTCGCCGTGGCCGCAGCCGGGATGCTCCGGATTTGGCGGGGCCGCTTCCGGCGAACAGGGAGCCGGACCCGCCAGGTCGATCAGGCTCTTCGAGTGCGAGTGCTCCTGCACCATCGAACTGCTGCAGTTGCAGCTCAGAGGGCGTTCGTTGGTGGCCAGGGGCGAGATCTGCGGCAAGTGCTGCAGCTGTTGCAGGTTCTCCAGGTCGTCGCCTTCGTCGCAGCTCTCCATGCGGCGCATGGTCAGCACATGGAGGCGCTTGTGGCCAGACGGACCGCACTGTGGCGTCCCAGGACTCAAAGAGAAGTCAATGTCGGACAACGGCAACTCGTTGGTGGACGAGTCGATCTTGAAGAAGGACAAGCTGTCCGTGACACGGATCTGGAGAGCAGTTCGATTGGCGCCCGAGGGATCCGATCCCTTCGAGCTGGCCACGCCCACCCGAGCATTGGATATCTCCCCGAAAGTAGGCCCTGCTGAACCCCCCAAGCAAGCGCCGTCCGATAGCAACATGATCCGAGGAATATGGTTATTAGTTAGGCGTGTGGATGGAGGTGGGCGACCAAATCAATTCCAAGTTCCAGTCAGCCATGTTGGTATCATTGGTGTATTGTTTTTAAATGGTGTTTGTGTGTTTTGTAAATAGAAAACTCATTAGCCGAGATAATCAAAAGTCGAAGATCGCGCAGAGAAGTTTATAAATTATGTGGATTCCATAACAAAAGGACAAGAAACGAAGGAAGATTCGTAAACAAAAAGGAGAAACAAAGGGAAATTATGAGCTATAAAAAATTAGTTAAAAACTTAAATTTGAAATATTTGTTTAGGCTTCAAAGCTTTGCGGTTGCTGGGGTAAGTTCTTTAGTAAGAGTTTCTGTAGTTAGTCGAGAAAAAAATGTACAAAACCAGGCTTCAAAACACTGTAAGTAGAGGTCGCGTCCGATTCGGGTTATTGTGTACTTCTGATCTGTATGAGTTTGTATTTTTGTGGGGGTTATCTGGGGATATGGGTGGATGGAGATTTTGAAGATATGGCGTGGTTGGCCCGAGTCTGCAAACAACAACAACGAGCAACGTACAGACGCAGACTGGGGAACTCCAAAAACCAAGCTTTAGTTTCTCAATATTTTAAAGACTTTTCAAAGACCTTCCATGCACTGAGACAAAAACAAAGGCAAGTGACAGGACAGTGGGAAAACACAAACAAGCAGAAACAGAGAGAGAGAGAGATAGATAGAGACACAGAGAGAAAAAAGGGGGGCAGGATGGGCTCAGCTGGACCCCAGCAAAGATTCCCAAAAAATTTCTTATTGAAGCTCCCTGCATTTTTCCCAACAGGCAAGGAGCTGGGGAAATCTTTCCTGGGGCTCAGCTGAGTCCAGTGGGTCCTGGACAGTGTGGCTGTGTGTGTGTTTGTCGCCGAGACAGTGTGACCAGCATTGCCAAGTACACGGGATTCCGCGGCCAGATGCTTATAGATTTACAGTTTTCCTCAACAGTTTGATATTGTTTTTTTTTAAATGCAGATCGAGAGAAGGATTTGAAGGATGTGTTTGGTGTGTTTTTGTATAGCTGGATGTGAGAGTGTGTGGAAATCTCATCGATCGTTGCACGGTGGAAAAAATGAAAACCAAAAAAATGTTGGGCACAGCTCGAGAAGGGAGAGATAGAGATGAAAATGTTTGTAAAATTCTTCTTCAACAATAGTGAAAAAATTGATTAAATCACAACCGAAAATTCTTCCATTTTACCATTCAAGTTTTGAATATATAAAGAGAGAGAGAGAGACATCTATCTAGGAATTTATAGTATCTATAAAAATATATATATATTGTATATAAAAAATGAGGGGATTCACACTCTGGAGAGGGGTTCACTTTTTTTTTTATAGTTAGCTGGCAGTGTGGGTGGGAGGAAACCGTGAGACGGAACACAGAAAACATAGGAACGGCATGCACAGAACCTCCAAAAATTAAGGACTCAAATAAAAACGTTTTTGAAATAAAAGTATGCACGATTACCACAGAATGAGGAAGGAATACTTCGGAGAAACCGAACTGATGTGCGACAGAAGGTCTGGTTTAGATCTTTCATTGGCAGATTAATTCTAATTTAATCGAAATTGGGTTTAAATATATTATAATTGATGAGGAAACCCAGACCCTCTGCCTAATTAGGATCACACAAGAAACGCGAGGTGTTTGGGGTGGAGGGGATGTGTTAGACAAGAACATGACGGGGGTTAGAGGAGCTGGAAGGCGGGTGTGGCTGAACAGTTGGGTGGTTGGGTCTCAGGGTTGGTGGGTTCGTTCAGACCCCAATCCTAAATCCGATTCCAAGCCCAAACCGCAGCCCAATCTCAAGCCCGCCCAAGAGGCTGCTGCGCAGGCGGCAGGCGGCAAGCTTTGCTCGATCGACGTGCCCGAAAAAGAGAACGACATACGTACCCGGTTCCTTGGGACAGACGCCGGAGGTGGCCCTCTGCTCGAAGCTGCGGGATCGCGGCTCACAGTCCGGACTCACCGCCCGGATGTCGGGACTGATGGGCCGCAGCTGTTGCTGCTGTTGGGAGAACTGGGCCTGCTGCTGCGACGCCAGCTCCTCGTTCAGCCTCTTGGCCAGATCCATGGCCTCGTGCCCGCTGACCGTGTGGTGGGCCCCAATAGGTATGGGCTTCGACTTGAACTGCTTGGAGCGCAGCTCCAGGCGATTGAATCCAAAGGCCATCCCGCTCGCCGCCGTCTGTCGCTCGGCGCTGCGATCTCCGCTCCGCTGGCCATTCTGGTGGAAAAGATAACTAAAGGATCTGCTGGAAAGAGGACTTCCAGAACTCACCCCTCGCTTCTTGCTCTGCTGGTCTTCGTTGGAGCAGGCGGAGTCGTTCTCCTCCTCGATCCGCGAAGGATTCGACTCGTCCGAGGACTGCAGGCTGACGTTGCAGGCATTGTCGCCGTGGGAGTGTGGCCGGAATCCTGGACCCGGCGGCAGGTTCTTCTGCACGCAACAGTTGACGCCCGGACTGAAGTGGAGCTCGACGTGGAAGCGTTCCTCCGATGTGGGGTCCTTCGTGGGATCCTCGTACAGCATGATGACAATCTGGGACATGTAGTTGAGCTCGGACACCATCGATATGTAGTCCATGGCCCGGCGCCACTGCTCGTCCGTGACGACGTTTAGCAGGCCGCCGTACCGGAGCACTGTGAGCAGCGAGTGGACGTGCGACTCGCTGGTGAAGTAGAGCCGGGTCCTTACATGCCTCTGGGGACTGGCCACACCGTGGCTGTAGTGTGGATTCAGACGGTTCATGAACTCGTCCTCCACCTCGTCGATGTTCCGCTGGAGGTCGCCCTTAATCTTCCGGAGAAGTGGCGAACATATTCCCTGACCAATGGCCAGCTTCTCCTGCGGTGTCAGGCCGTACTCCTGGGGGATGACGATGTCGGCCAGATTCTTGGCGTAGATGTAGAGCTCCTCGGCCTGGTCGTACTGCAGCGTGTGCTGGTTGTGCTGCAGATCGTACTTGATGCAATCGTAGATGTCCGGGATCTTGGAGATGTCGAACAGCTTTGACTTGGTGCTGAAGTCCTTCTCGATCTTCTCCCAGCGGCAGCGCATCAGGTCCCAGGTCTCGCCGTGGTACAGGATGGCGTCCTTGGTCTTTGGATCGTCCTTCTTGATGCTGATGATGTGCAGCAGCTCGCGGATGAGCAGGTGCACGTGGTGGCAGCAGTCCACCGGATTCTTGACAAAGTCCAGGGCCTGGTTGATGGACTTGCTGTTGCAGGGATTGATCAGCTCGCGGTCCACCTTGGTGAACTCGCGATCATTCTGCATCAGGTCGTGCAGACGTCCTTTGGCTCTGTAGGAGGAATAGGATTATAAGGAGGTCATGGAGTAGCACCCCGTCATACTTACAAGTTCTGGTACTTGCTCGAGTCGCAATCATTGTCCAGCAGTCCGTTTGTGTTGGCGCTCTTCACCATCTGGACGAGAATGGGCGTGAGTTCGCCCTCCAGGGCCAGCAAACCCTTCGCAAAGGCGGCGGCGGTCATCTGGACTCGCCCCTCGTCCGAGGCGTAGATCTTCAGATCGTGACGGAATGTGGAGTGCAGCCTGGAAGAAGGAAATAATGTCAACACCGGCATGGGAGACAGTGGACGTGACGTGTCACCTCAGAAGGCCCAGTCCCTGGGTGCCGGAATAGTCCGATCTGCCCTGACCGCCCGGATACATGCACCGGAAGATTCGGCCCAACTCCTCTGCCTGGATCCTTCCAGCCGGCGTCAGTTCCCCGCCCCACTTTAGGATGAGCACCAGCGAGGGCTCAACGGGTGTGTCCGCTGCAAGATGGTAGGACTCTTTTAGGTAACTAGCTAAGGACATGATTGAGGAGAGCCTACCTGACTTGCTGTCGTCCGAGCTGGAGCCACGAGGTCTTCCCCGCGGCTGGTACTTCATCTGGACCTTGCGGTTGATCCCCGAGAAGTGACCGTACATCTCGAGCACGTTCTTTAGCTGCTCCAGCTTCGACTCCTTCTCCTCGATCTCGGCGTGGGCCTTGGTGTGGATCTCGCTGAGCAGGAAGCGGGCTATGTCCAGGATCTCCTGCAGCTGCTTGGGCCGCTTCAGCTTCACGTGGCCCAGCTTGTAGCCGTCGTACTTCTCGAAGATCTCGAAGAACCTGCGGAGAGATTAGCAAACCTCAAACACTGCTCTTGAAGGAAAGATTCTAACACCTACTTGGGGTGGCGCACCTCCACCTTCATCTTCTGCTTGGGGGTGCGGTCGCCGTGGCGGATGACGGCCACCACGCAGCGCAGCTCCATCATCTTGCCGAAGGTGGTGGGCACGATCGGGGGATCGTCCAGCTGGAAGGGCACCGACCACGGGATGTGCAGCGTAGGCGTGAGCTCCCGCAGGATCATGTTTCCCAGAATCTTGGCGCAGTCGTCGTAGTACTTGTTGGAGTTCTTCACGAAGCTGAAGCCGTTCACGTCGCACACGTAGGACTTGCCATTGGCCCGGAGCAGGTCGAAGCCGCAGACAGTCTGCTTGAACGCCAGACACACCTTCCGGGAGATGAGCTTCTCGGAGTGGTTGAGGATGACCGGGTAGCGGATCTCTTTGCCCTCGCTGTCGCGCTCCACCTTGCCGTCCAGGGCCGGGCTCTTCCTGGCCTCGGCGTGGGCGTAGTCCGGGCCCACGGTGTACACCTTGACGTCCGTGCCTGAAAAGTATACTAAGTTGTAAAGGTGATGCTGGATTCAGTGCGTTCGACTGGCGGCCACTGGTACTGTGTGTTGTGTGTTCTGTATAGTTTTTGTTTCAGTTTGCTAGTATAATTCAAACGATTATATTAATTCATTCATAATTGTGACGACGATGAGCGGCGCGTGCGGAGCTAACGCAGGACAGGCACAATGGGCGATGGATGCGATGCTGCGCTGTTGCATTGGTTTGTACATGATGTGGTCTACGGGGATCCAGCCAAAGCCATGACAAAAACAAACAGCCAGAGCGGGATTATGAATTAGCGGGTGTCTAGAGGGGCAGGAGCTGTGATGGGTAAGCAGGATAGGAGGTGCAGGAATGCTGTGCTCTTCCATCACCGCACGGGGGAAAACAGGGAGGCAGGATAGGATCAAGGATCGAGGAATAGTACCTACAGCTGCATAGAGCATGGGAGCATAGTGAGTGGCAAGTTGCATACCATCGGTGGGCATAAAGTCCTCGTAGATGAAGGAGCCTGTCTTGCGCACCCGCGACTCCGGCGAGTAGACGCTGCTCCGGCTGCCAATCTTCCGGAACAACCGCTGGCTTCCTCCGCCCGCTGACGTCGGGTAATAGATGTAGATGTTGTGGTCCTCCGCCGAGACCGGTTTCTCCACGAAGGGCTTGTTAAAGGTAATTCCATTGACCTCGACATGGTCCTCTGACTCGATGAGTTCATGATCTGTGGGTGGGAGGATCTCAAGTTAGTGGCGGTGGATAGGAATTACTATTCACCAATGTGAGACTTACGCTTTGGATCGGGAGAGTCCCGATCGAGGACGGCGTAGCGCGGTATCTCGATGCCCTCCTTCTCGAGAATGGCGTAGACCCGCCTGCGATCCTGGATGTCGTACTGCATATGCAGGTTGTTCAGCACGAACGGATTCCGCAGCTGGGCGTACTCGATGGCCTTCTCCAGCGGGAATCCCTTCGAGTGGAACGAGACCAAACAATCGCAGGTGGGCCAGTTCTGGACGGGCTCTCGCAGGATCACATTCTCCTCGAACGTGACCAGCTTGATGAACTCGAATTCGCCGAGTCTCGTCAGGATCTCCTTCATCGGCTTCGACTGTGTCTTCTTGGCCATCGCACATATTCCCACGACCACCTGCTTGCTGTTGCTGGAGGAGGTGCTGGTGTCGGAGTCCATCCCGTCATTGCTGTCCCCGAAGTCAGTGTCGCCCTTGGAATACAAAAAGAAACGGGCATGAATCAGACTGCTAAGCCTGCGCTTCCGCCGCACTACGCCGCCCACATAGCCCCCGGACTTGGGCGGCGGCAAGGTGGGATGCAACATTAAGACGGCGCAATCGGTTCCCTGGCAATCAGGCAATGCAGGCAGCGGGCAACAGGCCCCAGGCAATGGACGGGGCAGACACTCCCTACTTCGACAACTACTACCTGCCTTCCACTCGTTCTTGGTTTGCTTCAAAGTGTTTCTTTTTTTTTTGGATTTTTAATGTGTGCTTTTTTTCAGGAATATCAAAGTGTCACTTGCTCCTGGGGATGAATGAGTCCCTAAAGGGGCAACACCTTGCTTCATCTATAGTCTTACCTCTGCCGCATTCACACCCTCGACACCCACTCACTAACTTGCATTTTTTTCTGGTTTTTTCTAATATTTTCCAATACTTTAGCTAATAAATATACACTTTATATGAACGAACTGTAGACAAACGATAAGCCGGCTCAGTTCCCCCAGCCATCAACGTAGTAATTAGCTTTCATTTAGCGTATAGTTCCCTCCCGGTCCGACCTCGAAACCCAATCCTCTAGAGTCTAGTTCCAGACCTACGTTCAAGCAAATATCGCAGAAGCAGAAGTCGTCACTGTCCTCGTCGCTTCCGTGGATGGGAGCGTAGTCCTCGTAGTCGCTGACATTGAAGGGACCGTACTCTCCGTCGTCATCGTCCTTATTTGGCCACGAGCCCGGCAGGTTCTCCTTGCCGCCCTGGACTCCGGCACTCTGGCTGCGCCTCTGCCTTTGCTGCAGCAAGCGATTCCGGCGCAGACGGTCACGGCCACGAGCCCTGCGCCGCCTTCGGACGCCGCCATCGCCGGGCCCGGGGTCCATACTATGGCGACGGATAGATTGGGGCTGTTGGGCGCCCAGGCTCTCCGGAATATCGGATCCGGGCAGAGCCGTGGCGGCAGTTACGGCTGCTCCAGCGGCAGCAGCGGCGGCCTCGAGCTTTTTCTTGTGCCTCTGGTGTCGCGAACGGAGTTTCTTGAGGCGCCACCAGTCCTTGAACCACGTCCACTCCATACTTTTAACAGTTCTTTCACAAAAAGGATATTCCTCCTGGAGTCTATCTTCAGAGGACTACAAATAGATTTTCACTTTCGAAACGTCATTTGTTGGCCGTTTCCAGACTGAACTTGTTACCAATGGCACATTAGTTTGGCAACACTGTTATAGGGTCTGGAATTCCGAGACAATCGGCCAGTACGTGCCCGATACACAGATGACCCAGCCCGCCGAATAAATATGGGGGAAAAAAAAGCACGAAACTGAAATCGGCGCACGACGAGATCGCTCCACCGACTACCGGAACGCGACTGAACGAAGCTGAGGCGAAAAATCGGAATAAACCCCAAGGTACGGGTCCCTGGGGTCGCTGGGCATCCAATAGGGCCGTATCGGATTGGATCAGATCCGATCATCGTCTTGGGGGAGTGGGAGTGCGCCAATTGGTCTGCCAAACCCACTCGCCTTCCCATTTGGCTGATTGAGAGATTACGGAGAGAAACGGGGCAAAAGAGGCTTCTACGGAGACAGCCGAGAGAATAGGCGAGGGAACACTTGGAGAAATATATGAATATAGCAGTATTGTTTAAGTATTCCAACCTATCGTCAGATAATCCCCCTTATATGCCAACATTTCTACAATGAAAGTATATAGTTCGGAAACGTTTTTTTTTTGGGGAGTAGCAAGAAACAATCGGTTCGCTATCTGTGTGTATAAATATTTCGACATACTAAGGCGTTATCATCGCCGCTCTTATTTGTTGACGACATGACTTAACTACAAGTTATATAGAGTCGACGTCCGACGTCCGATCGAAAAGTGCTAATGAAGGCAGCGGCGACAATGGGAACAAAAGCATTAACAGGAACAATAACACAAGCCACAACAATTAACCGGTAACTGGTGACCTCTAAGCGGTGGGGTGGTGGGGCGGCAGGGCTAACCGGTAACCTCCAAGCGGTAACCGGTAATGAGCGGCCCCCGGAACCGATAAGAGCTTACGATGATAAGAGTTTGGGTGGGCGGGGAGGTCTCTACGGGAGCCTACCAACCAGCAACCCCACAAAGAGCCAATTGATCTGGCAAATAGTCACATTATATATAAATATTTTATGTCTATAAATCGAAGCCCCGTCGATAGAGCTCTGTGTATTATTTCCGATCGTTAGCACTAGAGATCTCCCAATTTGGTAGGTGAAAATCCGACAATGGCCACCTCACGACTCACAGACACAGATTCAGATTCAGAGATACAGGTGTAACTTATCTCGCACTGACAGGCCAGAGGCCCTATAGCCCCCCAAAGTGGGGGCACTATAGCTATTGCAGAGCTATTGCAGAACTATTACCTGATTCACGGATGCCGTGATTGGCACTGATCGCTGCTGGCCAAGAGCCGAGCCTAGAGGCCTGTTCAGAGGGTTCCTTGGAAAAGGTTGAAGCACTTGTATAAATATAGAAACCGACAAGCCCTGCCGATTCTGAGAGTCTGGGTATTAGATACTACACTATAAAAAATATATAATGCCTTTAGTAAGGGTACTAAAAAGTACCCAATAAAGTACCCTGATTTTTTCTGCCAACAAAGGTAAATAAATAATACGTATATGCAGCGAGCCATGCAGTTCATTAGCACCCGACTTAATACCGATCAGCCCCAAAGTATGAAGTGAAAAAATTACCGGAAGCAGCCCCAAAAGACTTCTTTCTTTGGATTCCATATGGATCGTGGTATTGGGGCAATAAATACCTGGTTTAGGTTGCTCGCCCAGCCAGTGAAACCTCTCCTTGGCAAAGTCCGAACCCGACTGAGGTTCAAGACGCCACCCAGAACTCCAGACGGTCCCAAAAAAAAAAGCACGAAAAAAAAAGGCAAACAATCGGGCAGGCAAACAAATTGAACAAATAACGGTCTAACGGGCTAATTAATTAATGCAGCCAAGGAGACAAAAACTTAATTAAAATTTAGCGCGCAAACAATTGAACTGAAACGGAAATAAAGCCAGAATAAATAAACAAGGAAACTGCCAGCCAAAACCAAAAAAAATAAGAAAAAAAATCAACAAATAAAAATATATTTTTTTAAAAAATCACCGGATGGGAGAAAGATGAGGAACGCGGCTCCAGCGGCAACTCACTGATGTCAGTCTCTGGGGGTGGAGGGGTTGGAGGGGCGGTGAATAAAAGCGAGAATTGTGATTAAAGAAAAGGATAGCCTCCGAACGACTCTACACTCTCTACACTCAGAAAGGCATCTCTGATTCATTGTTTTTAATTAGCGCCAATTAAATTAAATTAAAATCAAAATCAAAGTGAGAGGCAGCGACGCCTTGAGTTCAAAATTGAAAATCAAAAATGTTTTTCTCAGTGTGTAGTTCGTCGTCTAGAACTTTGGGGCACACCCACCGCCCAGATTCGGAGTGGAGTTTACGTGCGTCAGCCAGCGACGTCCCTGCTCCTCCGCTACCGCCTCCGCTCCCGCTGCCGCTGCCGCCGTCGACAGCGCTGTTGGGGAGCCTGCGTCTGCTGCTCCTCCTGTCGCTGGACAGCGGCGACGTCGGCTCCAGCCGCGACGTCGCGCACTGCTGCTGCTGCTGCTGGTGTAACTGTGACCGCCCCCGCCGCCCCCAAACTTATCGAAGCTATTGCCCATTTGTTGAACTGCTTTAAGGGAAGAGCAAATCAATTTACATACATATAGAAACAGGGGCAGGGGCGTTGGCAAGTGGGCGTCCAAGGAGCAGGACCCTACATTTTGAAAAATCCTTGAAAATGTCCTGCCAACGCCACTGCCCGCTCTGAGAGTGGGATGGAGTGGGGAGAGCGAGGCTTGGAGAGAGCGAAAGCTTTTGGCATTGACATTGAGACTATAGTCAGCTGTTGTTGGTTGTTGGTGGGGGGGACAAAAAGAAGAAGAAGAAGCTGCTGCTGCTGCTGCCGCTGCCACTGCAACAAACACGCAAAAAGTCAGGGCCAGACCCCCCACACATGCAGAGAAGACTACAGCAGCGGTCAGGATGATAGTCATTACATGGATCACTCCGCAGTAAAACTTATTTGTTAAATTATAAAAGCTCCGGCCCAAAGCTAAGCCTAACTTTAGTCAATAGATTATTTTTAATAAACTTTGGATCGCCCATGCTCTGCTACTGTGACCGCCGCTGCACAATAACACATATCGCCGTAATTTTGGGGATTTTAGTAACTGAGTTTAGTAAGTGATTAAGAAATAGATCTGTTGAAAGTAGAAGAAAATGAGAAAAGCGCATACGTTGCCATCCTGACCCAAATAGAAGCCGACGCGGTGCTGCTGCTGCTGTCCCCCCGCCGACGTTGACGTCGAAAGCGGATGCTGACGCTGCTGCTGCTGCTGCTGTTGTTGATTGTGGGCGGCTGCTGAGGCTGCGGCGGCAGCACTGCCTTGACGCAGGTCCTGATATCCTGATTCCAGCTCGGTGTACGACATTTAATAATACTTTTTATTCTGGATGTTAGTGCGTGTTAAAGAATAGCAACAAATCCAACAACAAGACTGCCTTTTTGCATTTCACATGACGCACACACACGCACACCCACACACACCCCTCGCTGGGATCTAGCCGCGCTTCGAGTGCTATTATTATATATTAATTTTTTTTAATAAGAAGTCTGCACCATCAGTAAAAACAAAAACATTCGCCGTCTCTGTTTAGCCTTCGATTTTCTTGTATTTTTTTTATTTTTGTCACCAAGAGTTACGAAAGAAATTCTGCTGCGTTGAATCTTTTTTGAATCTTTTCGGCGGGCAATGTAATGCGCGGGAATTGGCGTTGCGGGAAGATGCGGGCAAGGGGGGCCAAGGGATTGTGAGTTATTAATAATTGTTTATTTAACAGTTCAATGATGGTTTATTTTATCGGCTTAACACGCACGCACGTCCGCTCGCTGCAAAGCTTTCGCCAGATGGCCGAATCCGATTTCCACCAAACGCTCTCGGCAGTCCCCGAAAACCCACTAAAAAATCCTACTTTCCCCCTAATTTCAAAAGTGTGTTAAAGTTTACAAATAACTATCTAAAAAAACAAGGTATTCACCCCAAAAAAAAAGCACAAAACTTTTATACTAAAACAAGTATCTAAATAACTTTTTTAAAGGGCATATTTTTAGAAATTGGTCCTTTCTCGAAATATAACCCGATTCGTTTAGACATAACCGGTTCGATCTGATGCAGCTTTTCGCGGCACAAGTGGGGTGCGAGCTTCCAGCTGTGCCAAAAAGTGGCGAGCTTTTTGGCGCCAAAATTTACATTCGTTTCAAAAGAAATAGCGATAGATAAAAAAAATTTGGGGTTGAAAACAATTGAAGTTCAACATTATTTATATTGTAGTATTTAATACTTATCTAATATTATTTTAGTACTAGAACAACTTGATTTCAAAGTGCACAGGAAAAGGGTTTAAAAAAAATATGATTTTGAACTTAAAACTCGCAACTCTTGGGAAAGTTATCAATGAAAAACACAAGTTTTAAATTTTGGTTAAAATTATTATCAGATTTAGTAGGGAAAGTGAACTAAAAATGGAGGCAGGTTAGCGATGCTTCACGTGCATCGCCAGGAGCTTGGTTTTGATACGTTTCCGGTCCCTTGAGATGATGTCCATGCGCTCCTTGATACTTGTTTGAAAGAATATGAGGTGCAGGGTGCGGCTGGCCGAGCACAACTGTAAACAATAATTAATAGGAAGGTTGCTAAAATAATCCCTGAGGATATGGGTAAAAACCCACCTGTTGCAGTAGCCGTGCTTTCAGACGAAGATTTGCCGTTTCCTTCGCATCCTGACCATTGCCACAGGTCTCTAGATGCAGGTTGAGCACAAATATCAAAGTATCTCGAATGGTCTGGACAATCCGCTGCACTTGCTCAGTACCAAAGAGCCGGCGCACCAGGAAGCCCCTCGCGGCGGCATTGATTCTCGTAGCTGCCCACTCACGCTTCTCCTGCTCAAAATTGTTTCCCAAAGTCGCCTCCTGATTCTGTCGAGGATCAAATGAAAAGTTAAAGGGCGAAAAAAGGCACATGCTGGATGGGTTAGTATAAGATTTAGCTACAGGTGCCGTAGGCTTGTTCCCGTCTCGTTTCCCTCCACGCAGTCTTTGTTAAGGCAATTGATTTATGTTAGCTGGCCTGAATTGGATTTGCTAAGGCTTCTTGCGCTGCTTGCATTGAAAATGAGGAAATAATCGGTTCGTTCATAGGATAGAAAAACAGAGATATAGATATTGGGTCTGTCTCGGTTTTCACTTTCACTCTCCTTTCTTTCAAGGATTTGTGTTTGTTTTCTTGATGGAGAAAGTCGTATTCCCGATTTAAATTGGCTCGATTAGAAATATTTTTGATGGAAGAAACAACCGACTTGTTTTCGTGAAAGTGAAAACCTGCAAGATACAGAGAGAGATACAGAAAAGAGCTTGAAGAGCAAAGGCGTTCTTTTTGGGTCACTCACATTGTTCTTTCGCATGGGTGATGGTATCTTCTTCGTCTTGGTGGGACTCCACACACCCTGAACTATACCCGAACTCTGAGCAGACTGATTCATGTGTCGGACGTTCCCGTTCCTCTTCGTTTGTGTGGAATTGCCACTGCCCGATAAGTTCTTTTTGCCAGTTCCTCCTCCTCCTCCTACAACTCTGACAGGAGATTTGACAAGGCCCGAGCTTCCGCCATTGCTTTTTCTGGGATTGCCCACAGTCCGGGACCGCATCCTTGTTTGAAGTGGAGCCTGTGGGATGGTTACGGATCCTGGTCCCGGTCTGCGCCTGGTATTGCTTAGGCTACTGTTCCGTAACGGCAAGGATCGCGGAGTGCTCGGTGCACTGATCTCCTCCAGCGGCTGCGGTTCAGAGTCATACGTCAATGACAGCTTAGGACTGAAAAGCCGCTTTCGCGATGAAGTTGGCGCCGTCGACCTACAATTATCCTCCATATTGAGGAACTCATCCAAATCATCGAAATTTCGGGGTGAGTTCTCGAGACACGACGACAAAATGATTGTATTGCTGGGAGATGACCAGCCAGGCGTGGTTGAATTCCGGTTGCTAATGTCGCCACTAAGCGAACTGCTCGCCATCTGCCTTTCTAAATCTCCTGTGCTAGTGTACGCCGAGACCTGGCTCTCCGGTGGGCCCACCGAAGCAGATTCATCAATTTCGGAGCACAAAGCGTCAATAAGAAAGCGTTGCTGGCGGTCAAACTCGGCCTGCATGCGTCGGCGCTCCTCCTCCTGGTATTGTACCAACTGATTGAGACGCTCTCGATGGCCCCGCAGGTACTTGCGAATCCCTGCCTTACGAGAAGAATCCACTGGGCCTTGCTCAACCAAAGCCCGTTCTATCATGTGTTCGATCTCTCGATCTCTTTCAGGGTGATCAACGCGTTCCCGTTCTCTGCGTCTGGTGCAACTGGGACTGGTATTGGTACAGCTACTCCTTGGGCTCTTGTTTACCTTCTTGGCCATGGACTCGACGGTTTCCTGCTGGTAGCTGGCCAGCTGCGAGGGACGTGGGGAATGAACTTGGGGTTCAGCTTGGGCATGGGCTCTCTGCATATGTTCGACCAGAACCTGACTGGGCTCCTCCAGAGTAAAACTTCTGGAGCGCTGAAGTCCAACAGGTTCCGTGGGAACTATATCTACTCGCAGCTCATCGACTGGGGCAGGTACTTGCTGTTGCGCCAAGGAAGGACTAGTGCTGGAACGCAGAATGCACTTTTTAGGAGGACTGGGCGGCGCTGTGGAGGCTGGACTAGGTAAAAGTTGGCCCAGCCCAGACAGCTCGAATTGCAAAATGCGATTGGTTATTCGATTGGGTTTGATCCGAAGCGGTGATAGTGGAGGCTCCTTAGGAGACGGCGGCGTGGGAGGATCTACGTGAGGCGTGGGAGGATCCACATGGATGGTTGGTAGCTGCTTCTGTTCCAACCCAAGAACTTTGGGTCGCTGTGGACGTTGTGTACTGTCATAAATGAACGTCTCTGTTTGTTGAAGCTGCGGCACACTTCTTCTGCTTGCCATCACGCCAGAAGTTCTGCGTTCTTCGGCGCCCGCCGAGCATCTGGCCAGTCGATACTGCTCCTCTAGTTGGATGGCCATCTGGCGATCCAACTCTACCTCCCTGCGCTTGGAGCTCGTCATCTGAAAAGCGGGTAAGATATGGTTGAGTAGGGACGCTCCCCAGAAAGAAACACACCACTAACCAACGGCGGCAGTATGGGCTGACCATCCAACCGGAAACGAGAAGCGGGACCGGAGGAGCACTCCAACGAAATGGTTGTAATGGCCGTGGGTGTGGACGCGGTTGTGCTGCTGTGACAATATGACTGGCACTGGCTTTGTTCGACAGCCGCCAGCAGCTGCTCCATGACTTTGCTAATAAGGTAAAGGTATTATTACATTAGCGATTGAATTCAGGAAACCACATACCACGCGCTCTCCATCGGTAATTTGTACTGTGAATTTTGTTGGTGAAAAATGATTTGAATTTTGGGGTGATCTAATGATCTAAGGCGACTGTCTAGAATGGTAATAGCATTTCGAGTGAAACAGGCGCTTAGGCACTGTAGTGTTATTAAATTTTTTAATAAATGTTTGTTATGTTTGCCAGTTGCTATTAGAGATGACAGCTAATGATGGCACTTCACCGGTTATCGTTTTGGCGCCAAAAAACCGATAGATGGCCTAAAAAAATATTTTAAGACAACATAAAAGATCGGGTTTTCAGTTCTCGACACGCACTGTAAATTTTAACTGTCTTATTTATCTTCCGGTCTTAAAATTGGTACGTAAGTCAATATTTTTCAAATAAAATATCGATAACTTCCTACCTTCTCTCGTTGGGCTGATTGCCCGCCAAGCTTTGAAATTTCAACGGTAACTTTAAAAAAGACACTCAAAAACTATAATCAAAAGGAGGTCTTTCTTAAGGTATATCTTTTCAAGGTAGTCGAGTTACAGTCGAATGTTGCTTTGGAATATCCCAGTTGGTGTTTTTATTCTGAAATGTTCTTCCTTTTTTTTTTAAGGATAATATATAATTTTGGTGAATGTTTAATGGATTCGATAATGATAATAAATCTAGTTTACAACAATATTAAAGCTTTTTGTTTTTGTAGAAAATCCCACAGCGATATTATCGAAAATATCGATGTTGCCATCGATGGTTCTCCACCTCTAATTTACAGTACATATATATATATACAATATATAAGTTACAATAATCTCGAGCGAGTCGGAGGTCTTCAGACAGCTGACAGTGTTTTGTTGTGGCGCGATCGGATCGAAAATCGGCTGCTGTTTGAAATTAGCGAAAGAACTGCCCAATAAATAGGATAAATATCTAAATAGAGCGGATACCACCAGCTGTTGCAAAAAGTACGAAACTGTGTTATTGTTTTTTGTTTGGTTTTCCTGTGTGTGTTTTGTTTATCCCCCAGTTACAGAACTAAATACGGCAAAGCGTGTTCGGCAAACATGTGCTGAAAAACGTGTTTTTTTTTGTTTAGTTTTCCCCATTTTTTCGTACTCCAAAATTGCGTTCTAAGTTCTGCGTGAGTGTGTCTGCTGCGGAAGGGGTGGGAGGGCGGGTGGGTGTGTGGGCGGTAAATGTGCAGTCTTCCTTGCGCAAAAAAATGGCTTTGTCTGGCCGCTGGCGGGGTGACTCAAGCCAAAATCACTTGACATGGAAGTCCGAGCCCTCCGATCCCCTGTCACCTCCATCGTCTCCGCTTTTTAATTTACTTGGCATTAAAAAATACGAGGTACAAGTGTAAGAAAAACAAAAACAAGAAGCGCAAGTTTCGCACATATGTGTGTATATACATGTGTATACATGTGTGTGTGTGTGAGGGAGAGCGTGAGTGTGTATATATTCTGCGACGCAATTGAAAAGACATCGAAGGCCAAACAACTTTGCTTTTTATATGTTCTGTGGTACGTTCTTGTTTTTTCTTTTGTTTTTGTTTTTGCGCTAGTTCACTATGTTTTGTGTTATTATCACAACTCCCGGAGAGTTTTTCCCCTCACCTCCCCCCCTGGAAAGCCTGCCACACTGTGTACTCCTCTCACGCTCGCGCATTCTCCCACGCGTTGTCATCTCGGCCACCTCCTCGCTCGCACGCAGCCGGTGCCTTGTAACGGCGACAGCGACGCTGGCAGAGCACTGCGTTGGCCACCCACTATCACCCCACCCAGTAAACAACATCAACTATACGCATACATATACATATGTGGAGCAAAAAAAAAAAAAAAGAATAAAGTTTATATATAGAAGTGTCGGATCGAAAAGAATAGTTAATTATTTCACAAGTCCTTGGGGAAAGTCGCAATAACATGCCACTTTCCATGGTGCACAACGCAGTTTTCTTTGTTTTAATTGCAAACTGCTGTGTTGCCATTGGTGTTATTGTTTTTCCAAGCCAATGACGACGTTTGCCAAAATGAAAATTGCACTGACTACACAGAAAAAAAAACAAGGCAATAAACCATAAACAGTCATCTCTCGTCACATCTCAATGTCCCAAAAATTGTCCCATAAATAAATCTTACAACACCCCATCCCAGCAGTGACTAATGCGAGATAGCAACATTTTCTTCGAGTGTATCGGCCGGGACGGGCCCTCAAAAAATATGGATTTGTGCGATTTGGCATTTGAAATCGGACAATAATACCAGTGCGCCGGTTTTCGGCTTTCTTTCATATTTTCTCGTCGGCGGCGGCTTGTTTTTGTTTTTCGCCTTGTTTTGGTAAATTGCCATGTAGGAGGCAGTGCCACCCTTCTCCGTATTATTATTTATTATTATTATTTCGCCTTCTACGCAGCATTTTCTCGGTTATATTGTGAACCCACGAACCACGAGGCGGGCCAGGCCATTGAGAACCAGCGCATTATCCCCACGGCCGAGCCAGTGGAGAAAGTCACCCAAGAGAGGGAGGCCAGCAGCAACAATCAAACTCCGCCCATGCGTACAACCCACAACCCAGAGCCCATCCAGAACCTGACCTAACCGTAACCGTAACTTGATTGTCTCAATCAATCAATCGCCACCGAAAATTTACAATCAAAATAAACCAAAATCGAGGCCGGAGTCAGAACGGAAACGGAAGTCGCGTCGCAGAGCGGCCCTAGACACCTGGAAGACACCACTACATCATCTGCTATCCGCTACAATGCTCCAAGCCCTGCCCCGTTGGTCGTACCCCACGCTGTACTGTGGAGCGGCCGCCATCGTCACAATGCTCCTGATGACCTGGTAAGCTCCATTTCAGACACCCTGGTATCCATAGCCCTAACCGCACTGTAGGTCTTGTATAATACTTATCGGTAATGGAAGATAGATATCCCAACTATAGAGTTCAAGAACTTGGTATTTCGAGGAATTTTTAAACCAAAAATGGGTCAGGCGCCCGCTGAGCAATGTCTTCCGGCTCCTATGATGATTACCTTTTGTTGGGGCCACTAAAGAGGACAGTTCTGTAAAAATAAATTGTACAGCCCAGAAAGACAGGGAAAGTGTGAGAGCTGGGTGAAGCTGAAGGAAACGTCGCGTGGCCAATTTCGAGCTGAAAGTTGCAATGTTTTATTTTAAGAATATAGTATATAGCCAGCACACACATATATAGAGTGCTCTACAAACGAATGGCATGATGTGCATGTGCCAGTAAGCCCCACAGAACGTTCCTCAAAAATATAGTATTCCCTCTGCGATTCCCATAAAAAAATCAACTTTTAAGGAATATATTTAAAATAGGATAGTCTTCGAGAAGAAGGGTGACTTTGATATTGAAAGACCTTTGGGGATTCTTCGGGGGATGGGTAACTGCTACTTAGTTGGCCGCATCTGTGGGGGCTGGCGAGATCTCTTCTTTGTACGTGCTTGCACCTTCATTTTGGCCGACTATGAGGCCCTGCCCCCACGCCCCTGGCCCGTCGGGTATATAAATATATATGTACATATACCTTTATATATATATGGCACTCCATGCACACCACCAAAGCCCCCCCATTTAAAGCACTCTGTGTGGCGTAATTAACCAAAAAAGAATTAAATGAAATGCTGAGAATGAATGGCACGCAGTGCTCCTACAGCTACAGGGGAAATCGGCCGAGATATAGTATATACATATATCATTAATCAGCCATGGTGACTATTATTGTTTTCAAAGATTAAGCTATGTGGGTCAATGATAAGGAAGGTGGCACTTTCTTTTCGCCATCGAACGCATAAACAAGGCTCTCAGGAATCGGTAGATATAGTAGAAGTATCTCGTGGCTGCTAGCCAGCGGGCACTGTATCCCCAGAGTGCACATGCAACGCTCTCCGCTTCCGTATCTAAACGGGACAATTGTGCGATATTTGCTTTCTGTTTCTGGCGTTTGGCTGGCTCTTCCACTTGTGCCTGGGTCGGTATCAGTATCCGAGTATCTCAGTCACCATAACAATGGCCTGGCAATCTGGTTATGCATTCAATTGCGCCAAATGTCGTAGATCACTCGATCAGTCTGGCTCTCTGTCCAAAAATAAAAAAAAATGCCAAAGAACTCCCCTTGAACCGCCACCGCCACCTGCCCCTCCTCTTTTTTTTTGTTTATTCAACATCAAGCCAAAGTGCGAATTAGCAGCGAAACAGCGAGATAATTAATTAGAGGCTTTTTTTCAAGAGCAAAGTAAGTCGTCAGCGGAGCAGCGTCGTCGGCGTCATCGGCGTAGGGCGGCGGGCAGGCCAATAAAAAAATAAACAAACATCCGACCAAAGCAGAATCGGCAATAGCCCAGCGGAATGGGGGAAACAAAAACAGAACCGAAACCCCCCAAACTCTGGGGGTTACGAATCGATTCCCCAGCCTCGCAGCTGATAACGCGAGAGCCCTAGACAGAGCCCTAGTAGTTCCTGTTGTCCAGGGCCATCCTCCTCATAAGGGTCCCAACTCCTTCTACAAGGTAAACACTAGATTACAGTGAAACCCCGAGCTCATTTATCTCCAAGAGATCGAATGATCATTTGCCTCCGTCAGCTGTCTGGAATGTTTCTATTTTTTTGACTTTCTGATGGTACAGTGCGTTTCAAAAGTATACGGAGACTGATAGATCCAAAGAGGTACTTCCTCAGACTGCCTGGTATTATAATTTTAGCGAGAAGTGAATAAACCTTATACTTTCGAACCGCACATTGGCTTCTTGACCAGAAATCAAGAGTCGGAAAACCAGCTTTTTTTTTTTTTTTTGGGGGGGGGGTTAGCTTCTGCTTCCTGCTCGGCCATAGAACATGTTTTGGCCACTCACCGGTTATTAATTATTGAAACCCTAAAACCCGATAGACTTATTGCGAATCAGGGGAATCATCGCCATTAGCTTGCTGGCCTTTGTTTGCTGCAGTTCAAGATCCTCTCCGGCGTATCCACTCTATTCCGGACTTGCTTTCAGGGTCCGACCGCTGGGAGTTCTGTTTTTGGGCCTGCTCGGCTACTGGATCTACTGGACACGGTGCAGTTTCCGGATCGTTCCCACGGACGAGCTGCGAAGCAAGATCAACTCCTGGCTGCAGAGGATCGAGGAGTGGCGACACAACAGTCCCAGCATGTTCTGTTTGGCCAGTAGCGGATGCCTAGGCACCCTGGCCGTGCTCGGTCACCTCATCTCGGGCTCCACCCTGGTTCTGGCCATTTTGGTTATCTCCGCCCTCGTCTCCACCAAGTACAACTTTAAGCTCCTGAAGATCGAGCACAAGGGTAAGCTATTCCTTTAGATCATATAGTACTCCTTACTGAACCCCCCCATCCTTTCCAGACTTCCAGTGGTCAGAGAAGTTGAACTACAACAACCTGGAAACCGAGGTGGATGACGAGTTCTTGCCAGACGTAAACGAGTCCAATCTGTTTGTCCTGGAGCGTGCCAGTGATGTGGCCACCATCAGCTCGCCCACAGAAGCCAACGACGAGGATGATGACGAGCGCAGCGATGACATTCCCTCGGAGCTGCTCATTCCGGACGTGATACCAGAGATCGACGAGCACTCCACGGACGAAGAGGACGAGCTGGCTCCGTTGGCAGCCAAGAAGCAAAAGGACACAAAAGAAGAGCAGGCAGCCGAGGATAGTGACATGAAGTTCCGGAAAGGACACTTCAAGCGCGACTCCTCTCTGTCCACCACCTCGTCTTCGTCGGAGGAAAGTTTGTCCAAGGGGCTGCAGTTCCCCGATCACAACGCCGTCGATGGCAGCAGCTCCCAGCTGCGCCAGATAACCGCCGCCTCATCGCCGGACCAACCGGATCCTGCTGGGGAGCTAGTCGCTCTGGCCGTTAAGAGCCAAGCTCAGGCCCTGCTCGCCAACAGCGGCAAGCTCTTGCCCAGCCTAGTCTCCGGCCTGGTGCAATGGGGAGCAGGCGCAGGCTCCGGAGCTCTAGCCACCGGCAGCGATGCCACCGATTCCAATCGAGATCGTGAGCAGCAGCGCTTGGTGACCGCCTTGGATTCGTCCGATGAGAGTGACTTTGAGATACTCGAAACGGATGACTTCAAGTAAAGCCAAAGCAGAAGCAAGTAGAATCGGATCGGATGCTGATGTCGATGTGGGTGTCGATGTCGGCTCGCTCCGGATTCCGATTTGTCGTATTATAAAGCTATTATCTTAACATAACATATGTATACATATGCACACAAACAGACATAGACACGGACACGGACGCGGACGGTTTGGAGGATACATACATAGGTTCTATAATCCCTGGTGGAGATCAGTTATATATTTTGCTAAACTGCTATACACTAGTGATCTGATCAGATCGGTCTGCTATTTGCGTGCTCCTCAGCCCTAAAATTTAATTATTAAGGAGAATCTTTTCAAACTATCTGTATGTTTTTCGTTTTGTTTTTCGATTCGTTTCGTTTCGCTACGATGCTTATTCCTATTTTAATTTAAATATGATTAGTTTATCCCGAAGAATAAAAAACAAAAAACCGAAACATGTACATATACGACAGAAACAACAGAAACACACACTCACAACAACAATATACGAGAAAACCAACATATTTCGATGGAAAGTTATATAGATGTTCAATGTGAAAGGGCGTAAAGCTACTTAATCTGTATCCAAATCCTAATCAAAGCCCAAAAAGTGTGACTAAACAGATGGATAATTGGTATTTAAAATATAATTATTTTTTTTAAATTAATCTACATAGTTGTATAAATTTTGGTTCGGTGCTATCTTCGAAAACCCAATCGCCATATGACGTGCACAAAAACATAAAACCATAAAACTACATAAATATGTATATGAAACCAACAGAGAACAGAAATTGGAAGAAGCTAGCGTTTCGATGGCGACTTTTGTCGCTGGAAGTCGACGCACGTTCTAAATAATCCACTTTTAATTCTAATTATTATTTTTTGCGCTATATACTTTAAGTTGTATTTTAATTTGCGAAACAAAACTAAATGTGATTTTATAAAAACAAGAGAAACTAAAATAAAAATCAAAAAGACCTCGAATTGCAAATAAAACGCGGGTCAACTGTCTAGCCCCGATGGTGGAGGTTGCGATTCTATATCCTGAGGTTCTGCTTCATCGGGCTGCTTTGGCTCGGAGTCCTCTGTTCTATCCTTTGCCTTGGCCCCCTTTCGAACGGGAATTGTGTCTAGAATGGCTGTGGTCCAGTCCTGGCCAGCAGCCACCTTGGTCAGAAGCTCAAAAACTAAAAAATATTACAATTATCATTAGATATTCTGTGCTAATACTTGTAAGGTGAGCCTACCATGATAGGTGCTGAGCACGGATCTGGTTTTCATGTCTACGTGCTCGCTGAGCGGCAGGCGGGCTGTTTTTAGACCCGCCTCCGTGGCCCTCTGATGGCAGAGTCCCTTGAAGTGGTTGTGATCCACCAGGCCACCGATTATGTAGGTGCAGCCCGGCTGCAGCTTGTCCAGCACCTGTTCCGACTCGCAGGTGAGGTAGACCATATGCTCCCGGTCGAACAAATCCTTGTGCGTCTTGTCGAAATGATACTTCACGTTCCAGTTCTCCCAGCCGTCGTTTTTCATGAACCACTTGTGGATATTGCCATTCTCTCGAATGCCAGCAAAGTGCAGCTCCCCGGGATGCGAGCTCCTTCGGTTGATGGTGTAGATTCGCAGGCATTGCTTCACGCACTTGGCAATGTCCCTCTCTTGCATCAGCTCATCGTAATCAAGATCTATGGCCACTTTGAGGGCCGGATTGCCATCTGCTCCGGTGACAGCCTGTTTCCTTTTTAGCTCCTTGCGGGAAGGACCCGTCCGAATGGGCAGGCCCTGCTCCTTGGCATCCCTCCTCTTCTGCTTGTTGCGCTCTCGCTCCTTTTCCCGGCGGAGTTTCCTCAGCTCCACGTACGCGGCCAGTTTTCGCTGTTTTTTCAATTGATTTTTGCTCAGAGGGGTACCAGGAGTGGTGCCCGGGCAAGTGCTGAGAGCCACCACGCCGGGAAGGGGTTTCGAGGGTTCATCTGCCTGGGTCGACGGCTCGACCACCTGTGGGTCCGGATCAACCACCTGTAAGGTCGTCTCCATTGAATCTTTGTCAATATTATTAAAACACAACTAGATTGAAAATGCGGCAACAAAAACATATGCTTGGTGCGAGTGTTATCGATAGTTGCTAGCGACGTGTTATCGCACGTGCTTATCGCTGTTGCGCTCAGCAGCACGTTAGATATCTGTCACCTGTTATGGCCGAACTAAAAGGCACTTTTTACCCAGATTCGAAACACCCAAGAAACTCGACAACACAAAAAAATACAAAATTGAAAATTAAAAATGAGTCTTTAGATTATTGTTATCCATACTACGATACAATTAGCGAGGCAACATTATTCTTCTAGTCCAACAGAAGCTACACACATTTGCGTCATCTCTGACGCTGTTACACAGGCCAGCCGTGGTTTTCGGGTCGAAGGCAGAACTGCTGAATCAGGAGATCTTTTATTATTGTGCCGGCTCTGCGTGGGACTGTGCATTCGCAGGCTAATCACGGAGAGAGTGTACCCATTTGTTAAGCTATCCGGTTGCCCAGCGCGTAATCGGGTCCCGAAACGAGTTTGGATTGCTGGAGAGGATTTCCACCGGATCCATTAGACACATCATGGCTACAGTGGCTCTACTCACAAGGCAGCGCATGCTCGCCTGCTCCATGCGGCTCCTCGGAGCCAATCACTACAGATGCCTGTCGGTGGCGCCAAAACTGGTGTTGAATCCCCAGTTGAAGGAAGCTCGGAAGCAAAGCCTAGTCATGCCCTTTGCTATCACCCGTTACAGTCACAAGTCCGCGCCAACAGCCGCTGCTCCCGCGGCTACGCCGGTTGCATCAGCATCCAGCCCGCAAACCCCCAAGCCGGCTGCCACAACGTCGAGCGATCTCTTTGGCGAAGCTGCCAACATGGGTCTGTTCGCCAAATTCAAACACATGTACAAGCAGTACTGGTATGTGCTCATCCCGGTGCATGTGATCACGTCAGTGGGCTGGTTCGGAGGCTTCTATTATCTATCAAAAAGGCATGTATATCCTACGAGATATCTCTGGACATTTCATTATTTCTTGCATCTATTTCAGTGGCGTGGATGTGCCGTCACTGTTGCAATATATCCACCTAAGTGAGACGATCATCGAAAAGGTCCAGGGCTCGGATATGGGTCACTACGCCATAGCATATCTCTGCTACAAGGTGGCCACTCCTCTACGTTATGCGCTTACTCTGGGTATGTGAGAGCCCTATTTTTTGTTTAACAGACTCTAATTTAGACTTTCTCCGAAGGATGCACCACCGTTTCTATCAAGTATCTGGTGCAGCACGGCTACATCAAGCCCATACCCACGAAGAACGAGCTCATCAAGATGTACGAGGACAAGAAGGCCACGCGGGCCAGCGCCAAGGCCGACAAGGCGGAAAAGGCCGAAAAAGATGAGAGCAAATGATCATTGGCCGCGGGCGACGACTCGTTAGCGTTGTCGTCGTCGCCATCGCCGCCGTTGCCACTGTCACAACATCCTACTAAACCGCCGCCTCCGCTGCCGCTGCCGCCGCCAAAATTCCGGTTGTTCTCTCCGTCTCCAAGGATTAGCAGCGAGCAGCAGCGATCGGCTCCCGGCGCTTGGCGAGCAGTTAACGTGTTATCTTTTTTGTTGAACTGCCGCCGTAGCTGCCGGAATTGGTGCTCAACGAACCTAACTCTTGTCCGGAACCATAGCCGATCACAAAAGCGCCGTCAACAATGAGCGCCGTACACACAGATACCAGCCACGCCCATTTGAAAGCCCACTGAAATACCAGTAGAACACCATTTTCACACTTTCCTCTCCCCCCATTGATTTTAATACATCTGAAGTTAACGTTGCACCTGTATTTTTCCTAAAGTTTCTGTTATTGTTACTAAATTGTTGGACGTCATAAGTAAAAAAAAAAAAGCAAGTAATAGACAACCAAACAAGGCCGGAGTATAGTGCATTGTGCCGACATGGACATGGATATGGAGTTCGGAAATCGTTATTTATAGATATACATATTTTTAGATATACAAATAAAGGCTAGTTTCATTTTTATGAAATCCATTTCTCGGAATGGTTCAAACCAGATATTTATTTCGTTTTTATGTTCGACTTTGGATGGACGCGAATCCCCATTAAAGGCATCTAAGGCTATATATTCTTTTTCGTGGTTGGTGGTTGGGTTGGCAAGGGGGGGGATTAACAAATTCCGAAAGATTTGGGTTTTCAATTTTTATTTTTGCGTTTATTTTTTGGTTTTTCCTCTTGGTTTTTTTTTTTTGTTGTTTGGTTTTTTTTTCTTTAACGTTAGTAAAATATCCAACAATTTTAATTGTAACTAATAGTTAAACCAGAAAAAAAAAATATATAGTAGTTGCTTTTGTCAATTTACACATAAATAATTGTGTCTTATACTGTTTTCTTTTTTTTATTAATCCTTCGAATTGATCTGCTGTTGTGTGGGCGTGCCTGCTCCTATATATTGGATTTTAGCCGGAAACAAGTTCAATTATGTACACATATTTATTCCAGTTTCGCTGAGTGTAACAGTGAGTCGTTGTGGTTGTGGTTCTGGGTGTGTGTGTGTGTGTGTGTGTATTGTGTATTTGTGTGGTTTATATATCATTTACATAAATACAATAAATAAATAAATTACATAATATATATTATTTATGTATGTAGGTATAAAAACAAAATAGGCAACAAAAATATATATTCTTTATATATATATATGTATGTAAGTATATAGCAAGTATAAGTTGATTTAGTATGTACTCGCGGGAGGGGGGGCATGGAGGGTAGCTGGGGAGGAGGAGGGAGTGAGTGTAAAACTCTCGACTTAAACTATGAAATATGTACGCACAAAATCAAACAAAATTAAAAATTACGACATAAACAGTTATTTTTTTAACATAAGGTATATAGCTCATAAATAACAGTGTTGAGTTTTTCATTGCATCTTATATTTTTTTTGAGACTAGTTGTGGTCTTCTCCCACCGAATAATTAAAAACACACGCAAAAAATAATACAATTTTAAATATTAAAAAAAAAAAATTGAAAACAATCTACTGGTTGCCCTTGGCGGAGTCCGCGCGGTTGGTGTCTTGTCTTGGGGAAGTTAGGCCCCCCACGGGGCTGGATGGTTTTTTGGTTGGTGTCTTGGCTAAACGATAACAATATTTTTGTCGAACTCGTGTTGTGGTTTTTGGTGTTGTTGCTTTCTCGTTTCTCCCCCATTTGTTTTTTGTTTTTTAAATTTGTTTTTTTGTTTTTTAAATTTTACTACTAGCATTTATCATAAGTACGTTTTCACAATGCAGATTTCAGCTTTACTTGCGTCGTTTTCGTTTTCCTTTCTCGTTTTATCCATTAATTAATTACTATTGTTTTTTTTTTTGTTGTAAAAAGCCGTTTCTCTTAGTTAAGTTTTTAAGGTTTTAGTGTGATTTTTGTGGTGCGATTGCGATGTTTTATTTTTTTAAGGTATTTTTTTGTTAATCGTCTTAAGTTGGAACTATTTATTGCAGTTTCTTTTTTTTTTATGAAATATATTGCACAAGAAAGACGAATTTAAATATTTATAGTATTCTTCCGAGTTTCCGCATAGTTTCATTTCCCGGTTCGGTTTCACTTTAATATTGTAGTTAGTTTCTTATTTTTGTTGTTTTTTTATTTCTTTATACACAACCACATGACACTCTTTTTTCGGCAAACCAATATACAATATTACAATAAATAGAGGACTATGCCCCGAAGGGTCAGAGGTTAGAGAGAGACACGACCTTCCCGGTTAATTCAATGTAAAAATTTTGTTTTTAATAAATAACACTTAATAGAGGAATATTGAAACATAGATTGCTGATTGCTATTTTCGAGATTTAGTGTGTGTGATGTGTGTGGTGTGTTTGGTGTCAGTGCGTGTGTTATACAAAAGAATCCTGTAAATAGTTCGATTCGATTGGTTCTTTTCAGGATATTTTTGTTTATAGTTTGTTTAGGTTTGTTGGTTTGCCGAAAATTGATTTTTTTTTTTAGTTTGTTTGTTTGTTTGTTCACACACACAAGTTCATTGTTTTCTCATGTTTATGTTAAGACATCGAAGCTCAACTATGCAGTATGTACATTTTGTCCATGATCTCTATGCACACTTGCTACTTCGCTTTCGGGCCGCCTCCGGCGCCTAATTGGTTTGGTTTCTCGGGTCTTGCATTGTGGGTTGTTTTGGGTGTTAGTTGCGTTGCCTGTGCTTGCAGTTTAAGCTTAGTTAAATTAAGTAATTTTCATTTAATGCCGTTCTACGAAGCGTTTCTACAAGTTTTTTCCCGGCTCCTTCCCGGCTGCATGCTCTGGCTGCTGTCTCCTCCGTCCTCCCGTTTAGATGTTACATCACCGTCCCTTGCACGGAAGCTACTGCCGCCGCCATCCGTCATCGTCCCAGTTTTTCTTCTATTTTTGTTGGTTTTTTTTTTTCTTTTTTTTCATTTTACGAAGTAAACACTGCAATTGGCGTGGAAAGCTTACGCACGCTCATAGAAAAGTATATAGGCACTGGATGAAACGAGAAAGTTTTCGGACAAGGCATCGCTGACACTGTTTTGGCGGGAGAGAAGGTATCAGTGAGTGATCCAGCACTCCGTACACACCATCTACTTACATATTATCGTTGAACTCGTGCCACTTACGGGAAACGGGATGCTTACAAAGGGCCACATAATGTCCACCAGCAGTTGAGCCTGCGATGAAGGAGAGATGCAAGTCATAAGATTGGTACTGTGCCCCAGTAGGCAGCCCAGTCAGACTCACCCATATGATTGGATATCGCGTAGAGCGAGTAATGCACATTGGAGTTGGAGTTGGCCCCATAGGAGCCCATGTTTAGTTCGCGATCCATTGTGGGGAACTCCACGATGTTCGACAGCTTGCTCCAGCGCGTCTCCGAGAAACGTTTCAAGTCTGAAGAGAGTTCTCTATGGTTAGTATTCTCTAGAAGAATCTATCCTCTGTATAACTTACGTATAACTAGATATTTTGGGAAACGTTGGATGGTGAAACTCTTGGTGCATTTCCGTCGTGTCTTGCATTTGGCGCATGTGGGCATCTCGTCGCCGTCGAGCACCTCCTCGCGAATGAAGAGGTCCAAGCAGGCCTCCAGCTTGCAGCGTGATGATGAGGGCAATGGCACGCTCAGGTCCCAGAACGGATCGAAGGTGACGCTGGTGTTGCCGCAGGTGGTGCACTTCAGGGTGCTCTTCAGCTGCCCGACAAAGAGGTCGCGCACCAGCGAGTTCTCGTGCCGCGTATACCACTCCCAGGTGAGGTCCGCCTTCTTATTGTCACTGTGTGCGGATGAGAGGTGCAATGTTGAGACCCGTCTGTCGTGGAGCTTCGGCCAGAAGCCACTCACCTGAGATTATCATCAATGTTGAGCGTCTCTCCCTTTACGCCCGTGTTGAGGGCCGAGTGCAGCGAGTCAAGGAAGAAGCGCAGGAACTCTTGGGCGTCCTGCTGGTTGTAGTCGCTATACATGCGGTGCTTGGTGGAGAAGGCGCGCTTCAGCTCCATCGGCGTCACAGTGTGCACATTCGATGTCCACATCTCCTGGATGAGTTTGGCAAATTCTGTGGATAACGACACCCATTAGTGAGACTGATCTTTGGGGAATGATTCTAGAAATGGAGTTACCGTGGAGTATCTGCTGATCCTTGGTGGAGGCGGAACGCGATCCATGGTGCGAGCGCAGGAAGCGGGTCAACTCTTGGGTGTGGCTCAAACACTGGATGACCGAGTTCATGAAGCAAGTGTTCCCAATGTTTCTCAGCCCGCACAAACCTGTGGAGTGGCATTCGTAAACGGGATAGATTAATTTCAATGGGCGTGGGTGTCGGGGCAATGCTTGGGCACCGCCAAGGGGCACTCCCCAATTTGGATGCATCGGTATCGTCTCGTCGTCGGCCACTTGGCGTATTATCGTCGCGATTGTACACTGGCATTCGCTTTCGTTCACACTAAGAATTTAAACTAACGTGTCGTACTCAGGACTCTCTATACTAGGGACTAGGGTCTGTCACTGTCACAATTTGAGGCAAGAGTCATGGCCTCCTATGCCCCCTCTATCTCATCCCACCTTGGTGTACTCACCTTCCGACTTCTCATCCCTGGTGGCTGAGGAGGCGCTCTTGTAGCCATCGTCGGTGCTGTGCTTCAACGAGGACGAGTTGAGGGAGGATGAGGTGCCGACGGTGCTGCGGCTGGTGGTTGTGTCGCGATCGCGATCGTGCTCCCAGTAGCGACTCGATGTGGGCGACACGGGCGGCAGGACGCTCCGAGCACTGCCGCTGTTCCCGGTGGCACTTCTCGCCTGCGTCTGTCCAACAGAAAAGGGTGATGCCATTTAGATTGAAGCCTTAAGCCGGACCCGCTGGGCAGCCAAGGGCTGTGTGTCATCCACCAGCCGTTGGCTGCCCATCGGATGGGCCGGATGTGGTTAATTGATAATTAATCGATTAAAATTAAAGTAATCAGTAAGAAATCAAAGCAACTGGTTAGCAATCGAGCGGTTAGTGATTCCAAAGAAAACAACAATTAGACCAGGTTAGTAAGAGGTGGTAGTGGTGGTGGTGGTGGTGGTGGTGGTGAGGATGAGGTCTGGAATGCCGATGAGATGTGGGACGAGTAGAAGCGGGAGCTGGGAGAAACAAAGCGACATGCTAAGGATACTGAAACAATAAGTGATGCGGCAGTGTGGCGTGGTGGAGCGATACGGGGGACATGGGATAAGATGGCTTCTCTACAAACTGATGTCTCTCTTGCTATATGAGGAAATATAAGATTTTTTTTTTTGGATACTCTAGTACATAATATATGCAACTATATATATATAGAAGATAACGGAATGGAGAGTTAAGAAAAGAAAACTAAACTGAACCTGGCCAAGTCGCTCGACTTACACTATCGCTGGCGGCTATCGAGCCCGTAGCTGGGCCTGTACTTGTGTCTGTGACTGTACTGGAGGCTGGGGCTGTGGCTGTGGCTGTGGTGGAGACGGAAGACGTGGCTGATGGCTGATGTGGTGGTGGTGGTGGTGGTGTGGCTGCCACGGCTGCAGCTGGTGTGGCTGTCGCGGCATTGTCGTTGTTCGTTACCTTAGTCATGGCCTCGCACTCGACCGCCTGCCGGTTGCTGTTGCTACCGTGGACTCCCCGCATCTGCACCTTGCTCACCGCCATCGACCCGATGCCGGAGCCGGCGGCTGTCGGCGGCGCCGCCTGGCTGACGGTGGACGTCGACCGGTAGGTGGCACGTGTCAGGGAGCCACTGTAGCCGGCCGCCACGCGAATGTTGTCCAGATCGCTGCTGAAGCGCTGCTGCAGATTCCCGCTGCTGCTCCCAATGTTCTGGTTGCTGCGTCCGGCCGCGGCCGAGCTACCCGACGATCCTGCCCGCGATCCGGCTCCCAGCACTGGCGTCGGAGTCGCCTGCCTCTGCTTCTGGCCACTGAGGTTGTTGAACTTCTCGATCGATGCTTTGATGCTCAGCGAATCGATGCCGTACCGACGGGCGTTGCTGCTGGGATTGCCTCCAGCACTGGTGCGCGACTCCGAGCCGGCGGCCGGGTCCGGGGTTCCGTTGGTCTGGCGATAGTTGTTGAACTTCTCGTAGTTGGCCGCGAAGTTGGAGTGCGCCGACGCTATGATGGTCGACTTGGGGCGGGCGTAGCGCTTGCCATTACCTCCTGGAGCCTCCTGGTCGTCGCCCCGACGCTGCTCCCGCTGCTGGTGGTGGTGTCTCAGCTGCGGCGGCGTTATGGGCTTAAAGTAGCAAATGCTAGACTTGATGGCTCCCGTTCCTGCTCCCGAAGAACCCGATAATCCAGTGCCTGTTCCTGCTCCTGCCGAGCTGCCCGCTGCCGGCTCATCGCTGTCTATGTAGCTGATGTCATCGTGCTGCTGCTGTTGCTGTTGCTGCTGCCGTTGCATGTTGTTGTTGATGCTGTTGAGTCCACCGCTGTTGTTGTTGTTGTGGTTGGTTGTGGTCGTGGTGTGACCATTCATAATAGCTACGGGAGCGCCCGAGTTGTTGTTGCAGCTGCCGTGGATGGGCTTCAGCTTGTAGAGCTTATGGGACTGCTGTGGCTGTGGCTGCTGGTGGTGGTGTAGGTGGTGGGCGGTCGCAGTGGCTCCTCCCGCTGACCTGGCACTGTACTTGAGCAGGTTGCTGGTAGTGGTGGTGGTGGTGGTGGTGATGGTGGTAATGGTAGTGGTTGTGCTGGAGGTGGTGTTGTTGGTGCTGGTGGAGGTGCCGGTGCCGTTGCCGATGCCGTTGCTGCCGGTCTGCTGATTGCCATTGATCATGGGCGTGCGTCGCATATCACCCAGCGCCCCGGCCGGATTCGATCGTTGTCCGGCTGCTACCCCAGTGCCGGTTCCTGTTCCCGTTCCCGGATTATTGTTTCTGGAATCCTCCACGGCACGACTACGTTTGCCGCTGGGCTTACCCTTCGAATGGGTCGTCACCTGGGCATGGGCCAGTTCGCATTCGGCCTTGAGGAATGTGGGGTCCTTATAGCTGGGCACCAAGAAATAGCGCTGATTGGCGGCTCGCACGGGATTAGCTCCTGCTCCTGCTGCTGCAGTTCCAGGACCAGAGCGTACGGCTGCAGTTACTCCACCTCCGCCTCCGTATTTGGCTGCCGCCAAGGCGGCGTGTGTTTTGCCCACAGCCACCGATGCTCCGGCTGCAGCACCAGTAGTTGCCGTGGTGTGTTTACTTCCCTTTAGTCGCGATATGGAGCCGGAACCTCGACGCGACGATGTGTTCTGGTTACCAGTTGCTGTTCCTGTGACTGCGCTTGTCTCTCCAGCGGCTGCTGCTGCTGCTACTGCTGCGGATGCTGATGCGGATGCTGATGATCCTCCTGATGGGGCTGCGTTCGCCGTTGCCTGCAATTTGGATGCCTGTGGAATCTTGTGGAATCCTCTGGTTTTCTTAATGTCTAACATCATTCGACGGTGTGGCGCGGCTACCGGTTCCGGTTCCCGGTTTCTTGAGTCTCGAGTCTCCTCTACTCCTCTACTCCTGGCTCCTTAGTTGGTTCGGCTTGCGGGAATCCTTGGGATTTTAGTTTTTTTTTGGTGAGTTGGTGAGTCTACAGTTGAATGGGTACGAGATGTGTTGTGTTATAGTTTGTACTCCGAGAATTGGACATCTGAGCTAGAGCTCAGCCTACTCTGATCTCGGATTTGGATTCGAATTCGAAGTCCGTGTCGCCTCAGCCTCCTTGCCTCGATCCTGAAAGCCTGAATCCTAGTCAACCAACTCTAAGGGGGATTCTTTTGGTTTTTTTGGGGGTTTAGTTTTGGTTTTAGTTTTGGTTTTCTGGTTTTTTTGTGGTGATAGGAGGATGTATATTAGTTGCGTGGCGATCTTTATTTTTGCGATACTCTTTTTTGCGATTAATTAAAGTTAGAAGGGGCGCAATCGGCTAGATTTTAGCTAAAAATACATAGAAATGTAAACTTGATTAAATGAAACTGCCGGGCTATCGCACAAATAAGCACACAACAAATAAAAACACATTTCAAAATCAGGGGAGCTCTCAGAGACGGGGGGGATTTGTGGCAAGAATGGGTAATGCAAGGGTTCTAGATTCCAGAATCTGGAATCTGGAATCTGGATTAGTCTCTGGACATTCACAAAACTCAGCTTAGTTCCTGCCTGGAGGAGGGGGAGCGCATGCAAAGTGGTTAGTCTTTGGATAGTTGGGCCAAGCTGCTCCTTTCTGCTCTACCTTGCTACTGCCGTCGCCCAGCTTGAAGGTCGCCGTGGCGCTCACATCCCCGTTGCCATTCTCCGCCTTGGCGGCGCCGGCCGCCCCCACGCCCGAGTCGTCGGTGGTGTCCAGGTTCCGCAGGTTACTGCCACTGCGGCTCTCGTAGATGGCGTTCCGCTTCGGCGAGGTGGAGAGCAAAGACAGCCCGTTCAGCTTCGCCTCCAGGCCGTTGCTCTCCGCCGTCTTGTGGCCATTGGAGGTGGTGGTGCTGGCGGGCAGAGGTGGCGGTGGCGGCGGCGGTGGAGGCGTTGGCGCCGCTGGTGCGGGGGATGTGTCCTCCACGTGGCGACGCGTCCGATTGCTGCGAAGTGTGAAGGTGGCGGTGGGCACGTCGCCGCTGCTGCTGCTGCTGCTCAGCGTGAACTTGCCGGAGCCCAATCTTCCCGAGCTCGAATCCCTGCTGTCTGCTGTTCCTGCATCGCTGCCGCTGCTGTAGAGACGACTATACCGGCTGCTCCGTGGCCTATCCAGAGTCACTGTGGTGGTGGTGGTGGTGGTTGCATCGCTGCTGCTGCCATTCTCCGCATCACCCGGCTCAGCATGACCCGACCTGGAACGTGACAGTTCACAGTTGGGTTTATAGTTGGCCGGACTGTATTTTTCGTAGATGTCCAATCCGGAGGTGGCCACCAGGCGGGCCAGCGACGGAGATGAGGATGAGCTGGAGAGTCTTTTCGTGTTTGTGGTGTGGCCGCCGTTGCTCTCGCCGCTGTTCGCATTGGAGCTTGAGGAGGAGGTGCCTCCTCCACTGGGCGGTGGCTTCTTGGCGGTCTCCCCGCGCCGGATGCTGCCATAGTCATCGCCCGCCCCCCTCCTGGTGGATCCACCACTCGAGCTCAAGCTATCGCCATTCGATGATGCAACCTTGCCTCCACTTTTTCGCGATAACTTTTTTTTGTTTTATTTTTTTTGGGTTTCGGGTTTTTTTTTTGGTGAAACATTTAAGTTTTTTTTTGGGATGAGCGAAATATTTGTGGTGGTTTTTGGAGGTAACGGTTTTCAAAACGGTAAACGGTAAACGGCAAAACGGTATTCGGCAACATGTTTCAATGTCAGAGATATATATATGTGGGCGGGCATATATATACATATATATATGAACAAAAAAAAAACCAAAAAATATAAAAAACAGAAACATCAATGATGAACTCCATGATGATGGCGATTTTATACACAAATGAAACAGAAACAGAGGATGAGAGATGATCACAAAATAATACTTAGGTTTCAGCTCGGGTTTGGGGGTCTAGATTCCTGACGGGGAGGGGCTATATATATAGTTTCATTGCCAGATGTTTGACCCACAAAATGTTGGCACATTTCCTTCTGAGAGTGCCGGGAGTGCTGGGAGTGCAGCGAGGAGACTGCACCACCTACTGCCCACCACCACTCGTATTTCTAAACAAAAACTTCAGACAGACGGCCCAGAGACACCCACACACTCACGCACGTTAACCTTACTGATGCGGACTGATGACACAATTGTTGCTATATTCCCCCCGACTCGGTTCCCATCGGCTGCTCTATATAGGTCCCCCATTGGATTTGTGCCAACAAGTGGTTCCCCTCTCCTGAACTGTAAAACCTCTCCCAGAACCCCAAACTCCGGGCCATGGTAGAGCCCTCTATCCTAACTGGGGGGAGGGGGTTCTGCCCACAACTTATCTACTGAGTATCCCCGCCGTCGAGAGATCACTGTAGTGGTTGGCCTTTGTCTTTGTCGTAAAATGCCGCATGTTTGCCTAAGGTCTTGAGCCAGTGTGTGTGTCGGTCTGGGTGTGGTTGTGGGGGGTGGGTGTGCTCTACTGGGTGTGTGGGTGTTTGGGTGTCTGGGTGGTGGGTGGTTCATGTTTGGTGGCTTGTTGTTGCTGTATGCAATGACAAAAATACAACACAAACATCGCAAAACGCAACGCAAATCAGCAAAACGAAAATATCATGACACTACCGACAGGGTCTACAATGCCAAAACAAGGCAGGAAAAGGGGTGAGGGGAGGGGTGGGGAGGGTGGGGTGGTAAGGCTGGGCAGGGATCACCACAATCTCGCGGCATGAGGCATGAGTGAGTGTAGAGCCTGTTGTCGGCGACGGTGTCCGTTCATGAGATGCGATCTGAGATGACTAAGCCAATGCGAGAGGTCTTCGGATGGGGGACGATCCTCTACAGACTAATAACCAAGTACTGACTGATCTCCTTGGGGCTAAGCACCCTCCGTACACGACTAGATAGGGTTTCGAATGATATGTTGTGCGATGACTTCACCAAATGTATACAATATTCAGGTAGGAGGAGGGATTGGTGATTAGAGTTATACCAGGGGCCCAGCATACAGGTTTTGTAATCACTTAAGTCTACGGATAGAGATACAGATCCAAACCGATTATGAAAAGAGATCTGCCACCGGTTTTAACCATTTCCAAAGGCATGGGGGGGGTCGGGGGTCATAATCGTAAAGTAAACAAGGTCAAGAAGTTAACCAAAAAACAACACTCACTCCGTATCGGCTGTACGTAGGTGAATCATAGCTGTTCAAGTACGAGGAGCTGGTGCGGTAGGCGGACGAACTGGAGCCGGCGCCTCCGTTCAAGTACGAGGATGAGCTTGTCGACCCGACACTGCTCCTCTGCAGGCTGGAGCGCGGCGTATACGACGAGGAGCCGCCGGTGTGACTGGAGGAGTACGTTGAATAGGAGCTGGGATAATAGCTACTGCCGTAGCCGGACGTGGACGAGGAAGTGCCGGCCGAGGAGCTACCGGACGGTGGCAGCCACTTGGAGAGGCTGCTGCTGCGATCGTAGCTGGACGAGTAACGTGAATAGCCGTTCGTGGTGATGCTACTTCTGTCCGCAGCACCGCTGCCGCTGGTGGAGGCGCTGCTGCTGCCGGTGGCGCCGCCGGCCGACGATGTGCCGTATAGACTGCCGCTGCCCGCCGCTGACGTTGACGATCTACGCGGCGCAATTACACGCATATTAGTGGCAGCAGCAGCAGCAGCTCTAATCTAACCGCGGTCAGGATTTCGATCTTGGGTATATCTCTGATACTGTTTCTAATTGCACGTGCCCTGGGTGCCCTTGTCTTCGTTGTTTGGATGTTCCTCTGGCGTGGATGTGATGGCGTCCGTAGTTTTTGGCTTGTTTCCTGCTTTAAAAAGTGCCAATAATTAACCTCGAATAGGTTCAAGTGATTCACCTACCTCGACTCCTTTGTAGACTCTGCTTATTTACACATTATCTTCGTCTTATCCCCAAGGCTTAGTTTAGTTTTAAACTTAATATCTGCTTATGTCCTACATCTAAGACCCGTTATTGTTGCTGTTGAATAAATAGGCAACTGAAAGGCAAGAAAAAAATAATGTTATTAGTCATTAGGCATCATGGAATAAAGCTTCCGCATTCCGCACAGCACTTCGGCTTCTGTTTTGGAGAACTCAAGGCTGGCGAGTTCAAGGTTCGTTAAAATTTAAATATCCCAGGGATGCCAAGGATAGTGCTAAACTTTTCAAGGGGAGCTCCCCACCCCCGTAACCATACCCATCAACTCTTGAATTGATTTTTCCAAACCAACACACTGGGCATGTAATCAATTAATTAAGGCCTAACAACACACATGTGCCGAGACACCTAGGGGCCACTCAGATGCGCCGCAACCTTCGCCAGTGAGTTGCACTTGGAACGTGGGGACATGGACAACTGATCAGCTGCGTCACTTGTTTACAATCACAAAATAATAATAAAAAAAAAAAAAAAAAAAAAACAAACGGTTCTGCAAGTTCTCGTCATAACAACAACAATTACAAGGGGATGGGGGGGGGCTAGGGGTTGGGTTATGCGGTAACACTAAACTGAAGTTGTATTGGAGTATAAGTGTGAACGAGTCGGATGTATGTGTGTGTGTGTGTGTGTGTGCCGCCAGGCAGTCTACATAAGGAAACCGTTAGTTTTCACCATTTTTGGCGTATTTACCGAACGACCGTTAAGGGGGTTGGAGGGGACTTAACTGTTATAAAATGGCCAAATCGATCTTTCGTTTATAAAATACTATCAACTACAGCCCATTCACACGCACGCACACCCGTACAGAAATAAATGAAATTCTTCAAGTTCACACACCAACACTTCAACACGCATAGTGTGTAAAGCTTTTTTATTTTTTTTTTTTTTGGTTCGGTTACCACGTTTTCATTATTCATGATGCTGCGCCTTTTGGATCAAAAAAAAAAAAATTGTACGCTCTCACTGCCGCCGCCGCCACCGCCGCCGCCGCTGCCGTCAAAAATCCAATAATTATGATAAAAGCAACAACAAAATATAAAATGAAACGAAATAAGTCTATTTTTAAAAGCGCTTTAAGCACATACAGGCACACATTCACGCTGCTGGTTTGACAGTGAAATGGGGGGCCGGGGTGGGGGCGTGGGAGCAAGGGATGGCAGTAGTAAAACCAGCGCCACCATATGTGGGCAAGCGAGATAGCACGATTGGGGACACAGTCACACACACACGGCCACGAGCTCTCTCTTACACACACAAACACACACACACACACTAACACTGTCGCAAATACGAATTACGCAAAGTGAAATATCTTGCTCAAAAAGGAAAGTGGAAAAGTGACGATGGCTTTACATATTTTTTTTAGCCTTGAGCCGATCCTCGAAAATAACCGAGCAGAAACCGAAAAATCCAGGCTAATATTAAAGCTGCTGCTGGTGGAGTGATGGAGAGAGAGTGAGAGGGGGAGAGTAGGGAAAATTTGACCGCAAAACGAATATCACGAGTCGAACGAGGTCGTTTCGAAGAAAAAACCGTCTATATTTGTTTATATACTTGTTTTAATCACACACCGCGCCTCGCTCTCAGACGATAATTGTGTCAAATAACTTTATGCATCTGCTAAAAATATTGAAATTTTCAGAGCAGCAGAAAACTTACTTTACTGATTTTTTTTATTTTGGCCAGTGTGGCCGAGCGGCGATAATTGAGCAAAGCGAAATTTGGGTATCTGCAATCGAGCTTCGATAAATCAAATCGAATAGTTATCGAATCGCAACGCAAACCCTGGCACATCTCTAGTATATACAGCGCAAGTGAAAATTCTTTCTCCGTGTGAAAATTCTAAACGCCATTCGCAAAAGTGGCTGCAAAAGAAAGCGAATAGCATTTACCAAGTTCTCAATAGAGTCGATCAGAATACAGACGGGACTGCTATTTGTGGTTTAATTCTAATTTAGTGTTGTCAAGTTTGAGGGAGGGCCGGAAAAGTTCCAGCCAAGCGGACGCATTGCGGCCGAAATGTCCACGCCGCTGGAGCCGGGTTTCTGATACGGTTCCCCACCAATCCGCCCCACTGGCCGACGTCAAATTCAGCCAGAAAACTTCGACGAGAATCGCATTCAGCCGGAAGACGGTCGAGCTGGCAACACTGCCGCCGCAAAATGAAGTGAATTCTCAGGAAAACCAACCCGTAAAGAAAAGCCAGGAACGTCCGCTGTAAAAGTGCCAATGCGAAACACAAACGAAGAACATCTCTGTTTCCCATTGCACATTGGCTTTTTGTTGAGTTTTGCGCAGTTTTGAAAGGCGTCGTCATATCATCATTATTATCATCAGACATTAATCATCGGTCATTATCACCGTCTTAAAATCCAAACCATCATCCGCTATTGGTTGCCATCACACACCGATCCAGTTCATCATCCCACGTTCTTGAGGAGAGTCCCCTTACTGCGGATAGCATCTTCATTGTAAACTTACCCAGTACAAGTCACACAGTTCAGGTCTGTCTCTCTCGCCTAATTGCCCAGCACTCCTCCTTATTGTCCTTGTCCGCCCCCCCCTACAGTTATGTCATCGACCGCCGGGAAGCGCAAGGAGATCTATAAATATCTCGCACCATGGCCGCTGTACTCCATGAACTGGAGCGTCCGGCCGGACAAGCGTTTTCGGCTGGCCCTTGGAAGCTTCATCGAGGAGTACAACAACAAGGTGCAGATCATCAGCCTGGATGAGGATACCAGCGAATTTAGTGCCAAGAGGTAACAATGCCGCTCCGGTACCATTGATTTACTGACAACTTTTCATTATCCATCACAGCACATTTGACCATCCATATCCGACCACCAAGATCATGTGGATTCCGGACTCGAAAGGGGTCTATCCAGATCTGCTGGCCACCAGCGGCGACTACTTACGTGTATGGCGTGCCGGAGAGCCGGACACTCGTCTCGAATGCGTATTAAATAACAATAAGAATAGTGATTTTTGCGCCCCGCTCACCTCCTTCGACTGGAACGAAGTGGATCCCAACCTGGTTGGCACCAGCTCAATAGACACCACCTGCACTATTTGGGGCCTCGAGACTGGCCAGCCACACGCCCGCGTCTATGTGGCGGGGCACGTAAAGACACAGCTGATTGCCCACGACAAGGAGGTCTATGACATAGCCTTTTCGCGGGCAGGCGGCGGTCGGGACATGTTCGCCTCGGTTGGAGCCGATGGATCGGTGCGCATGTTTGATTTGCGTCACCTGGAGCACTCGACCATTATCTATGAGGTGAGTGAGAGCCCCCCCTGACATGGAAATAGACTCAACTTGTATTTTTTTCAGGATCCTGCCCACACCGCGCTGCTGCGCTTGGCCTGGAACAAACAGGACCCGAACTATTTAGCCACAGTTGCCATGGATTCATGTGAAGTTATTATTTTAGATGTTCGTGTTCCTTGTACACCCGTTGCAAGACTGAGCAATCACAGAGCGTGCGTCAACGGTATTGCGTGGGCGCCGCATAGGTAAGAAGGATTATTTTTATGATTAATACAAGCGTTATTATTTCGATGTGGTGTCTCTACAGTTCCTGTCACATCTGCACTGCCGGTGATGATCACCAAGCACTGATCTGGGATATACAACAAATGCCACGCGCAATCGAGGATCCAATTTTAGCCTATACAGCTGCCGAGGGCGAAGTCAATCAGATTCAGTGGGGCGCCACCCAGCCCGACTGGATAGCCATTTGCTACAACAAAGCTTGCGAGATCCTGCGGGTCTGAGTCAATTTATTTTGTTGGATTTGTTTTTTTTTTGGCACTTGGCTGCAATGGCTGAACAACGCACAGTCAACGGAAACTGGAGACGAGAGGGCAGCACCACGAAAACACTTACACATACACCTATATACATATATTTGCTGTTGGTATTTGTTTCGTTTTTTTTTTTAAATTTCTGAAGCATACGTTTGCGCTAGGCTTGAGCTTCAGTTGGATCGGTTCTGTCACCGCTTCCGTAATATTTTATTTATTTACTGTCGATTGCGAAGTGGATATGGAAAGAGAGAGAGAGAAAGGAAAGGAAAGGAGTCGAAAGGATATGGACGATAAGGATCGTGTATTTTAGAGATCATAGCTTAGTTGACTATAAAAGTATATAAGTCTATAAGGTATAACCAAAACATGTATTTCTAATTGTAGTTTATTTCACACTTGACAAGGCCCAAAAATGTCACCCCTGCCCCTGCCCCCTTTGAACAAATCAATTTGAGGAGCTTTGTTTAATGTTGTAATGCTTGGCTTAGACGACAAAAAAAACAAAAAAAAAAAACCAATGGGAATATAAGAGCAAAAAAATATTTAAAACAATGTCCTACCTCGTTTTTTCAACCATAAATATTGTTACCAATCAATATTTTGAGTCAGCAGCAATAAAACATAACAAAAAATACAAAAACACAATGAGACAAACAAAAACAAAAAACAGAAAATAGACAGCTACCACAAGAAAACGCTTTTTCGAAATATTTTTACTTTTTACTTTGTTCAATTTTAATTTTTATAACACGTTTTTAAGAGAACCAAAAACAAAATCGAAAAATCGAAAACAAAAACGAAAAGAAGTAAAAACAAAAGCAAAACCATGGACTTAAGCAAATGCAAAACAAAAATAAAATGATTTAAATAATGTAAGCGAGAATACTTAAATATATAACTGAATAAAACCGAGAGGGAGTGGAGGTTGGAGATCGGAGATTGGAGATGTTGGAGACGGAATACAACTGCACACAACACAGCTAGAATACAATACTATTTAAAGATACAAACTAAAAGTAAAAAAAAAAACAAATACCGAAATATATGAGCGAGAGAGAATACAAGATTGTTGCTATATCCATTTAACAAACAAACAAACAAAAACAAAAAGAACACAACAAGGCGAAACTATGATCATTTCACAGTAAAACAGGATATACCCCCTATAAATGGTATAATAATAACTCCTCCAAATCCCCACAGGACAACAGCGACTTCTCCAGACAAAACAGCAAAACAGAAAACCAGAAGAAAAATCGAATTTTTTTATGTATCTTGTAATTTATAGCAATTTCACAGCTCAGCCACTCCATATATTCATACGAATATGTATATGTGTATACAAAATGAATATATAGTAATACTAATAACCCGAAAGGTCATGTACTGTACATACAACATGAACGAGAATCTTTTTAGCCACAGAAACAAAAAAATGTGTAACACCAACCAACAATCAGAACAAGACTTATCCCCTGATTTTGTGAAGTCCCCCCCTCCAAATCCCAGTTCGCCATTGAATCCTTTTTGATATTTATAGCCATCGGTTATATATATATATATTGTATTGTATACTGATTTGGCATTAATGGTTTCTGTGAAAAAAAAAGAGTAATACACAAAAAAAATAGGATATCAAATATTTGGAAAACACCAGCAGTTTCAGTTTCAATTATTCTCCTTAATTTGTGCTTATTTATTGCATTATGCTATTTATGTAATGGCCATGTAACTACATTTAAATATTGAATGTTTTTATAAACACGCACCCAGATACACACATCCACATCTAGACATCCCATCTGGCTGGTGGTTACTAGAAGGCCGATGGAGCTCTTTGGACGATTGATTGAGATTTTGGCGCAAAAACCAAACACAAAAATGATTGAATTGAAGGAGAAAACAAACCAAAACCGACAAATATTTCAATAAACCATTTTTAAATAATAAGCTGCTGCGTTCTAAACTATATCAAGTCCGGCAGATCAGGGGGTGCACATATGTTGCTGATGTCCACCACGCCACGGAGTTCTACCTCACCAGTTTTCTTCGGCTCTACCTTATCGCTTGGGCTGGAAACAGATAAGAAAGGGAGTTAGGATCCTGGTTTATTCGGATTATTTGAAAGCCCACCTCTGTGTCAGAGTTTTCTTGGCGCTTAGCAGCACTTCATTCACCATGAGCTTCTTCAAGGTAACCAGTAGGTGTCCTGTGGCCTGGGAACGCTGCACCAACGTTTCATCCGGCTTGACTTCTTCGTTGTACGCAATCTGGAAGATTTTCTTCTTGACAGTTACTCGGGCGTAGAAGGGCTCCACATCTACGTCAATTAATGAAGTATCCAAATGTCTGGAAAATGCAATTATTTTTATATATTTGATACCATATCTCAGCCAATTCATAACCGATCACTAAACGGATGGTTTTATAATAATTCTGGGGTGAAATACTATCAAATTCTAACAAAATCTGCAATAGAAAATTTTTATCGATTTTTTATAAAATTTTATGAGGGTTTTTCCCTTGGAAAATTTGCAAAAAATTTGACAATTTTTTTATTGCCTTATTTTGGTATAAGCTTTAAGTACTGAAAAAGCTGAGATAAGGAAGGTATGACATTCTTGGCTCGGACAAGAATTCGCTGAGTTATGGCTATATAAAGTTGGGTAAAATCCATTTTTTTAACATTCCAGATCCTAGGGGTCTAAATTCGATTTTTTACCATCGGAGAACACCATATCTCAGCCAATACTTAACCGATCCCTAAACGGATGGTTTTATAATAATTCTGGATTAAAATACTATCAATTTTTAATAAAATCTGCGATAGAAAATTTTCATCGATTTTTTATATAATTTTACGAGGGTACCCCTTGGAAAATTTGCAAAAAATTTTTAAATTTTTTTATTGCCTTATTTTGGTATAAGCTTTAAGTACTGAAAAAGCTGAGATAAGGAAGGTATGACATTCTTGGCTCGGACAAGAATTCGCTGAGTTATGGCTATATAAAGTTGGGTAAAATCCATTTTTTTTAAATTCCAGATCCTAGGGGTCTAAATTCGATTTTTTACCAGCGGGGACTATCATATCTCAGCCAATACTTAACCGATCACTAAACGGATGGTTTTATAATAATTCTGGGTTAAAATACTATCAATTTTTAAAAAAATCTGCGACAGAAAATTTTCATCGATTTTTGATAAAATTTTACGATGGTACCCCTTGGAAAATTTTCAAAAAATGTTTAAATTTTTTGAATGCCAGTTTTTGGCAAAAACATTAAGTCCTGAAAGAGCTGAGATAAGGAAGGTATGACATTCTTCGATCGGACAGGAATTGCCTGAGTTATGGCTATAAAAAGTTGGGTAAAATCCATTTTTTGACCATTCCATATCCTAGGGGTCTAAATTCGATTTTTTACCATCGGCGAAGACCATATCTCAGCCAATACTTAACCGATCACTAAACGGATGGTTTTATAATAAGTCTGGGTTAAAATACTATCAATTTTTAACAAAATCTGCGACAGAAAATTTTCATCGAATTTTGATAAAATTTTACGAGGGTACCCGTTGGAAAATTTTCAAAAAAATTTTAAAATTTTTTGACTGCCAGTTTTTGGCAAAAACATTAAGTCCTAAAAGAGCTGAGATCGGGAAGGTATAACATTCTTAGATTAGACAAGAATTCGCTGAGTTATGGCTAATCAAAGTTGGGTAAAAGCCATTTTTTCACCATTCCAGATCCTAGGGGTCTAAATTCGATTTTCTAACAACGGGGACTATCATATCTCAGCCAATACTTAACCGATCCCTAAACGGATGGTTTTATAACAATTCTGGGTTAAAATACTATCATTATTCACAAAAATCTGCGACAGAAAATTTTCATCGATTTTTGATAAAATTTTATGAGGGTACAAAATTGGAAAATTTTCAAAAATTTTTAAAATTTTTTGAATGCCAGTTTTTGGAAGAAACATAAAGTCCTGAAAGAGCCGAGATGGGAAAGGTATAACATTCTTGGATCGGACAGAAATTGCCTGAGTTATGTTTATGGAAAGACGAGGTTTTGGAAAAAAAAGCTTTTGAAAATGGACCTTTCCCAAACCCACCTATAAACCTCCAGATGAAGCAGATAGTGATCTGGTTCGTCTTGAAAATTAAAATTCAGCTTGGCCTGATTTAGATTGTATGGCCTTCCACAGGGAGCGAAGAGATGGCGTGGCCTCTTTGGTACCGTTTCCGCGGACTTTGGCTCGTGACGCTCGCGTCCAAGGCGATGCTGCCTGGCAATCTCGGTGCGGATTTCAGGACAGTGCTCGCTCTTTGACTGCCAGAAGGTCTGGATGCGTTCCTCCTCGTCCTCGATTGCGGCACACCGCTCCGCCAAAGCGCGCTGCTGGTTGGCTACACGAATCCGTTGCTCATCCCGCTCTATGGCCTGATTCGCCTGACACTGCACGATGTTGGCCCGATTGGCGACCAACTCGCGACAAGCTTGCAGCCGTTCCGAACGAGTGATCTCAACAGCATCCAAGCTCTCTAGTTGCGGCAAAGTGGCTATCACATAATTCCGGTAGTTCGGATAATCAATACACGGATTTCCTATCAAGAGCAACTCCCGCAGGTTGATGTTGCCTTTTAAAGACTCAACGGAGGTCAAGTGACCAATAAAATTTAGAGTGAGATCTAGTTTCTTGAGAGATTCGCAGCCTTCCAGGTTCTCGATACGCTCGATGTTATTTATGGCAGCATTCAGGTACTCCAAGCGCTTTAGTTTGTGCAGATTTTCCAGGCGACCAATGAGATTGGATTGCAAAAGGAGAATCTTTAGCTCCCGGCACCAGTTTCCGATGTGTTCGATCTTTTCGATGTCCTCCTGGTGCAGCGAGACCTCCTCCAGGGTGCTGATGAGCCGCTCGTTGTGCTCGGCCTTCTTGCGAATCAACTCCTCGGTGACTAAATGTACAAATATTTTAAATAATATATTTTATAATAGTTTCAACTACTCACTGCGAACCATATTGGATGGTTGTTATGCTGAAGTGGGACTATTGCCTTGAAAATAACAGTCTACGCCGTTGCTAGGCAATCGGTAGATACGTCATTTGATGGCCTACTGTTTTCCCCAAGTCATTCTGTATTGTTTTGGTCCCATTCCTACCTTGGAACTGCATTTCGTTGAACTCATTGAATGGATATGCATATGCATATCGATTGCGACGTCACTAGTCGTTCCAGGAGCGGATTTCTCCGTCCAGTGAACAATATGAAGCCTATCCTACCTTTATTGTCAGACAGTAAGGGTGTTAAGAAGTCACCACTTGGCTACCCACTGCAAGATGCAATATTTATTTGTATTTTATGCAATAGTTGTGCTGATAAAGTAGCTGCCGTCCAATAAAATCACTTAAGACCTGGTGATAATGAACATCTTCCGGGTGCGAAACCCGGCCTGTTTTTCGGCTCGAATTTCTCTTTCGGCATTCCGCTCCTGGACTAGCGAGAGAAATCTAATCAGCTGAATTACAATTAAGTAGTGGAACTATCGAATTAATTGCGTCGTGTTGTGCGCCGGCCAGTTTGTCTAGCGATTGAGCGGCGGCCAGACAGAAAACACAGCTTGATAATACACATACGTACATGTGGTCACGATCTGACAATGGGAACCGACAAGGATAATGATATATTGCGTCCACTCAGCGATAGCGAAGTAGACGAGCTGCTCGCTCTGTACAAGACCAAGTTCGGAGTCCAAAACTTTCACTATCTGCTGTTTTACAATCAGAGAAAGTGGGATCGCCAGCTGGACGAAGCCAAAATTAGTCGCGATGATCCGGATTACATATCCCTGAGGAAGCAGTTCTTCACTCATCGCCGTGGTGACTTCCGGAAGTGGGGAACGTACGTCAGTCTCCACCGGGACATAGTCCAGAGTGTCTCCTTTTTCAGTTGGCAACCGGACGGCTGCCCCGAGATGTGGGAGTGCCTGGAGCAGACCAATCGCATCGAATGGACTCAGGGTGCCCTGCTGACCAATGTGGATCTAGGATTCTGTGACCGGGTCAAGACGCTGGCTCAGAAACGGGGTGTCTTGGAGATGCAGCCGCGTCAATGTTTCGGAATGGTCTTGAGCCACGAGGATGCGAGGAAGGCCGAGGTGCCGGAACTGCTGTCGGAGTTCGATATCCGACGGCTCACTGACGAGGACGCGGCCATGGTTCACTCCATTTGGCCGAACAAAGGTGAGGGATCCTTGGCCTATTTACGGGCTCTCATCCGCTTCAACCATACGTTGGGAATCTGTCGGAGTGATACGGGCGAACTCATTTCCTGGATCTTCCAGAACGATTTCTCCGGCCTTGGGTAAGATCCGCAAGATATTGTATTCGGTGGCCTAATCCTTAACGTTGTTTCCAGCATGCTTCAAGTCCTGCCCAAAGCGGAACGACGAGGTCTAGGTGGCCTCCTGGCAGCTGCCATGACTAAGCGGATTGCCAAGAACGAGGAGGTGACTCTCACCGCCTGGATCGTGGCCGTGAACTGGCGGTCGGAGGCTCTTCTTAAGCGCATAGGCTACCACCAGGCCGTGGTCAACGAATGGATCAAGCTGGTGCCCCTGACATCCTCGTAGAGCTAGGAACTCTCATCTCATCACCATCACTGGGCTGGGGCGGTGCTGGATTTACCGCTGGAATGGAATACTAACATTGGGTTGGGTCAAGAAGCACACACACATAGAGTCAGATTTGCATTTTCTGTACATCTGTACACCTTAAGGTCTAATTAAATCAGAAACTAATTCGAAACCAGGGGCCAAATGGAAATGGAAATTTGATGACCCGAACTACTTTTGTACACACTCTGATACGATATCGAAAATAAAATTAATTAGAATCATTGCTTAGACTAACTACACATAACTAACTTATAAGCTGAAGAGGTAATCTAAGGTGACGAGAAAAAATGATGCAGTGAAGCCTTTGTATAATCCTTAAGTATCCTTCGATCAAGGTCCTTGATGATGGCTCCACTTCCTTGGACGTAAAGAACTCCAGTTTCTTACAGAATATTCCTATACCTGTAGCTTTTGTGGAATGCAATATCAAAAAAAAAAACAAGTATAAAACAAAGATGCCGCCATGGATCCAGGGATAGAAATGCTGGCTACGTGTTTACCAACACTGTCAAATGGAAGCGCAGAAGCTGGTCACACAGGAGCTATCCTTACATTAAATGGCTACTTTATTCAAAAAATATTATTACAGAAACAATACTAGGCACATTAAATGGCTGTGTCCACCTCGTGGTGTTCCAGATGCTTCATATATGCCAGGAAGCAGGTCCAGCACAGGCTGCAGGCGCTGATGAACGGAACACGATTCCGCTCCGGGATTAGCGTGAAGTTTATGGTGGCCACCAGGGGCCAAACCGACAATGCCACCTATGGAGCGATAATAATAACATAAGATGCAACGAGGAATCTTCTTCTATAGTTGACATACCTTGTATGTAGGTAGGAACTTAATGCCGACCTCGGTCACAGCTTCCTCCACCGTCTTGGACTCAAGGAGACTCATGAAAAAGTAAAAGCATGTCATAGCACCGGGCGTATAGGATATCGTCTCCACCGCCGCTTTGATCACTCCAGTTTTAAAAGATGTCTGCGGCCACATGGCGCTGGAGACCTAGGGGACCATCAATAAGTTTATATTGCTGGTGGAATCACCACTTACCTTGACCCATCCGTAGAGTGTTGGAGCCACGAAGAGTCCGCCATACATGCTAAAGCGCAAGACACGCCACCAGTCATAGGTACCTGAAAGACTTGCGAGAATGGACCTCCTCCTAGCAGAGACCAGCAGCAACTACTCACCCCAACTCCTGCCCTCCACTGTCTGCTGGATAAGGCTGCCCGTGGGCCAGATCAGGCTGTATGATATCATGCCACGCATTATGGGGTATCGGGTGACGAGCGCCTTGAAGTTCTGCCACAGCAGTGGGGCTGCCATTGCAATCTCGGCCTGCGGAATCACAATCGCGAAGTATGCATCTCATTAACATGGATAATTCAACCACCTGCATGGCCAGCTCGAAGGCAGAGTATAAATGCGGGTCCCACCCATTGGCCCCATAAATACCCAGCTCCGTTGGCGGGTCGTGCACATAGATCCCGACATGGCTTCGAGTGCACGGCTCGCGTTGTGCCTTCAGGTCTCCTTCGTCTTGGCTGCCGCATTTAAAAACGATGGAAAAATCGTGAATGGAACCACCGCGGCGCCCGGCGAGTTTCCCTTTGTGGTCTCCCTGCGTCGTTCGAAGAGTGGCAACCACTCCTGCGGCGCCACACTGCTCAACTCCTACTGGGTACTCACAGCCGCCCACTGCGTCCGAGGATCTAAGCCAGAGCAGGTGGATGTGCAGTACGGCAGCCAGCGGCTGGTGCGCAACACCACCCAGCTGGTGAAAGTAGCTGCCATCCACGTGCATCCTGGCTACGATCCCCAGAACAAGTATGTCCACGACATAGCTCTTCTTCAGCTAAAGGATTACGTTTCCATGAACAAGCGGGCCCAACCGGTGCGTCTCCCCGAGCCTCGTCAGCAAACACCTGGAAATGCTAGTGCTGTTCTTGCGGGATGGGGTCTAAATGCGGTATGGGCTTAACTTGATGGCTTTAGAAAGTCCTCTTATACCTTGTCCTGTTTTAGACTGGCGGCGTGGTGCAGCGAAATTTGCAGAAGGTCAACCTCCAAGTCTTTAGCGACCAGGAGTGCAGTGAGCGTCATCAGGAGCAGCTGCATTCCAGTCAGATCTGCGCCGGTGTGCCCGAGGGCGGAAAGGGCCAGTGCAGTGGCGACTCCGGAGGACCCTTGCTGCTAACCAGCTCGGACACCCAAATTGGAATCGTATCCTGGAGCATTAAACCGTGCGCACGACCACCGTTTCCCGGAGTATTCACGGAGGTGTCGGAATACGTCGATTGGATTGTGACTACCGTGGGCAGCTCATCCACCCCGTCGTCGCTATGGGTCGGGCAACTTGTAGTGGGACGCTCGCCACCAGCCCTCACCTAGGCCTAGGAATGACACTTCGTACACCCCACAATTAAATACCTCTGCATACAATATATATATCTATCTCTATCTAATTCAACAATTGGCCTAAAGAACAACAAACAAGGAATTTGGATTACTTAAAGCGAGGCTACTGCTTGACGGCCGGCGTATTCTCGTGGCGGGATTTCATGTAGGCAAGAAAGATGGTCCACATCAGGCTGCATATGCTCACAAAAACAACGCGGTTGTGCTCCGGCACCAGCGAGAAATTGATGGTCTGCAGGAAGGGCCAGATGCAGACTCCCACCTGGATGGGTGTATGGATAAGTAATGAGCAATGTGCGGGAGGTTAATGGAGCAGGTTCTGCAAGCAGCTTACCTTATACGTGGGCGGCGCCTTTTCTATCGTTTCTTCAATGGCCTGGCTGAAGGTCTTCATCTCCAGCAGGCTCATGCCCATGAAGAAGCTGACGCACGCAAAGGGTCCGTAGGAGAGCTGCTCAGTGACGGCCTGAAAATGTTGCGATGAGCTTAAGCTTGTTTCCCCCGAGCTGATGGCGCCCTTACCTTGATGATGCCGGAGCGCAGGTTGGTCTTCGGCCACATGGCGCTGGTGAGTCGCACCCATCCGTACAGAGTGGGCGCCACATAGAGGGATCCAAAAAGACTGAACCGAAGAGCCCGGGCCCAATCATAGTCCCCTGTGTTTTAGCATTGGATGAAGGCTGGGAGGTGAAGGAGGAGGTTCAGATGCCACGACATGATGCTTGTACTTACGCGGACTCTTGCCTTCTATCGCCTGCTGGATCAGACATCCTGTTGGCCACATCACAGCATAGGTGAGCGCTCCCCTGGCCATGGGATGGATCTTCATCTTGCCGGCTCCCTGAATGCGGAACAGAGATGCCTGGATAAACTTAACCGACTGCGGCACCATATCCCGAAAACTGTTTAAAGGATCTAAGTCAATTCCCTGTCCAACCTGTATCCTCAACAGCAATAGCAACAGCACCGCCAGCGACAAACAAAACTAAAAACGGCCCAGCCAAGGTCAGAGTCTGCGAGGAGGGGAGCTGGCCATGGTCAAAGGCTAACGGGTTGGTGGGATACTTGCTGTGTTCTCTGACTGCTTGGATCGGCACTTGATCGCGGTGGATGCCGCACGAAAACTAAAAGTTCCTCCCCCCTGAGGCAATTTCTAATTTCGAACATGGTGAGCAACATGCGAGGCCCACTCCGAGTGCATCAATATGCACGAACCAGTCCAATGCATTCTGTTTGCAGGGGAAAAACCTCTTTGCGCCGATATTGACCCTCAAATGTGACGGCAGAGCTCTCCGAGAGTGCGTGTCATCTGGCGGAAGTGTTCTCACAAGGACTTTATGTAACAGAGCCAGAGGGGAGGGCGACCACCGCTCGCTCTTCCCCAAGATTTCGCATGAATGGAAAATAACGGCACGTTTGGCGCAACGCCAGTCATCAAGCAAACAGATTACGTCGCTCGTAAACTAAAAACTAACAAAGAGCAGGACCGTATAGGCTGTTGTTGTTGGTACGTTGCTGTTGTTGTTGCTGTTGGCGTTGCTGGGGCTTCTACTTACTTGGCGGGGTGGGGACGGGGAATTTGGAAATGTATATGGGGGCCTGGACTAGCCTTAGTCTAACTTATTAAAATCCTAATTTGTACTGTGGTTGTGCGGGGCTCCACATCTCGCGCCCGCCGTCATTCGCGTAACTAGCGATAAAATCCAAACAGCCGTGTTTTGCTAAAGTCAGCTGCTTGTCATTATCGCCAGCATTTCCAAGCTTACTGGGTGGGGGTGGTTGGTGACGGCCCCAGCAGCCGGGCTTTTTATTTTTCGAGTAAATGGTCACTCTAATCCGCAAACTGTTGGATAAAAGCGCCGGAAACAAATTAACCAAACACTATGCGAGTCCGGTGGCCAGGGACAGTGTCCCTGGCGTTTCTACTGCTGCTCCTAATCCTCTTCCAGCTAACGGCCGCCTACCGCAACAAGTCTACCGTCCTAACGAGGAAAATCCACCGTCGCCGGGATGCTACCTGTTCGAGGCACTTGATCCAGGAGCTTCTGCCGCTGCCTGACACCTGTCCGCCGGCAGTACTTCGTCTACGAGGCGTCGTTTACATCCTGTACGACGTGAATCTCTCCGAGGGCTTCAATCTCCGACGTGACGTATACATTCGCATGGCAGTTTTCGTGCGGCGCCTACGGCACAAGGAACGCTTCCGAAACGTGCGCCTAGTACTGCCCCCCTGGCCTCGACTTTATCACTGGAACTCACAGGGCCTGCGGCAGAGCAATCTGCCCTGGAGCCACTTCTTTGATGTAGAGAGTCTTCGCCGCTATGCCCCGGTTCTGGACTATGAGGAGTTTTTGGCCGAGCAGCGCCTGTTTGGCAGCCCAGGCGCTCCCTTGGTGCACGTAGCACACGCATTCCGCCTGCAGCATTTCGACCATATGCTTGAGCAAGGAATATTTAGGGACAAGTTTGAACGTATTACGGATGCGCCATGCAACGAGAGATCCCTTTCCGGCGGACCCATTCTCCAGCAACCGGAGTTGCGGGTAGAGCGTTTCCATTGCGTCCGCTTCCAGGGCAGCGCCGGGCTGTTAGAGAAACTGCTCCGTGAGGCTATTGCTGAGGACACAAGCGGACCCGATGATGCGGACGACATGCGTACCTATGCTGTGCTCTCGGCCGAGACAGTGCTCCACGACCACTGGGGCGACGAACACTTCTGGCTGGCTCGTCGTTCAATGCGTTTTTCTCGGCGCCTCAGCACTGTTGCTGCCGAATTCAGGAAACAGACTCTAACCACTAAGGATGAGGATACCGGAGTGCAGCGACCGGCCATGTGGGAGCTGGAACGCCCAAAGCGAAATGCCCGTGGCGGGGACTACCTTTGCGCCCATCTGAGACGCGGCGATTTTGTGCGGTCCCGAGAAGGGACCACTCCCACACTAAAATCGGCTGCCCAACAGGCAAAGCAACTAATGAGGGGCTTTAACCTCACCACCGTGTTCATGGCCACCGATGCTACTCCATATGAGCTGATGGAGCTGAAGGAACTGTTCTACCGTTTCCGTTTCGTCCATTTTACGCCGGAATCAGATGCCCAGCGGCGGGAGTTGAAGGACGGAGGTGTGGCCGTGGTGGACCAGCTAGTGTGTGCATATGCCCGGTACTTTGTGGGCACATATGAGAGCACATTCACGTACCGTATCTACGAAGAGCGGGAGATTCTCGGGTTTCCGCAGTCGAGTACCTTCAACACCTTTTGCAGGGCGCTAGGAGGCGCCTGCTCCAGAAATTCGGTTTGGCCTATTGTTTGGGATGATGGCAGCGAGATTGACTATGAGGAGGATGATGATTTGTACTGAATTCTCGCTGTGTTATCAAATATTGTACTAAGAATCCGATAGCTATGGAGACTATCTTCTCCATCCTGCTAAGATTACTCGAATCCTAGTTGTAAGTTCACGTTTATCAAAACTGCAACAAATATTCCAAACAACCTGCGATTATGTACCAAAAAATAAATCAATAATCTTTATTCAACGTTCTTTTTTATACATTTTGCCTTTTATACACTTTTCTATACAAGTTTTTCAAATTTACGCGCCATCCATTCTAACTGTCTGGCACAATATACAACCCCAACGTCTGGCTCCACCATCGAATTGTCCAACCAGGTGGCAGCTCTTTCCCATCACTAAACTTGGGAAAGGCAAAGAATTGCACGTGTTTTTATTTTGAAAGAATTATTTTACTTAGACGGTAGTTACCTTTTTTAGAATGGGTAAGAAAAACAAGGGCGCCACGCCCAATCTGGGACGCCAGCTGATCAAGGATCGGTTTGGCCACACGCCACGCAGGAAGGTGGACAACGACACAATGGTGCGTAGTGCGTAGAAACACATAGAAATCCAAAATAATAAACAAAATGTTTCAATTCCCGTAGCTTCACACCACGGAACTGCAGGACGGCTACGACTGGGGCCGCCTTAATCTATCGTCGGTGACGGAGGAGTCGTCCTTCCAGGCTTTCCTGCGCACGGCTGAGCTGGCCGGTACAGAGTTCCAAGCGGAGAAATTGAACATCACCTTCGTGAACCCGAAACAACGAGTGGGACTGCTTAGCAAGACACAGGAGCAGAAGATGCACCAGAAGCACCATGAACACCGTGACCAGCTGAAGATTCCGCGACGCCCCAAATGGGATAAGAACACCAGACCAGAGGAGCTAGAACGGGCGGAAAATGAAGCCTTTCTCGACTGGCGTCGAGATCTTGCTCTGCTTCAGGAGGACGAGGAGATCATCATGACGCCCTACGAGAAGAACCTTGAGTTCTGGCGGCAGTTGTGGCGTGTCGTTGAGCGTTCCGATGTGGTGATTCAAATTGTCGATGCCCGCAACCCGTTGCTCTTCCGCAGCGTCGATCTGGAGCGTTATGTTAAGGAAGTGAATCCTAACAAGATGAATATGATCCTGGTCAACAAGTCAGACCTTCTGACGGCTGAGCAGCGTCGCCACTGGGCGGAATATTTCGACGGCGAAGGCATCCGCACAGCGTTCTATTCTGCTACTCAGGTAGAGGAGGAATTGAAACGCGAGGCAGAGGCAGCTCGGCAGGAAAACGTAGCGGAGGTACAGGAGCTGCGTACGGCGGCCGAAGAGATTCAGAAGTCTCTGGACAAGTGGCAGGGAACATTAGAAGCCATCGAGCAGAAGCTGAAGATTATGGACTGTAAGGAGAAGCTACCTTGCCTTCCCACCGATAAGAACAGCTCGCGAGTACTATCCCGCCTGGAGCTGATAGAGTTCCTGCGTCACATTTACTCTGGGCCGAGGCACACAGAGCAGCACGTGACTATCGGAATGGTGGGCTATCCGAATGTGGGAAAGAGCAGCACAATCAACTCCCTGATGACGGTCAAGAAGGTCTCTGTTTCGGCCACTCCGGGAAAGACAAAACGCTTCCAGACACTTTTCCTGGACAAGGACATCCTGCTGTGCGACTGCCCCGGCTTGGTTATGCCCAGTTTTGTGCTTACCAAGGCCGACATGTTGCTCAATGGCATCCTGCCTATCGATCAGATGCGTGACCACGTCCCGGCTGTTAATCTCTTGTGTGAACGCATTCCGCGCCATGTTCTCGAAGATAAGTACGGCATCGTGATAGCGAAGCCCCTGGAGGGAGAGGATCCCAATCGTCCGCCATATTCGGAGGAGTTGCTTTTGGCCTACGGATGTGAGTGTTTTTTGTATGTCCTTTGTACATTCATATAAGCGTTCCCCTTTCTTTACAGACAACAGAGGCTTCATGACTTCCAACGGTCAGCCGGATCAAGCGCGTTCCGCTCGCTATGTGCTCAAGGACTATGTGAACGGCAAGCTGCTTTATTCCCTGGGACCGCCCTCGGTGGTCCAGGAGGACTATCACAAATTCCCTGAGCGCCAGCGCAAGGTGATCGAGGAGTCGCAGCTTCCCAGCCAGCAACAGAGAGCCATGAGGGTAAGGATTCCATCACAAACCTCATAGGCTGTAAAGTACTACTTCCTAATAATCACTTTTCGTTTTTAGATTGACAAAAGCCAGGCGAAGGTTCTGGATCAGCAGTTTTTCGACGATAAGCCTAACCACGCCCATGTCAAGGGCCGTACCAACTTTCCACATGTCCGCTTGAGCAATGACGGATCCTTAGTGGCCGCCGCCGACCCGATGGCAAAGCCCTGGCGCCACGTTAAGAAGGAACGCCGCGAGAAATTGCGCAAAAAGTTCTCCCACTTGGACGAGCACTAATCCCTGGTTGGACGTGCAACTATTTATTAAACTGCACCCTGTATATTTTTAGCATTAGACTTTCCTAGCTATTAAAACAAATGCCAGAGCGTTATCTCGCGAAAAAAAAGAAAGATCGGAGTGCGTAATTGCCCCCATAAGTCGATAACCTCCCACAGCCACTTAATCGCGTTTGGGAGTCAAGGAGGAGGCTTCGCTCGTTTGCATATCGCATACACACAGCATATGATCACATGCATGGGAGTAGGGGGAGAACTAGTCCACTCCAGCCCGGAGGAGTGAGAGGGTGCAGTGCGTTTTTGTACTTTGATCGCTTGATAAACATATCTCTCGGCAGGTCTTGTCTTCTGCTGGAATTAGCAAGAGGCAGTCTCTATCTGAACGTCGCCGAACGACGATGGCCGCGGGCGCAGACTTCCAGCACTTCGGGCAGCTTTCGGTGGGTCGCATCTCTCCCGGAGTGCTACGCATTCAGTTCGGACCCACTTGGCAGCGACGCACCGTTTACGAGCTAATGAGAGCACTGGATCTCGCCACTAAAGATGAAGATATCCGGATAGTGGTTCTGTGTGGAAACTTTTCCATTGATTGCGGCGGCGACTCCTATCCCCTGGAACTGAAGCAGGGGCTGGTGAAAAGAACCCGGCAGCGGGCCTCTGAAGCTATAGATCATCCGGATCCGGTGGAGGAACAGTACATACACGAGAAGGCGGCAAACTTTGTGATGCGCTCGCTGGCCAAGAAGCTTCTGGGCTATAGAAAACTTTTGGTGGCCTTTGTGGATGGTCGATGCCTGGGACTGGGCTTTAGCGTTTCCAGTCTGTGCGACCTGGTCTATGCCACCGAATCAGCCACCTTCCATCCCGCCTTCTCACACCTCGACTCCTGTGCGGCAGTTGGTCCTAACTGGACGCTTCCACACATCCGGGGGCTGCTGCTCTTGGGCGAGCAAGCGGATGCTGGAAGTGCTCGGAATAGTGGCCTGGTGGCTGGCGTTGTTAAGGATCCCCAGGAGTTTTGGAACCGCATAGAACAGTATTCGCATCTGCCGCCCTCATCGCTGTTGGCTACGAAGAAGCTAATGCTCCGACCCTGGCGAGACGCCTTGTTGGCGGAACTGCGCGAGGAATCCACTCCTCTGGCCTCCCAGCGACGTCGTCTAGCCCGGCCCAAGCTGTAGGATGTATTTTGTAGATTAAATGGTTTCTTTTTTTTTAATTCTAAACAACTAATTTGAATAAAATTTAAAATTAAAAAAGGATATTAATGTCGAAACTTGCATCTTGAACATAATCTTAAATATTTCTTCAAAGGATTAACTTCCAGTAGGCTGGGAGAATCCAACAAGTAGTCTGTGAATCGAGCAGGGATAACATTATATTCAATATTATGTCTGACATTGTAAAGGTAACTGATCTAGGGAGCTCCGACACCACTTTGGCTCCCATCTACAAAAATATGTCTGAGGAAATTTCCGAAACCGAAATGATTGGCGACGGCGCCCCCCATCTGGAGGAAACTAAAGCAAAGGTCAAAGTCATGAGCAATGAATCGAACTACTGTTTTGACGCGACACAGACCATTACGGGTGAGCTTGGATCTCAGGAGGATGGCCCGTCCTGCTCCTCCTCCTCCTTGCCGTCATCAGAGGCCATTATAGAATCCTGTGAATTGGCATGTTTCAAGTGGAAGACTTTTTCGGACGAAGAATACACAGACTGGAAGAAAATGTCCAAAAAAAACACTGAAATTCCATTGCGATCGTTTTTCTCTATCCTGAAAATGAATCAATGTCCAAAGACTGTGAGCGACAAGCCGCCGAAGCCATCACTGCTATCTCTAGCTGAGGAGAGGTTGGCCAAAAACTTATGTGCCACCACCTGTGTATGGATAGGCGAGCACACTCACTTCGACTGCATTCCCGGTCTGCTCAAGTGCTACTCCGTGTGGTTCGCCACACGCGACTGGCGTCTCCAGGAGTTTACATTTGAAGAAAAAAATGTGCCAGCCCTTGGTTTCGAGATGCTTTACAAATGGATGCGTACCACGGAAGTCCCGGAATTGAAGAATGTGGTGCCGACTCTCCAGGCCGCCAAACACCTTAAGGTCGAGATTTTATATGATGCACTTTGGGCTCGAATGTGCCACGAATCGGTGCAGGAGAAAGTAGCCTTCCGGTGCTACCTGCAGGCCCAGAACCTACCTGAGCTTGGAATACTACGTGAAACTATGCTTGGAAGGGTGCGCAATTACTTCCTACCACTGGTGGGCAGTGAGGACTTCATTGACCTAGAGGTGGGGGTGCTGGAGCAACTATTGTTGCTGGACTCCCTGGGCGTCAACTCGGAGATGGAAGTTTTTTTTGCTGTTCTGCGATGGGTAGGTCATCGCCCAGAATTGGTATCTGAGCGCTTGCCACATTTGCAACGCTTGATGGACTGCGTCCGCTTCCCTTATATGCCAATGAAGTTCCTGGTCAGCTTGCGCAACTCCACCGTGCACCCTGACCAGAAGGAGCTCTGTCGGAAAGATCCGGTGCTTTTGGCTTTCAACAAGGATCCGAAAACAATGGATCGCATATCGGACGCCGTGACTTTTATGGGTTCCCGTTGCCAGCACGATATCAAGAAGTTTATGGAAATGTGCAGACGCAAGTTTGTCCAGTTGGTGTACCCGCGAAAGTGGCAGTACCACCCCAAGTGCTCCTACCATGTTCGCCACGAGAAGTCCAGATTCCCCCACACGCATCAGTTCACGGCTACTGACTTTGCCGACTATGTTGAATCTTTGCAGGAGGAGTGGTCGGGTGACGGACCAGAGGATTCGGGAAAATCCCAGATGGAGGACTTGGAAGTGGATATTATCTTTACATTGAAAGACGAACAAAGAGGTGGTACATCGGTGGTATAAAACCCCGATGATACTCCAGCACCTAGCGTGGATAGAAGGATAAAATAGAATAGAAGGATAGAAGGATATAATGATATCCTTCAAACTTGTTCTTATTACAAAACTATCTATTATATTATCTATTAATATTATCGATCATTGAGGTACACGGCAATAGCTACCTATGTAACAAAATTTAAATATTTTACGGAAATTATATATGATGTTTAATTTGAATCTAAGCTTTTTAATGGATTTAGCTTCTCTATAAGGATAGGTACATACATAGATGTTAGGTAGATGGTATCTTATTAGTCTTTCTATTTCCAGTCTTTCCTTTTATGTTTGTTGAATAACTTAATTAAACTCACAAATTTTAAATCTTAAAATGCCTCCACTGCCATTTCTGTTGCCTACTTTTAGGGGTGCCATATAGTCCAACGACGGGTAAAATTCTACGGTTTTTTTGCATATCATAACAATGCCGAAAATGTTTTAGTTTGGTGGCAGTTCAATAAAAAAAAAAAATTAATAATAAATAAAAATAAATAATATTTTATTAAAAAATAGCGCCCTCCTCCTCGATTCTCATAGGTGGCACTTAAGCAAGCCTGAAAACTCGGGAAAATTCTTTTTTTTCGTGCAGGTTTTATTGCTTGCCTTTGTTGTAAAATTTGTTGTTGTAGTTTATTGCTGTTGTAATTGATTGTTGTTGTAATTGATTGTTGTTGTTAGTTGTTGTTGTTGTAATTTGTTGTTGTTGTTGTTGTAATTTGTTGTTGTTGTAATTTTTTGTTGTAATTTTTTTGTTGTAATTTTTTTTGTTGTAATTTTTTTTTGTTGTAATTTTTTTTTGTTGTAATTTTTTTTTGTTGTAATTTTTTTTGTTGTAATTTTTTTTGTTGTAATTTTTTTTGTTGTAATTTTTTTTTTTATTTAAATTTTTTTTTTATTTTAATTAAAAAAAAATTTTTTTTCCAATTTTTTTTTTTATTTTATTTTTTTGTTTGGAGAACGGCATTAGGAGAGGCTGCTATTCTGAAGTTGAAGCACCGGCTTAACCTCCGGCTTATTAAAAGCCTACACATTCTACATAAATAAACAATAAATAAATTAAATTTTTAGTGATGGGAGTAAATCGATAGCCACTGGAATGAAGATCAACAAAGGGGCAAAAATTAAGTTTGAAGCATACTTTTGGGCAATCGGGACATTTTGAAAATTGTGTTCTAAATTTAACGATTTAATTAATAATGGCTGTTTTTTTTAAGTTCCAACCTGTTGCTGGAAATAATAGATATTTGGCATAGGCAGTTCCGTTATAAGGTTAAACAAGGGAGTTGGCACTCCCAGCGGAAGTCCTATTTTCCTTGCTTCGGCTCTGCTTCGTTTTATCTTCGCGCAGGCGGAAAGAATAAAAATAAAGTATACAAAATACAATGGGCCAGTACGAGCTGTCATGTTTTCCCAAAACATTCCACATGAAAAGGGTACCGTCTTTCTCCCGGCCTGTTACTCTTGTTGTTAGCTGAAATTCCAGCACATCTAACGGTCAATCGCTGCGTGAAACCGGAAGGGTATGACGGGCGTGGGGGTTGAGCAGGGTGAGAGAGAGGAGAAAGGTTGGCGTGCGCACTTCCGTGATTACCGGTCCGCTCCCGTTTGATGTTCTTGTTATTGCTGCCATCTCTTTTGTTTGCTCCAAATAAACGAGCTGTATCTTAGGATTCTCATATCATTCCATAGCACAGCATTTCTCTCGCAAACAGTAAAGCTTTTTACGCTATTTCAAACGCCCGGTACAACAGCTGATATGACTAAACGGCACAATGGGAAGGAAATATGTTATAGAAAGACTATTTTTTCCAGTTTCAATATCATTTTTACTTGATTTAATTGATAAGGATATTAGAATAACGTAAAACAGAGATCTGTTTTATAATCTAAACGTTTTCTGTCTTTAGTTCCAACTTTGAAGAAAGTTATCCCATTAAGTATGCTATATAATTTACTGATAACAATCATTCTTGTGTGTTTCTTATAAGTCCTCAGTACAGTCTTGTGGCCCGGCCCTTGACTTTCTACCCTAGTTTCATCTTAATCCGGCGCTTCTACGCCACAGAATTGCGATTACGGTAAACTCAAAAGTTTGGCAAACAATGCTATTGGAACCCGGTCAAGTACGTTGCAGTTGTAGTTCGACAACCACCGTTCCGGGCTAGGCGCCTCTCTGGGAACACCACCCCCTTCCCTGCCGCCCGCCGCCATCCGGTCACTGGCAGCTCACCGCCTGCGTAGTTGAGGCGTACTTTCTCTCTCTCTCTGGCTCTTTCTCCCGTCAAGAGAGAGTGTTTTGTGGCGCAGTTAAATTTGGCACGAGCTTCCCTCTGTTTTCGCATGGATCCACAGTTATGCTGCTGCTGAGGGGAGGCTGGGTCTGGGGTGCTCTGCTTCTCTCAGTCGTTGCGGAGCCGAGCAGAGTCGAGAAGCACACGAAGCTCGAACGAACTTGCAGAAATTGAAATAAAGCCGTTATTTTTCGTCCAGGAGTCCGTGTGTTTTGATGTGCACCGGAGACTATTCGACGGAAACCGGAACACAACATCACGAACGAGTAAAGTCTGTTATTTTTTTTTTGTTGTAAAATATTTTTTATTGTGATTAAAAAAAAAGCATCTGAGTAATGCTTGAGAAAAAGATAGATAAAACAACCTTGTAGTATAGTTGATATCAGAAAGCTTTCTGAAATTGTAACGGTTTAATTGTGCCGAAAGTGGTAAAGAGGAGAAAAAATATGTAAACATGAAAGTAGGACATTCCTGAAGTGGCGAGTGTTGTCTCAGAAATCAGGAAAACCGAGTGCTAAGAATGTTGTTGTTCTTCAGGAATAATTTGACAAGCTGCCTGACAGCCATAGAATCAGTGGCTCTTTTATCCTTTCATCCTTCATCCTTGTGCCTACTACGCACTTACACACGCACACACGGGCACAACAGGCACCAACCAGCCCACGCTCCCATATTCGCACATATTTCATTGCGTAAAAAGCCAAATGCGCAGCAAATTGCATTGCCACGCCCCTCAAAAACGCCCACGCCTCTCCCCTGAAAACAAATAGTGGTAGAGAGATTATGTGGTAGAAGGAAAGCGAGCGAGAGAGCGAACAGGATGCTGTGCTGCTGTTCTGTGTGTGTGTGTGTGCGTGTGTGTATGCGTGTTTTTGACACTTCCTTGTGCATTTTCAGGGATACACACAGGGATAATATGCGTGTGCAGTGAAATCAAGTGAAAAGCCCAAAAATGAAGTAACTCTTCATCAGAAGGACATCCAAGTTCAAAGTACCGTTAGCGGAAAAGCCAAAGACAGCGAAGAAAACCAGCGATAACCAGCCGCCAGAGGCCGCCACTCCACATCCGCTGGGAGTGTTGAGGAATTTCTTTGAGGAAAAAAAAAAGGAAGAAAAGCAAAACAGTAGAGTGCGAGAGAGAGCCAGGGGGAGCGGAAGCGGAAGTGAGAGTGAGAGTGCGAGCGAGCAAGATGGACAGCTCGCCGGACCTGTCGTTGAAACTGCGACGCGGGAGCAGCGATTCCCGCGACAATTTCTACATGGACTTTGCTCAGGGCATCGACTCCGACATCGAGGAGGTGGACACCACAGCCGCTACAGCCACAGCGGAGGTGGTCCCTCCGCCGCCACCGCCACTGCCCACAATCTCCCTTGCCGAGGAGGTGATGCTCCTGGTGGCCCCGCCCCCGCCACCACCGTCACTGCTGGGCCAGCCCTTGCCCACACTGACGGAAACTGATGACATTCCGCCGACGCCCACTCCGCCGCCACAGCAGCAGTCGGCGGCCGATGACGAGGACGACGAAGAAGACGAAGAGGACGAGGAGGACGAGCCGCCGAAGGAGGGAGCCGGTGTTGGCTCTCCGCCGGGATCGCCCATAAACTCAGTGTTGGAACTAGAGCTGATACCGCCACCGCCGCTATCGCCCATGGAGGACGCCGGGCTCCGAACCGATGACGATGGCGAGGGTGAGGAAACTGACGACGCCGAGGAGGTGGTTGCCATTCCACCGCCTCAGGAAATCGACGCTGAGGAGGAGGAGGAGCAACCGCAATCGGAACCGGCAAAGGATTACCCCGAAGCCAAGGAATCCCAGGACGAAGACGAGGAGGACGATGGCCCTCCACCACCACTGCCACCTCTTCCGTCCAATCTCTCCTACGTTCAGGGCAATCTCGGCCAGGTGACGCCCCCTCTCACGAAGTCCCCCTCCACGTCGCCCTCACCGCCAGTGACTCCGCCTCCTTGTCCGGAGCTCAAAATCAGCCGGATGGTGTCGCCGCCAGCGCAGCACGTCAGCCAGATACCGCCACTTACCCCCTCCTCGGAGAGCGAGGGCGAGGCTGAGTCCCAGCCGAACTCTCCGCCAATCCACGCCAGATTGGATGCCGAGCAGCCGCCTCCCGAAATGCTGGAGCAGGATCAGGAACCGGAGCCAGAACCAGAGCCAGAGGCTGAGCCTGAACCGGATCAGCTACCGGAGCCAGTGAGCGGAGCTCGCGAGGATTACAGTCGCTCGCTGGACAACGAGGACGAGTCGACAACCATCACCACGCCACCCAGCAACGGCTACTCGGCCTCCTCCATCATTGCTCCGCCTCCAGAGCACTTTGCTGAGCTGGACGAGGATCGTGGCTTCATTCCACCGCCGCCCCTGGAGCAGGAACTCGACGAGGAGGAGGAGGAGCTGACCAAGGTGGAGACAGACGAGCTCTCCATTGACCGAGTCTCCCTTCCGGAACATCCGGGCGACAGCATCAGCTCTCCCCGGGCGGCCAGCATCGCCAGCGGAGCCTTGGCCGGCTTGACCGGCTCCGTTTCCATGTCAGCCGGGTCCGGCGGATCCCCTACACCGGACAGTCGCGGCCCCAGTCGCAATGGCAGCCAACGTTCCCAGGTCCCAGGCTCACGAAGTGGCTCCCAGGCCGGCTCTCGCATCGGATCCCGCACTGGATCTGTCGTATCCGGAACTGCTCCTGGCGTCCTGTCGCCGCAGGCCTCTTTGAAATCTCAAACATCTATCCGGTCCCAGCTCCGCAGCCCGGCTGGCTCCATCAAGTCTGGCTCGCAGCGCGTCCAGAGTCCCCCGGTCGGAGAGGGGGCCCCGGTGATGCCCTCGCCCCCGTTGATGCGGAGTCCGCCGCCGGAACTGGCTCGTCAGATGCACAGTCCCCCCCGGGTCACTACGCCGCCGCGCGTCTGCAGTCCCCCGATGGTGAGCAGCCCGCCGAAGCTGGCCGAGACAGCAGCCGCCGCCGCCGGAGTCTCCGTAGCCGGCGGAGTGAAGGAACAGATCAGGTGAGTCAACCCTCTGAGATTGGACATTGATATCGGGGGCATTAGATAATTCTAGGGCGGTTAGTAGTTCGGATTACGGATTTCGAAAGCGTGGAGAGCAGATTAAAGTCCGTAAAGTAGATTGGAGACGCCTCCAGGGCTTCTCGTTTTGGGCACAAAAGTCTCTCGAGTGGGAAAGCATGCGATTTACTTGGAGATTCCTTGAGAATGTCCTCCCTCGCCTATCTAACTGTATCATCTTGTTGGGTGGGTGCTCCAAGGTTCCTCCGTGCCTGCTTGGCAGTCTCCTCGTCCTCGTCGTCCTCGTCGTGCACTTCATTAATTGCATAATCATCCCCAGCATTCAGCCCTCAGCCCCGAGCTCCCAGCTCCAAGCTCCCCACTTCCCACTCTCCCCCCGGAATCTCATATAACTATTCGCGTCGTCAGCCTCCATTAGTCGCTGCTAATAGCCCAACAAAACTGTTTAACTGATGTGCTCATGTTGCCTTCGCTTCTGGCATCCTCCTCCTGCCCATCCGCCCACTCCGGCTCCACCTTTTCCACGTAATTCTCCATCTGCATTCGCTTCGCTGCTCCGTTTCGGCGTTGTCTGCAGCCTCCTTCCACTTTGCATTAATTAAACATCACGTTTCCAGAGCAACACCCTCACAAGTTATACGCCGTAAACAGAGCCGGACTGGGCCTGGGAGTGGGACTGGGACTGGGACTGGGTCTGGGCTTGGGCCTGGTCCTGGGCCCCCCAGTAATAGCGCCAAAGCCGGCGTCGAACATGGCAATTCTTCACTGGGGGAAAAGGATGCATTTTTTTAGTTTATTAATTAAATAACTAATGGTTTTAATTAATGTTTTAAATGTTTTTAGAAAACTCTCCTTTGACTCTGTTTTTATCGCCCATTTGTTGGCATTTTTTCTCTCAGTGCAGGCCACACGGCGTATGCGGCAGTTGAATTGCGTATACGCCCGGTCTGCACTCGCCGCTGCCTCTCCGGGCGGCTCGATTGGCTCCACAATGCGGACTCCACAGGCACAAATTGTTGCCGCACGAATACAACAGAAAAGAAGGCGGCCGCTGAGGTGAAAGGTGACAGCCGGAGGATGCCTGGGATGGCAGGTTGTTGTCCTCGGCCTCCGTGGGTGTCACCTGTGCGCCACCTGTATCGCCTCCGTGTGTGTCTGGTCGCTGCCGCACACCCATTATGCCGCCCCGGGCTACACCTCCTACAAGGATGCCTGCTCTGGCTCCTGCTCCTGCTACTGCTCCTTCTCCTGCTCTGGAGGTGGCCCGGCCTCGGCTAAATGGGTCAATTGAAAGTTGCTGGTTGCTCGTTACTGGTTGTGCAACATCGTCGCCATCGCCATCGCCATTGCCTGCTTTATTTTTGCAGCCAATGTGGTTTTCTGCCTTTTTTCTTATTTTTTTGTAGTTTTGCGAGCACCCGTAATGGACATTTCCAGGCCAGCGAGCTGCAAGCTGAAAACCTCCTTTGTCCAACTTTGGGGTGAATGCATTCGCACTCATGAATTCTTGATGCACCCCGGCCGGGTCCGGAAATTAGCAGCTGGAATTGACGGACAAGTTGCCCGGAACCCGGATAATGGCCGACCGTGCTTTTCGGATTGATTTGTCCGGCTCGGAATCATGATTTTCGACGTCAGAGATAGTAACTGCCATAATCCGGCGTGGATGATGTGGGGCATGCAACTTTGACCCCTTGTGGAGGTTATATCTTGGACAATTTTGGTCTGATTCTAAAGAGGAGTACCAGGCCTCTTGGGGGTTAATCTTTTCCAATATGTATCGGATTTTTATTTTTGCATCATAAAGGCACGGCGGCACATCTTGTACAAGTGCTCACTGTACAGTGAACGTGAATGAGGGAGCGGGTTGTCGACGACCTCCGTGACTTGGTGGCACGAGCTTTGTGGTCGCGAAACGGTGCAGGTGAAGGTGCAGGTGCAGGTTCTTCATTCATTTATGCAACAGTCGAGTCGAGGGCATGGCGTGCTTGTTTGGGGTGAACAACCCCGCAGCAACAAACAAACAACAAAAAAAACAAGAAGAAATTGTGGAAAGGACGCCATAAAGTATGCAGCACACTTTTAGAAATCAGATTACAAGTGCACTCGAGTGCATGACCCACACAATTGCAACCACTCATCCAAAAGCTGGTGCAGCACCACTGCTTTGTTCCTCTTCTGGGTGTCCCGGCATGTCCCTGTATGTCCCGATGTCAAGGTTATTTATAAGCCACCCCCCTCCCTGCCACCAGTCGGGGCATTCGTGCAATGCCATACGGCGTAATGATGATGCCGCCATGGATGGGGATTGCGGATTTTGGATACGATTTGAATGCAAACAAATGATGCGTGTGGATGGTTTGAAGTGTGGGGGGCGTGTGAAGCAGGATGCGACCTCTTCAGATTGAAATCCAGCCATTCAACCGCCATCCGTCATCCTCTATCCCAGCAACCTCCATCCAACCTATCCACCTGTCATGTGTCATGTGCATGCCGCCCACCGTCTTAATTAAACATCCCAATCACGTACTGAAAAATGTTTCATATTTCCATTTGGCCAGCAAACACGATGAGCTAAACATAAGCACATCACTCTATATTCACTTTAGTGCTCAGGTACAGTGCGGTCTGGCAGTGTAAACTTATCTGAGGGATCCCATCCATAAGGCATCCAACATGGCAGTTGCCAGTTGCCAACAAAGGACTCTTCTCCCTTGAAACTATGGCCCTTCCCTGGAAAAGTTAATAGTTCAAATCCTATGGTCATGAAACGCACTGTACTTTCATGCGGTGTCCACTAGACGGCGATTAGTTTCAATTGCCCGTGGAGACCGCTCTGGATGGGGACTTTTCATTAAGTTTCTGTTTCCACTGGGATTGTTCTTTTTTTATTCGCAACTGTCGGTGTATCTGTATCTGTATCTGTATCTGTATCTGTATCTGTATCTGTATCTGTATCTGTATCTGTATCTGTACCTGTTATTAAGCGCAATTTAAAAGAACTGTCTGTGGGGTAGGTGGATACGGGTGATTTATAAGTGGGTGGTTTTCCGGAAGGCCACTGCCGCAGTCCAGAGATGCCCCCTCCCATTAGCATGTCACTATCTCAGGTCGCTGATCGGCAGTTTAAAGTTCAAGTCGTCAAGTTCAATGTATCAGCGGAAATGTCTGGCATCGGATCAAAAGACTATATATATTCATGATTCCTATATGCCACATATCCCATATATACATGGCGTTCTGGAGGGGAGACCATTATTTAATTAAGTCTATGGGTTATCCATGTATCTGTGTATCTGAGTCGCTACTGGCTTTCGGGCTCATCTGTATCTGTGTCTGCAAATCGGGTGCCGGATCTGAAATCCCAATCCCGTGGTTCAGTGAGCCCACGTCGGTCGCACCACCAACACCACCAGTTACCACCACCACCACTCATGTCTTCCTCGTCTTCTTCTCCGACTTATTCCCACTCCTCCACCACCTCCACTTGCAGCAGTTCCAGCGCCGCCACAGCCACCGCCACCGCCCCCGGCAACGCAGAGCCGACAGAGCCGGAGCCCCCGGTGGCCACCGTTAGCTACCAGGACGAGCAGAAGCCACCGCCGCCGCAGCCGGTGACGGTCACCAGCCAGCCGAGGCCCAGCCATCACCACTACCACTTGCCCCACCAGTTCCAGCATCCGCACCACCAGAACCACCACACGCACCACAGTGTCCGGGTGCCCACGCCCACGGTGCCGAGCAGCTATGCTCCACCACCGCCTCCGCCCTCGGACCCGGCCGGAAGTCCCGGTTACGGGCAACGGCGGCTGCTTATCACCACCGCGGCGGCAGCAACAGCTTCCGGCTTGAGTGCATCCTCAGCTGCTGCTGAGCCAGTGGTGGCCATTTCCCCGGGCAGGGTCTCGGCCCGCTCCGGTTCCCAGCACCATGTGACCATCGACGAGTCCAGCTTGCCGCATCGCAGCCAGATCCAGGAGACTCCCGGACCCAGTGGCCTGATAATCGGCGGCGGGGACGGGGACGGCGACAGGGACATCGGAGGTGGCGGCGGAGGATCCTCCGACCCGCCGTCCTCGCCGGGCGGCAGCAGCTCCCAGCCGGCGATGAGCAGCCAGGCGGACGGAGGGCAGCTGGCGCTGTACCACTCGCATCAGCTCACCAACTACCCGGTGCTGCCCGCCATCAAGCGCACCCACCGCCCCTCGTTCGTCTATCCACCGATGCCGAGGGTTAAGGCGTAAGTATTGGACATATATTCCGGATTGTGTTGCTTACTTTGTCCCTCTTCTAGTGGCGATGCCTTGGCTACGCTCTTCTCGGCCCTCTATGGCAAGCTGCTGGTGGTGATGGGCATTGCTTTCCCCATGGCAGAGGTCATATCCACCTACATACCGCCCTCCTTCTACGAGGTAAGTAGCGGGGACTATAACACTTAATCACACTAACTAAGCCTGTGACTCCCCTGCCTGGTAGGTCTACTATTTGTACTTGTACATTGGCAGTATGATCTTCCTGCTCTTCATGTACGCCACTCTGCTCTGGGGAAGACCCAAGCTGCCAGTTCCGATAGGTAAGGAAATAGCACTCATGGGCCCTTGAATGGTGACTAACATGACCACAAATCTCAGCCACTTCTCCGAACAAGTCCGCGACAAAGGCCAGTGGGACGGACAGCATGGATGAGTCGGACACGGACAGCAACTCCATGCACCGGCGACTTCCGCCCATCCCAGTGCGGCGACCATCACTGCTCTCGCCCCTGGGCAGGCAGCACCACTACGGAAGCTTCTACTTGCGCATGGGCGCCGTAGGTGAGTCCCCGCCAGGATTCCACTGCCAAGAATCGACACTAACTCTCTCTCCTACAGCTTTCGGCATTGGAAGCATGATCTATTCGGGCCTGGAGTTCGGACAGTACTTCGAACTGAATCCGGACACCAAGTGCCACAACGTGCTGCTGGCCCTGACCCCGGCCACGCGGATGGCCTTCATCTTCATCCAGATGTACTTCATCTTCCTGAACAACGAACAGATCAAGGTCTACCGCTACAAGATCATCGCCCGCTTCGGCCTGATGCACATGATCGGCACCAACCTGGCCGTCTGGCTGAACGTCCTCATCCAGGAGACGAAGCACGAGATACTGACCTTCTACAATCCCGAGAATCGCACCTTGAGGATCTCGCACAGGATACCGGGGCACTCGCGTGGCCATGCCATCATCCCCCAGGATCCGACGGCCCACTTGCGGGTGCCGCGTGGCCTGAAGGGTCCCTACCAGATCTTCGAGTGCCGGCGGACGAACATCATCGGCACCCTGGTGCAGGATGCTTCGCCGTTCCTGTTCCCGTGCACCATTGAGTACTCCCTGATCTGCGCCGCCATTCTGTACGTGATGTGGCGCAGCATCTCCCGGCCGCAGAGCCCCACGCCCCAGCGCCCGGACATGATCAGCTCGCCGATGAAGCGCTCGCCCCACCACTACTCCGTGGACTGCGCCCGCGCCCACAAGGGTCTCTTCGTGGGCATCCTGATCCTGGTGCTGACCATCATCTCGCTGATCATATTCTTCGTGCTGATCTCCCGCCCGGAGTTCGTGTCCATGGCCGTCACGGAGGTGACCATCTGCGAGCTGCTCATCTACGGCACAGCCACCATTGCGACCCTGCTGGGCATGATCCAGATCCGGCACCTGCAGTACGACGCTTATCGCAGCTTCTCCCTGGACGATATCCTGCTGGTGGGCGCCCAGACCGGCTCGTTCCTGTACAACATCTTCACGGTGATTGCCGGACACTTTACGCTGCGGAGCGACGACATGCTGGTGCCGATCAACGCCCTGGCCTCGATCGTCCAGACCGCCTGCCAGACGATGTTCATACTGGACGCCAGCCGGCGGCAGGCAGTCAGTCCGGAGCACATCCGCAAGAAGCCCGGCCGGGAGATAGTCACGTTCATGCTGGTGGTGAACCTGGCGATGTGGGCGATCAGCACCCTGGAGAAGTCGCGGGCGGAGTCGCACCCCATCCAGCTGAACTTCTACGGGCTGTGGGCCTGGACGATCATCACGCACGTGTCCATGCCGCTGGCCATATTCTATCGGTTCCACTCGACGGTGTGCCTGTGCGAGATCTGGAAGCGGGCCTACAAGCTCAAGCCGACGTACATGTGAGAGTTCGCCCGCTCGCGCATCCAGAGCATTGCGCAGCAGCAGCAGTTCTGCGAGGACCTGAAGACGAACCTCTCCTACTGCTACTGCTCCACCACCTTGGCCGGGGGCGAGCTGGAGACGGTGGAGGAGGTGGACAGCGGTGAGAGTGGCTCGGGATCGGGCTCGGGGGGCGGATCGGGCAAAGACGATAAGGGGGGCGAAGCTGAAGCTGGAGCCGGAGCTGGGGTAGAGGCCGGCACTGTTACCGCATCCGATCCGGAAGGGGCACAAGGCGGCGACAATGGCACCACCCTGAGGGCACCACACCACGCACGGGCCATGTCGCCGCAGAGCCTCAACACGGAGAAGGCCTTCTGTCCGGTCTACGTCATCAACGGCGAATGAGTTTACGCTCACTTTGAGTTCATCGACGCGATGAGCGGGCATGAGCTCAGTTTTGTCTAGGACTTGCAGAGCCACTGGCAGGATTAGAAACCACCATTTTGCAGATTAGAAACCACCATCACCCAACCACCTCTAGGAGAAGGAACCACCAAGAAACCACAAACCACAAACCAGAAACCAGAAACCAAAGCGGATGCAAGTCTATTTCATTAAAGTATTGAAAACATATCCGGAAAGTTAAAGGATATTAGGAGAGGATATTGAGAGAGAAATCAAAAAACGAGGAACCCCAAAAGCAATGCCACTAGTACGTATACGCAATAAATAAGCTCACATTACGTATACGCCATATCGTACTCGCAACTACTTAGAAGAATCCTCAAAAGTCGATCTGGGGTTTCCGGGCGAGTCACTTACCTGTGAGTCCTTGGAAGACCCCGGACCTGCCTTTTGAGTTCTACACAAGATTAATGGTAGGACATACTCGTAACTGTAGAGGAATTCATATGTTCAGACATAATATTTAATCGAAAAAATGTGAAACTATCTAGTTGGCTAAATTGTTGAACGAGCTCGCGATCGCAATTGAACTGCAAGACATTTTATACATTTATATACAAAGGATATAAATGAGAGACTGACTAAGGATCAGCACAAAGGGTTGTGAGGCAACCGAACTATATACCGCATACCAGATATGTATAATCCCTTAGCGAGCGAGTCGAGTTCTTAAATGGATATTTACAAGCATTATTAATCGGCGTTCAAAGGCATAAACACATATATTGAAAACCGTAAAGGATAAGCAAAGGTTCCGATCAGGATCGGTCAGGAGAGGAAGTCATTAACCCCACCAGAGAATCGAGGTGATCATCTTTAAGGATCAAATGGATCAAAACAACAACGCAAAGTTACAACACACACACACTGGCCTACCAAGTAGGACAGTTCACAGAAACACACACCCAGACCCCTACCACACACAGTCTAGAGTCTAGAGCCTAAGGATAATGTAGCCACGCCCCCCCATCAACTCCCGACGCCCCCTCGTTTGAGAACATTGTTGAAATGCCTGATTTTTATCACAGCGTTAATCGAATTTGTTGATATTATTGACTTGTTAGGAGCCTTGTTTCGCCCGAATAGGTTTATTATGTGATATGCACTTGTGTTTCTTCTAAGCTTGGTCTTCACATGCCCCTCGACCCCACCCCACCCCAATATATACACACAGTATTAAAAATGCTCAAAAATAATGAAATGTAGATGACAAATCACGAAATTGGAGAAATCTCACCTACTGTAAGACGCACAAAGAAATCTCTAGCGAGTAAACAATTTTTAAGGAGTTATGTACGTATAAATATCGATGTCTGTTTTTTTTTTTTTTTTGTTTTTTTCTCGTCTACCATAATGGTATAAGATATATGTATCTAGGATATACACTTGCGATCGTCTCTGTATATTTTTCAATGCCAAAGAGTTCTTTATGTAGCCTATGTTGTAATTGCGTTCTTGTTGCAAAAACCACAATTAAAAACAAAGAAGGGAGTTTTTTGAATTTACTAACTCATCCATTGTATATTCAAAAGTTATTCAAATGCCAAATCGAAATCGAAATCGAAACCAAAACCAAAAAGCACACACATCGTCACCAAACTCACACAAAGAATGAAACAATTTAAGAACAAAATATACATATATATATTAAAGTATATATATATATACATTAAATTAGTTATTTCAATTTTATACTCGTACTAAATTTTTAACTAGAATTAACTATAACTTTATATGCATTTTTCTTACATGTATTTATTGTACACCGACTCTTGGAATACACTGCTCGAGAATCGAGAACCGAGAACCGAGAACGGGGATCGAACGCAAACTCGAAAATCAAATCGAAAAACGAAAATTTAAAATTTAAAATTAAATTTAATAATTGATTATTGCATTAGTATTTATTGAAGTACTATAAGTAGTTGCGATTGTGAAATCGAACGTCATTAGAGGAACTCCTATTCCAAGTAGAAACTGAAACCGATTGAAAATTACGACAAAATAATAACAAAATATTTAAAAGTTATACCCAAAACCACTATTTTTTCTCATTAAAATGGAAAAAAAAAAAACAAAACCAAAAAACAAATCAAAATAAATGTAATAATCGAAATTGTGGGACTCACTTTACTATATACTTTGTATTCTCTGGCTTTTCGAACCTTTCTATCCGTCTTTCGCAGAACCCTTTCCTCGGAAGGGGGGTTTCAATACTTCCAGAGATCTGTACTTCATGTAGTTTGTAGTTTAAGGATTCCACTTTTCTAAAAACTTTTCCCCAAAATAACGAAGAAATAAACAGAAGATGATGAGAAACAATACTTAACAGCTATGGAACTGGACTAAGCCTAGGAAAAGCAATTTGCATTAAGTGTTACAAGTATTTATATGTATTTACAATAAAGGTTAAACGAAAATCAAGCCACACGCCCCCCAGATACAACTAGTCGTGAATGTTCTGTGTTCCCCAAGAAAGAAATAAATACACCCCCCAAGAAAACCGAAAAACCGAAATCATAAACCAAACTATATTGACTATAAAATGGCAGTAAATATGCAATAAATATGATTATTAAATTGAAACGTAATTCGTTTGCTTTTGCCGGGCCAGTGCTACCGGGGAGTGCTCATATTTGGGTCATCTGGAGTGTTTCTGCGAATAATGTCCTAGGTGGATGCTTTGCTGGAGCTTATGGGTGGGGTTTCACGATAGAGCTAGCGATGTAGATACATTTACATCCACATATACAGATACAGATAGAGATATAGGTACAGATTCAGATTCAGATACAGATACTGAACTGAAGCCGAAAAGTGTAATGTACTCGCAAATAGTTGTACAAGCGAGTATCTCCAAAAGTCAGGCAACCATGTATCTGTATCTGTATCTGTGACTGTATTCCCCTTCTCTTTCTTCTTCTAGAGTGCGTGCATTTTCCCGACAGAGATGGCCTGCTCATTTCCCCAACTCCCCATCTCGCTCGACTGTGGATGCTATTCCCCTCATTTCAGCTGCAATTTGTGGATGCTGTTTTCTTTTTGGAGGCAGCCAGCCTATGTATCTTTGGGGCTGAGACTGTATATATACCCGGAATGGTTACCCGGGATTTGAACCACGCCCTGGCCAACCAAGCTGGCCCAAAACTAGGTTAGCACTCGCCTGGCGCGTCTTTTCCGATTTCTGCAGGACATATCCATGCATATATATATATATATATATATATATGTGTTTGTGTGTGTGTATCCGTGCCTATATCCTAATTCAATTAGCCTGCCCAGCCCATACTATCCTTCCTCCCCCCCCAAAAAAAAAAAAAAAAAAAACTATTTTGGTTTTTTTATTTGTGTATTTTTTATGTCGTGGGCGCGCCAAGCTGCCTGGACTGCCTGCCTGCAATTAGAAACGCAAATGCACCCTGTTTGGCGGCAAACTAAAAGCCATCCGAGGTGAATGTCCTGTGGCAGGACTCGACGCATGCGTCAAATGTAAAAGTGGCAGTTCCGTAGCTGCTGCTATTCGACCCACCCGCCCAACTACTAGCCGCCCCTTTTTCGCACTTTGCCACCAAAAAACTACCCCACCATCCCCCAGATTGCATCTTGGATTCTTGGGTCACACCTTTCGGCCCATTAGCGTCTTTTGTCTCCGGGGAGACGGGGCCAGCGCCCCGTTCTATTCACGGCTGATAATCTGATTACCCGCATGAACAAATCGAACGGAGAGCTGTAGAGCCAGCCGGACAGCCGGACTGCCGGACTGCCGGAAGGCCCGATGGTTGGACAATGACATGCTCCCCATGGGACATCCTCGTAGCTGTCCATTAGGTCCTGCTGCTACTACACGGCTTTCTTTCCAATTCCTCAACAGGGGCTAGAGTGCATATGCAAACAGAAAATGTAATTGCCCTAGTTTTCTGTTTACAAGAACTTTTAATACTTTTAAGGGGATTTCGATAAGTGTTTAATTTCCAAGACATTTTCCCAAGAAAGATATATTAGAGGTAAATGGTAGTAAGTGACTAGGAATAATAGTAACTCCTAGAAAACCATCTTTTTAAAAGCCTTGCATTTTAGTTTATCTTCGAAAAAGGCTTTTATTTTTTTAAACTTTTTTTCAGTCTACGAATTTTTATTAAACTTTCATTTTTAAAGATTTAATCTTAGAGTATTGTGAATACTAATTCCTAGAATTTTTCAATACTCTATTAATCTTTAAATAATACCGTACTATACTTATTATTCAAAAATAATAAAGATCCAGTCAAAAATAATTTATTTTAATCTTTAATCTTTTTTTTTAATCTTTTATTTGTATTATCCATAAGAAGTATTATTCTATAATCTATAAATCTAATATAAGAATCATATATTTTGTTCACAAATTCCCCAAAATATGCCACTGATACTATTTTTATTTTTTTTTGAAAAAGACAAGCAACAGACGCCGGAAACTTTGAATATCGTAACTTACGATATTGGGGCCGGCGGCGTCGATTGCTAAAAAAGTTTTTTCTTTAGCAGTCGCAGTCGACAGTGAACCGTTACGAGCGATGGAAGGCAGCTTTTCCAGACCGGTGCCTGCCAATAATAAATTAATCACAAAAATCAGACAATATCAACCACAATAACAACAAATAGAATAAGAATTTAAATCCGAATCAGAATCAGAACCGAAATAAAGCAATTGCAGCTTTTTAGCCAAGAATACTAAATAATTAAATGACGTTATTTAGTCATTCGCGACTTTAAACGGCTGTAATTGCTTTTTTCCCATAAGCTTTGTTGTTCTTGTTGTTGTTGTTGTTGGTTAGTTACTGTCTAATAGATAGTTAATTGCTTGCATTACAATCATTTGCTAAAAAACCAATTTGCTTTGTTTTTGTTCCTGTGCAGTGAGCCAAGTGTTATTCCATACAAAAAAAAAAAAGTCAAAAACTTAAAAAACGAAGACAGAGATCAGAGTGCGAAGTATATTTTTTTGGCAAGTGCGTCGTCCATTTTGTCTGCTCTGTGCTTGTGTGTGTGTGTGCGTGTGTCTGTACTTGTGTTGGCGTGTATTTCCGGTCCAGTCAGTCAACACGTATTTTTGGCCAAGACAACAACAACAACAGGGAGCAACGAGGAATAAGGCTAACAGAAAGGACAACAAGCCGCAGCGAATATAACGGAATAAAAGCGCGCGCAACAGACGCCACGCCCCCTCGACGCCGCCCACCCCCCCGCCAGAGGAGTGCTTCCGCTGCCAAACAAAGAGGACATCAAAAAGGACATCACTGACAAAGGAAGGACGCATGTGACGAACGTCGAGAGAAGAGGCCCCTAAAATAAAAAGTAAGTCAAGTGGATTGGATCCACTGGATACCCCAGAAAGATCCGCCGCACAAGTGTGACATCACATACAGTAGAGCTTCCCTATCAAGGAGCTCTTTTAAATCCTTTTATTGAATAGCTTAGAAACCACCTTAAAAAATGACACAAAAATAGGCAGAATGACATCAGAAGTTTTTGGGAAATCCCCCCTATCGAAGGCTGACTGTGCTAAGCTCTTGCTGATCCCCTCCCCCAGTCTCCCCCGCCCGTCACACGTAGCGAAAGCAATCAAACTGCCTGCCCTTCTCCGGTTACAAACACACATTTCTTGGTCTTCCATTAGAAAGACATTGGAATCGCGCTGGGTTTTGGTTCGGTTTGGTTTGGATTGTGCTACCTTCGCCAAAGTAAACCCATAAAAGTGCTGGGCCAAGCGGAAAATCTTAATTGCACAAGAAACGCGACAAGGGGAAAAAATACTAAAACCACACAGCAACAATAACAACAACAACAGTCGGAGGGCAGAAGACTGATACTGAGACTGAGGAGGAAGTCTTCCGGAGGGCAGATCATTTACCAGAATTAGGTCAACACCTTAATCCTCCCCTGAAGACAGGAGATTTGCAGGCCAGATGGAAGGTCTTAGAGGTCTTCTTAGGAGAACTTAAGATTCTTAAGAATCTTAAGCTATAATAACCAGTTTTTCTAGATTTTTGTTCATTTTATTTAAAATCATTCAAGCACAAACCTACGCTTGAAATCGATTTCAAGCACTGTATAATCGTTATCAATATTTATCGATTTGTATTAATCGATCTGAGAGCTTAAGAAAATTGAATGTTTTTGGAAAAAGGCGCGGAAAGATGAAAAACCCATTCGCGAGGGTTGAAAAGCAAACGACACGCGATTTCCATGCGGTGGTTAGTTGGGTCGGCTAGTGGGTGGGTGGTGCGGCTACCTTTCTTTCTTTTTTAGCCTTAGGCTGTGGTGGTGGTTTGACGACTGGACTTTGCAGCATAAAATATAATATATACATGCTAGAAACAACAAAAAAATAGGGAACAAAACAAAAACAGAGCGGAATGCACATTCTGCATATCGTGCGACCGAATACGTATATTAACTAATGAGCCGACGACCTCGGGGGATGGATGACTTGCCAGCTGGATGACTGGGTGGTTGGATGAATGGATGGATGGATGGATAGATGGGTGACTGGGATGGGTGGGTGGTTCTGCGAGTGAGTGAAGGAACGTACCACGCACCACCCACCACCAAAACCCTAAAAAACTGACTGATTGCAGACTACAGACTGCAACCGCCAGACGACTCTTTTTTTTTTTGTGATGATTTTGGTTTTGTTTATAAGGTCACCCTATTGCCCCGGACTGCGTCCATCTGCCGGGTCTCCCAGTTCTCAGGCTCATTTCCATACCAAACACTGTATCCATTCCCCTTAACTATTCCCATTTGCATTCCCATTTTCATTTCGATTCGGATACGGATTTGGACTCCCAGTTTGGCATTCTTTCTTTCAAAGTATACAATTGCATATCCGGTTCTCAATGTGGGCGCCGTCTCTGCAACATTCACAGATCAGCTTTTTATTCTACACTGAGAAAATATACCCCTCAGATACATTTCAAAGCTTATTGAAAAGAAAGTTTCTGAAGACCCACCACCTTTAATTTCTTCAAAGATTCATCAAAAGATCTATTAATATATCTATTCTCACACTCATTTTCTGGCTGTGCAGTGGCGCCGATCTCGTTATTTTAGATCTGCGGCGGGTGTGTGGGTGGGTGGGGCTGTCATTTGTTTGTAATCTGTCATCAGACACTGTTGCGGGCCCGTCATAATTCATGCAACATCGACGGCGAGTGCAGCAAATGCAACAAATGCCGCGGAGGCACGTTGCACTGGTCGCCCAATTCAAGTGGCACAGCTTGTTTACCATAAAAAAAAACCAGCAGACAGTTGGTGGCACTCATATTTCCAGATCGATTGATGCGAGACCAATCTGGAAAAGGAAAAACCTTGTTAAAAAGAAAGGAAAAGCCCAACCACCCATCAAACAATGCTCCCCCACTCTTGATGCACTTTTTTGCATCATATTTTAACTATTTCGAAACCGATTCTAAAACCAAATACCATTTACGAATCAGAGTTCCAATCTCCTTCAATCTGCATCAAAATATCAAAAATTTCAAACAAATATATTTTTTTATCAATTTTTGACCAAAATCCTAATGGTACCCCTTGAAAAAATTGAGAAAAATGGCTAAAAAATTTTAAGACGAGGTTTTAAAAACGAATGATGCTTCTTGGAATTCTAAGATCGGGAAGGTATAACATTTCAGGATTAGTCAAGTATTAGCTGAGTTATATACATTTTCCTGTGAGAATATTGAAAAATTGGAAACAGGTTGACTTTTTTTTATTTTTTCAAAAACAGTATTTTTGGTGCACTTCTTAGCAGATATTTTCATTGTTTAGCAACCGATTTTTAAACGGAATACCATTTATGAATCAGAGTTCCAATTACCTTTGATCTGCATTAAAATATTGCAAATATTTAACAAAAAAAAAATTGTTCAAATTTTTGACAAAAATCCTGATGGTACCCCTAGGAAAAATTGAAAAAAATGGGTCGAAATTTTTATTGTCAGGTTTTGATTGAAAATGATGCTACTCGAAGTTCTAAAGTCGGGAATGTATAACATTTTATGATCCGCTGAGTATAAGCCGAGTTATCCTAATTTTCCTTTCAAAAAATTGAAAAAATGGGAATTACTTTTTCCATGTTTTTTGAAATAAAAACACTGAAATTTTTAATGCACTTTTTAGTGAATATTTTAAATGTTTCGCAACCGATTCTTAAACGGAACACCATTTATGAATCAGGGTTCTAATCCCCAGCATTCTGCACCAAAATATATAAAATAAAATAAGGATCAATTTTTGGTCATTTTTTTGATAAGTACTTGGAAAAATTTCAAAAAATGGGTCCAAATTTGTACTGCTAGTTTTTGATTGTGAATAAAAGTACTTTAAAATCTAAGATCGGGAAGGGTTAACATTCTGCAATCGGACTACGATCATGGAAGATATGACCTTTAAAAGTTAAAATAAAGTACACATATCAATCTCTGGGTTTTAGTTTTTGTCTGGACTGTGTTTTTTTTTTAGAAACTAAAAAGCATAGAGGATGTGCTAACTAGATAAATGTTCATGGCTCAATAAAAGTTCAAAGATCAGGTACATGCCACCTTAATTGGCAATAAAAGCCCATTTCAGCCCAGAGGTCAGACATTATTTTTGTTTAAATAACTAAAGAACGGCCTTAATTTTTCCAAAACCTGCAATGAGAACTTCCGAAGGAGAACTACCGAGATCTCGCTTTCTTCTACTACTTGGCTTAGTTCCCATCAAGAAGTTCCCATCATCCTCCTCTGGGAGAGTCCCAACCGAGAGTTTACGACATCATTACCTCAGCTTACCTGAGAAAGAAAAAACTAGGAAGAAAAAATCGTAGAAAGGTGCAGTGTCGGCGGTCATAAAAGCATTCTGGCCACAATGTAGCAGTGTGTTCTGTGTCTTTTTTCCTATTTTTTTCTATTTTATTCTAGCTGTGGCTTTTCCACTTTTCCATGGCCATTTGCAAGACAGAATTGTCGCATGTTCCCGTTTGGGTAGCAACATCAAGCCAACCAACACAGTCGCGCAAATTGAAAGCTTGGCTAATACCATTAACATTTGATGGCTAACAACCACACACACACACAACCACACACACACACAACCCATATGTGCAAAAACTAACCCAATGCTGTTAATTGCCGCAGCAGATCTCTTATTTTGGCTCTAAACAACATTATTGGTAAGAAAACGAAACAAAAACAGCTGAATAGAACTTGACCTCAATGGCCAATAAAATATTGCCATTTTATCCGTTTAATAAAATGTAGATACTTTTAAAAATCAAAATTAGAGCAATGCATCGACACAAGCCCATTAAGAATATTTTGATTTTATGATTTCTTGCCAAAAAGTTCAAAAATATTTTTAATCGAAAACATTAGATTCCGATGCTCCTCCGGCTGCCCCCGAAAATAGTCTTCCATGTGCGGCCTTGAATGGGTAGCATTTTCCGTTGAAGAGCAACAAGTGGATTGTCTGGAAATTCCACGGTGGAGCGTTTTATGGCCATCACATTTAATCCATTGATGCCGGCGTATGATGTTGATGGATTCGTGCCAAGATCTTGACAGATTGATGGGCTATGGGGGAAAGGGGGTACTTCAGATTCTTTCAGGCCTCAGACTCCAGAGTTCGAAACTGAAGCATAGATTCCCTTGATTATGTGCCACACTTCCATTTTGGATTCTGGCCAAAAATCATTATATATATATATGGGGAGTATATATAAAAACCAAATTGCATGCTGCAATGGTGTTTATTTGGTTTTCATGCGTGGGGCACAATAGCATCCGAGGTCGTCTGTTGTCGAGAGGCGTCCGGTCGAAGGTGGCCACTGGAGTACTGGGCCTCGATCCCCCTCAGACTAAGCCCCTGGCACCAATATCGGGGAATGCGTATAAAAACAAAAATGATCGAAGCAAATCAGACACTATGCTGGCCCATATTTCCATAACAAAATATATGTAGACTTTGGGCGTATAAATAATAATCACATCATCTGGGCCAAGTCTGAAATACGAGAATTTTTCCTAAATATTAATTGATTTGTATATTTTTATATTGTTTTTTTGCAGTTCGACCAATTTGTGAAACCAAAAGTCTTGAAATTCAACTGCTGCTGCAAACCGTATGACTGATTTTCTCGTTGAACCGACAGCTTGATTACCTCCTTAGCGCTTTATATACCGTATTATAAACCTTTATATATACCTTTATACAAATGGAAAACCAATAACTCCGACTTTGGAGCTAGTTGATTATAAGCCACGCTAGAATCTAACCCAGAAAGCTAAAAAAAAAAAAAAATACAAAAAATTAAAAGGCCTTAAGTATCAGCGAGCATATCTAAGGAAAACAAACATATATCCGAATATCTGGCAGATCAGAGCGAGAGCGGGGAATGCAGCGGTGTCCCTACATTCATGAGATGCGGGAACGATTGCTGGACCAACCGAGGGAGACACTTCAGCTGGAGAACATGGAGCGGGCCAATCTGCTCGAGAACCGCCAGTCGGCATCCGAATCCAACCAGGTCGGCACTGTGGTGAAGGTACGGGCCCTTCGATCTACTCGCTACAAGGATTCAAGTTCGACTCATATGCAATATATCATCTCGAAACACCCACACCCCCAACATAACACACTGAAAACATTTTATGCGAAAAATTAATGTCATTTATTAAATTGGAAGCTTTTCACAAGACTCATATAACATTTCATAAATCCTCAAATGTACATAATCATTAGCTAATCGAAAAGCTTGTAAATATTGCATATGGTTTAAGGAATAACCCTCTTTTTCGTACAGTGTGTGTCTGTGTGTCGGTGTGTTTGTGGCAGATTAACCATTTATGTTTCAAGATTGTTTCTTCTATAGCCGGATCCGATACCAAATCAGTTAACCAACAAAATCCTTGCACGAGTAACCGATTCGCCCTTAACTTTATGTTCCTCAAAAAATCTAAAAAATTCGAAAAATCCGAAAAAAGTAATATGATTTTTTGCAATAAATTGGAATTGATCAAATGTACAGACATATTGTTTTCTAACTCTCTTTGGTGTATGGATGAAAATAATAAATAATAATATTCATTTTATGTAAATATGTATATTTTATTATTATATAAATAATTCCAATTTATTGTGTGTCAGCGGGTTGTCCTATCATAGTTATAATAGAAATAATAAATGTGATTTGTTGATACTCCCAACAGCTACAAGGCGATACCTACCACACGAGTCCTGCCCACCAGAGGACTCCCCTAGTCCCACACGATCTTGGCGAGGACTTCAATTTGGATTTCGACGAGGACTATCCCATCGATGTGCGACGACCGAAAAATGCCAAGTAAGTAATGCCTCAATATATAATCGATAAATCAATCGATATCCCATCCCAATAGCCACTCGTTTTCGCCATTTGCTAGCACCACTCGAAAGTATAAATAAATTATACTCCAAATATGTGTGTCCACCATCAAATGTTTTGTGTTTCGTGTTTATCGCATTCCATTTCCGTACCAAAGCTTCTTCCGTTATCGTTTCATTTCACTCCGTTTCACGTCATTCCATTCCATTCGTCCCTGAGCAGCTAAGAAAACTAATCGAAATCATTATCCCTTAAACTGATCTCTGTGAGAACTCTGTGTAGATCCTTGATTCTGTATAAAGCTGTAGAAAAATATCAATTATTTTATATTCAAAAATATGCTAAGATGTTAAAAGTTTAATTTTAATGAGTAAGAAACCGTTACAGCGGCAAACATCCACCGGTCCTGATGCGTCCGCAGCCAAGGTCAGATTCTGCTAAATATCTAAGTGATTTGAAAACCCTATCCTACATATATCTAAATATCTTAAGCCTGTACTCTTTCTTCCGACATCTAAGCCTATTATACTTCCGATAGATCACTGACCGTAGAATCACTACTATACTGCTATACTAACCCATCAGTTCTAAGCTACATAGTCGATAGTTCTCACTCGAAGTAGTTCCTAATGATTTCCCACCTGCATCCTGCGATGGCTTCTCCTAGACGTAGTTGGCCAAACTCTAAACGCACTACTAACATCATAGTCGAGACTCGATGTAAATAAAGTTAATTCCCCGATTATATATTTTTTTCCAGTGGCTTAACACAAACTTAAGTAGCCTATCCGCTTAGGGAGTCGCACACAAAAACTAGCTGAGCCCAAATTTATTCTTTTTTCCTCCAAAGTTTCTTTGTGTTCTTTTTTTTTTTTTTGGCATCCAGCGGATCTGGGGATTATAATGTCAATGAACTGGACGACAGGCAACAGCACATTGCCTTACATTTCCGATGGTTGCCTTCCCAATCCCCACTCCCCACTCCTATTTCCATTCCCATTTACAATTTTCTTTCTTCTCCGTGACCCGGGGACACATAAAACAAATAAGTAGGCAGGCGAGTCATCCAAAATCGCTAACACAATGCAGTTAGAGAGTAGATGTTTTGGGTGGCTGGGTGACTGGGTGGATGGGTGGTGCGAGTAGTGCTAGGAAGAAGTTGCAAACAAATTACGCAACTTGACAAACCGACAAAGCATTCCACTCCGCTGGCTGCGGCATGAACTGTCAGCGATGCATGCCACCAGATCTGGCATATTCAGCATTCAGCATCTGCACCACATCACTCCCATCCCAACAACCCACTGGGCGGCATTGTCTCTGGGCATTAAGTGTCATTGTACGAATGACTTACATTCGTGAGTTTTAGCAATTCGCTAACAATACTTGTACTTGTAAAAAAAAGTTAAAAACTGGCATAGAAACTATCGATGCTTGGCATTTGGCCAGAGTTGTGACTTCACTGGAAGAAAATATGTTTTTACATAAAAAGGACCTCCAAAGTACCGGTTATGACCACATTTAGAGCCTGTAGGCTCTGTTCTATTCTATTTGCGGAAAGAGCAAATTATCAACCGATTAGGCACAAGGTTTTTGGGGACTAGGACTAGGACTAGGATAGCCCAAGGATATGGTCACCCTCGATGGCCTGGTGTTTTATAAATAATATCTTAAGCCCGCGATAAAGACCTCCCGAGGGGTGGCTAAAAATATAATTAGGCAAGGCCGAATCAACCCCGTAGATGAAAGGCTTTCGCCGTAGCAACCATTATAGCTACGCAAGGGGTGCTCCCCAGGGTCCTGTTGGTCCTTCTAATCCGTTCGTCATTGAGCCAAATTAATGAAAACAACTAGTCGATGATTTATTCGTGCTTAGAGGGAGTTTAAAAAAAACAAATAAAGTTATTTTCTTCCACCTCGGCTTCAGCTTGATTCCGCATTAGACTTCTCGAATTTCAAGGATTTCGTTTGGCATTTTTCTGCTCCCAGGATTAGTGAGTGAGTGGCATTTGGGTCACACGTCTTCATCATCTGGCGGAGCCAGGGACTGCGACGTGGAAACCCTCCCTTGACAGCCACTCTTCACCCTCCTTCTTGCCACTCAATGCATCCTTGTGACGCAGTTGGCGAATTGCGACGCAAATCCTTACAATTATTTAGGCACTGAAAGAAAGGAGTCAGGATATTATAGTTTTGGGCTTGATCAAAGGATCAAAGGACAAACAAGTCTTTCTCTCACTGCAACCACGCAGTTTTTTAATACTGCTCCTGGCCGCACTCTCTGCCTTTCATTCTGCACTTCAAAATGACTGCGGCATATTGGGGAGTTGGGGGGACGGTGGAGGGAGGTGGAGGATGGTGGATGGAGCATGGAGGTCCTGCGGCCAGGACTGTCGGCGAACGGGAAAGCAAAACAGAATGCCGCAATGTTGGTTGTTGTGAAATGCGCACAAAGCAAACGCCACGAACACGAGCCGGCCGAAAAGGAGTTACGAGACGATAAACAGGACGAACGGGACGAAAACACCAAAAAGGACGAACGAAGTCGAAGCCGAACCGAGCAGACAGCTTGACGTCGACGCTGGCGTTATATCGTAAGCTCTGCCGCAGCGCACAATGGGCTACGCAGGTCCTCGAAACGGATTAGACGCAGCTACCGTAAGGAGTGGAAGGATAATTGCGGTCTAATGAACGCCCGGACATTAAGGATCTAAGGGAAAAGCATCACCAGCAGGAAACTAGATTTTCTATCGGACTTTTATAAAAATCGTGAGAGTGGCCCTTATGATCCACACCCATGTCTATATCTTGGGCCATTTTGATCCAATCCGTACAGGGAATACCTTTCAACTTTGGTCCCTTGGGAAGCTCATATCTTGGTCAATATTGATCTGATTCTCAAGCGGAATACCTTAATGGAGTTCTAGATTGATTCTCCATCAATCTGCATCAAAAACTAGAAACCAAATTTTGGATCATATTTTTTCAAAATTTTTTAGGGGACCCCCTTTGAAAACTGGGGAGTTCAACTTTGGTGCCTTGCGAATCTCGGTCAATATTGATCTGATTTTCATGGGAAATACCTTAAACGATTTCTAAATTCATTCTCCATTAATCTGCATCAAAAACTAGAAACCCAATTTTGGATCCAATTTTTTCAGATTTTTCTAGGGGACCCCCTTCAAAAAATGGAGATCCTACTTTGGTCCCTTGCGAAGTTCATATCTTGGTCAATACTGATCTGATTCTCAAGCGCAATACATTAAACTGTTTCTAGATCGATTCTCCATTAATCTGCATCAAAAACTACAAACCAAATTTTGGATCCTATTTTTTCAAAATTTTCTAGGGGACCCCCTTCAAAAACTGGGGAGTTTAACTTTGGTCCCTTGCAAAGGCCATATCTTGGTCAATATTGATCTGATTCTCAAGCGGAATACCTCAAACGATTTCTAGATTAATTCTCCATTAATATGCATCAAAACCTAGAAACCAATTTTTGGATTCAATTTTTTCAGATTTTTCTAGGGGACCCCCTTCGAAAACTGGGAAGTTCAACTTTGGTCCCTTGAGAAGGTCATATCTCGGTCAATATTTATCTGATTCTCATAGGGAATACCTTAATCGATTTCTAAATCGAATCTTCATTAATCTGCATAAAAAACTAGAAACCCAATTTTGTATCCTATTTTTTCAAAATTTTCTAGGGAACCCCCTTCAAAAAATGGAGATCCTACTTTGGTCCCTTGCGAAGCTCATATCTTTGTCAATATTGATCTGATTCTCATGGGGAATACCTTAAACGATTTCTAAATTGATTCTCTATCAATCTGCATTAAAAACTAGAAAGCAATTTTTAGATCCTATTTTGTCAAAATTTTCTAGGGGACACCCTTCAAAAACTGCGGAGATCCAACTTTGGTCCCTTGCGAAGGTCATTTCTTGGTCAATTTTCATCTGATTCTTAAGCGGTTTCGCAACGATTTCTAGATTTATTCTTTAATAATTGAAATCCAAAACTTTCAACAGTATTTTAAATAGAAACATAAGCGTTTGCTAAGAAAAAAAAACCAAAATACGGTCTCGAAGCATTCAAGTCCACAATGGCCTGAAAGCAACCCACTGTTGGTTGAGTTGAGGGGATGGGGTTACTATACGGGGTGGGCCCTGTAACAACAATAAAAACAACAACAAACGGTAGTAGTACTCGTAAAATCGGTAGAAGCTTCAGGAACAGGAGTAGGAGCAGGAGCAGGACCATCCCGGGTAATTGAGTTTTGGGCTGTTGCTTTCCGATGACTGACAGTTCGTCCTGTTCTGTTCTCTTTTTTTTTTTATGTTTCTGTGATGCCTGCCCCTTTTTTTCTCCGTTGCAAGCTGCAGCGCTGATTGGCATTTCAACCTGCCCCCCTCTGTGGCGGCGCTTCACTTTTTTTGAACTCCGTCCCTGTTAAGTGACCCATTTACAGGGCGAGTGCGGCTAAAACAAAGAATCTGCTGGCCGGCGATGCGAAACTCAATTAAAAGATACCTTTTTGGCCAGCTCGGTACTACAGATGGGAAATAAATGGAAATTGTAAGGAAATGCTTAGCCCATTAAATCAGGATAAATAGTAATCCCTTAATTGGTAAAACCTAAACAGGACTTTGGTTGAATGAAATAAATATTGAAGCCTCTAAATGGAAGCAGGACCAAGACCGGAAACCAAGGAAGCCAAAAGCATTTTAAACTCTTGGGGAAAAAAGCATAAATAATAAAAAAAAAAGGTAAGGAGATGACAGTTAACTTTCAATCAAGACAAACAAAAGGCAGTTGGATGTGTACATGGATTGGGATCGGGATGCTGGGCCATGTAAATAACATGAATGGTGGATTCGGATTCGGGACTCGGGATTCGGAAACGAGGAACATGGAACATGGAAAGATAGCCCAACATAACCCAAAATAACCCAACCGAGCACTCGGTTGAGAACTGAGAGCAACAAGAATCGCGCACCAAGTGTCCTACTTTCTTCCATACGTACAGGACCCGTTTTCCCCTAAAATCCTTACAGCAGGAGCGATAGAGAGGGGGCATCCGACCGACAGAGACGGGCATATCAAATAAGAGAGAAGGCGAGAGAGATTCGGCGCAGATTGAGGGCGGCTGCTGGCTTAAAAACAAAAAAAAATGGAAAAAAAAAAGTGCGAAACTGAATCTGAAGCTGCGTCTGCGGCGATGCTGAATTTATCCTGCCAGGGTCCTTTTCGTTTCAGTTGTAGTTGGATAGTAAAGGGTCTTGGACGTGTCGAGCGAAACGTTCGCAAGGTATCCATCCACCAGCCTAGCATAGCTCCAGAGTCCTCTTCAAAGGACTCCCAGCCAAGCTCTTAACTCCATGAAATAGAAAAACTTTGCATTTTCCTGAATGAAACTGAAGAACAATCCGTTTTTTTTCTTGTTTGTTGATTGAAAAAAGTGATTTTGTCAGTGATTATAAAGTGCAATAGACGAAACAATCGAAAATTGTGTGCAAATCTGCGGGAAACTTTGAATATCCTGAAAACTGGAAAAAACCCTTGTGATTTCCTTTTTGTTTTTGTGACGAAAATGAAACAATTTGCCGAAAATCTGCAGTTAACCGTTTGTGGCCAGGCCTCCAAAAAAAAAAAGGATTTTGATGGCACCGGGCAGGCAGGACCCGCAAAACATATACATTAAGGAGCTTATTATACACAAAAGCCAGAGAGAGAGAGAGAGAGTACGAACCAGAGGGACAGGGACAGGGAGAAGGCTGGAGAAGCTCCTCAGCCGGAGATGAAATTCCACTTAGGTCCACTGCATACACACGGAGTTTGCCTTCTTTTTTTTTCTCATCTTTGATACAATACAATTTCCCCGCCGGAATGCCAAAAATACGGGGGTTGATTCGCTTGTTTACACGCCGGAGAAAGGCGAATGGAGAAAGGAGAAAGGCAGCGGAGAGAGAGTCAAGAGTCGCGAGTCGCGAGAGAGAGAGGTCACTAGGTCGCTCCCTATCCGGGATGCACTGGCCACGCCTCATTTGCCCATTTGCCAATATGCATCCTGAGAGATGCGTTCCACAAGCCCAAACCCAAAAAATGCGTAACAGAGAGGGAGCTAAAAGGGGGGCCATTGAAAGTCAATCGGGAAGCGGGACAGATATAGGCCCCGGTATCGGAGAGTCGGTGGGGGGGGATAACAAGACATTCTGTTGCTTTTAAAACAATTATAAACCGCAGTGTCACGCAAATTGTTTCATTTAGAGTCGACAAAATACACAGAATACAAAACAAAAGAATCAGTGACACCCAGTGAATAGACCGGAAATAACCGCCAAGAAGCTCCATCGACGGAGAAAGCAGAAGTAGTTATCGATAGGTAATCGAGATCGGAGGAAAAGCCAGCACAACGGAGACCGAAACGGAAACGGAAACAATGGGCGGCGGTGAAGTGAAGGTCGCTACCGTCGACGTCGAGGGCGGGGACAATATGGCCACCCTACCGGTGTCCCGTTCCCACACCGCCGGCAGCACCGATTCCGCCGAGAAGAATAATGCCGCCAACAAGGAAATGGAGCTGAAGAACGTCATGCCGCAGCCGCTCCAGAGGTGGGAGTTTTACCGATAACACTTTCATTTGGGGAGACCGAATAAGTAATCGAATAGGTTGCGAGGGAAAGTTTAAACTTTGTTCATTTTGAAAAGGAAAATGATGTTTTAAAATATAAACAAATCCATATGGATTGAGGAGGATACTTGTAATTCAATTGTACATCCCTAATTTGATGGTTATTCCTGTTTTGTTAATCCTTTGGGTGTGGAAGTTGGCTCCAAGGCCGCGCCTCGATTTAGTACGAGTATTTAGCTAATCCCTGTGTATAACAGCTTCCCTCAAGGCACCTACTCACACACATAGACACGCTCACTTACACAACCGCACCCCTACACACTGTACATAAGTCGTAAGCCGCATATACATACATATATATAATATGCTATATAACCAAAAGTGCAATCCACCTCCCACTACTCGCTTCCCGGCCGTAAAGCGTGAACCGTAAAGCGTATATTTGCGTCTCACTCACCCCCATCATCAAGGTCCCCGGAAGATGCGCTTTTTGTGTCCTTTTTTTATGTTTTGCTTAGTCCTTTGTCACGCCCCAACCCCCTTAGCCCTCTTCGGACGCTGTCCAAGCCTCCCCCCCGTGCTATAAATGTATGTAAATCCATAATAAAATCCAAAAACATAAAAAATGAAAGCAAACTATTGGAAATGAACCATTTTATTCACCTGGAATCTTATAGGGTTTGCTACACGTTCAAGCCAAATCCAAATAAATACAGTTTTATGCCAGCGAAAATAACGGTACAGGGCACATATGAAACAAATCCGATAACAGGACCCATCGAACTATGGTAATGTGACACGTGAACCATGACCTATCCTCGTCCCTCGCCTCTGTTTCATAATTCCCCCACCCCCACACTTCAGGGCTATCTTAATTCCTAATTGGTTATATTATTCTAAAATATGTTCGTCTTCGCACAACATTCCGTTGTGTTTGAAATGCTTGAAAATCAGCTTTGATGTCATGCATAATTAAAGGAATTCTCCTCGTAGATGTACAATGCAAACATGGGATTTGATTCAGCTCAGACATGGAGCCCACCTCCACCTCCCTCCCACCATTACACACTGCTTACACATTCAAATGGGTGCTCAAGTGGTGGGTGGTGGGAGTGGGTCTGGGTGTAGATGGGTGGCCGCTTTGTGTATTTAAAGCAGCTTTTGCAACTAACTGGGTCACAAAATACTGTAAATGAGTTTCGCAGCAGGAACAGTGGGCCGAAAAGATTGAAATGCATAGGATATAGAATTAAAACTTTAAAATATCTTTCTTTAAACTCAAATAGAAAAGATTTAGATAATTAAATATTCTAATAACTTAAACTAGAATCTTAAAACATCCTTCTCCTAACATTTTGTAAGCTTTTTAGCGATTACAGACCACTGGCGCAGACCCTGTGGATAATCAAACATCAAATAGGGGCTAATACCAGGCGGTTATGCTCTCGAGCTGCCACTCGAGATGCAAATCCAGATTCCGATGCCGAGTAGTTGCATGCCAAGACCCCACTCATACTCACAAAAAAAAAAAAAAAACGATAGTAAAAAACACCTAACAACATTGTGGTAAAGTGGGAAATTAGCACTAACTGAGAATCACTTTCGGAAGCGGGGCAGTGGGTCAATTTAGGGGAGTATGGCACCCAGTTATGCCCAGATCTTGACACAGTTAGTTCGCACACACACTGAACCACTTACACAGAGAAAATAACAACACACACTCACATCCGACACCCACACTCACACCCGACACCCACAAGCACACACACTTGTTCGAGCACCCTTGTTCACTCTTCTGTAAATAATTCGAATTGCGAAATGAGTCTGATAACGGGAAAGCTAATGTGTTCATGTCGGGAACCGCCCCTTCCCGCCAATTACCCTTCGATTCGCAGGACATCGCTATTTATTGTGACCAGCCTGGTGTATGCGATCCTCCTGATCGTCGTCTGCATCGCTTACGTAATCAGTGACGTGACTACACACCGCCTGCCGGTGCTCTACTACGAGACATTCTTCACCTATCTGTACGGCGTCAGCATACTCTTCCTCCTCTATGTCTTCTGTTTCCTGCTGCAGGGTAAGTCATCATCTATGATATGTAAGATATCATCTAAAGTCTTAAAACTAAAGAATATCTACTATATCATATTTTACTTCCAAGGTTTTTAGACCTTCCCAAGCCCATGAAAAGGTCTGAAACCCTTACGATATGATACCCGATACTCACTTGGTTACCTTTACAGAAAGCTCTTGCTGCAACGGCGGCAACGGTGGCAGCAAACCGAAACCCCAGCCCAAGGAGAAAAAGTCGAAGAAAGCCAAGAATGCCGATCCGGCCGATTCGAAGGACGCGAAGGGCTCTAAGGACTCTGGCAAGGCCGCCAAGGGCGCCGCCTATCAGGTAATTCTCAGCTAGAACTTCCATCCCTCCACTGGCAGTAATTACTGAGGGACACAACCCGCCCCCAATGATGTGAAAAGCATGACCCAGCTAATTAGGTGCCAAGTGAACTGAGGTCGCTTCAATTAGCCGATTATCTGGCCTTGTTAATTGCATTATCTTTTCAATATCCAAAAAAAAAAAACAAACAACAGGAAGCACCCGTGGATGCCGAGGTGGCCGTCACCCCGAAGAATGTGCGAAAGAGGAAGACCACCCACAGCGATCCCACCCATGGCAGTTTCTTCCTGCGAGTAGGAGCCATAGGTAGCTATGATAATAATCCAAAACATTCCACATATGATGATCTTGTAATCCATTTCAGCTTTCGGTCTTGGTGCCATGATCTACATTGGACTGGAGTTTGGCTCGTTCTTCGAGATCCCCTTCGATTCGCCGTGCCACCACATTCTGATCGGAGTCAATCCCCTCCTGCAGATGATCTTCACCTTCATGCAGATGTACTTTATATTCATGAACGCCCGGGTAAGTCACTCAAAACCAGTAATATCATAAATGAAGAACACTGTAAGCATATGAGACTACCTACTACTGATAAATACTACCTCCTACTGCTATTATCTACTACTACTACTACTATACTACTATAATTAAAATTAAATGTTAAACCAACCATAAGTACACGACTCCAAGTCCTCCGAAATCCCCAGAAGATCCCGAAGCGAGGTTAGTTTAGCCGGCTAAAAAATAAATTAAGAAAAGAATTAAGAGCTAGGTCGGTTATTGTTTTTTTTTTAATCAGTTTCGGATTTATGAATTAAAAATTAAAAGCAAATACGATTTATTGGCGTGTTAATTGGCAGCTTTGCGTTCAGTTATCATCCATCAGCATTTGTATCTGTATCTGCAACAGTATCTGCATCTGCAATCGCACTTGCATCCATCAAATACCACGCTGCCATATCACTCATTCACTCGCTTGCTACTTATTCGAGAAACGATCATTGAAGTGTGAAGCTCACCGAAACTCACCCACAGACAAATGCACTGAAAAAAAAGAGCTTGAGATTAGACAACCCATTGAAGACAAAAGACCACATCAGCAGAATCTGTATTTATCCGCTGCGAGTCCTCGAAGTCTATAATTAAGCCTTAATATCCTTAAATATAGACTCTCGAGGCTCTCTCAATTCTTCTGCGCGCACAGTATATTCTCCACATACATCCAGTCATCCATCCAATCACTCCAATCCATCATTCATTCATTCAATCATTAAACGCATATCCATTCTTTAAAAAAAAAACAAAAAAAAATTTCGAAATTTTGCTACGTAGTTATTTAATGAACCATTTTTGTGTACATAATCCCACAACTCCGCCCCATTCGATTCGCGATCGCAGACTAGGCCGCCATTTCAGGTACGATATATATCATTTTCTACTCTACTCTACCTTACTCTACTCTACTGATACCCTAACTATACTCTACTCCAATCTCACACAACGATCTGATCATTTCGCCCACCCCTGCATACCCACCACCCACCCACTTATGTATAAAGAATATATATATACTCGTACGATATGATAACCATTAGCTTAAACAAGTTACTATATCTATAAGATACAACCACTTGGGACATTTTTGGTCGATTGGTTTTTGTTTAGATGCCATTTCCCCTGCAGATCATATAGTATTTCAAGTTCCCAACAAAATGGGAGTTCCAATCTTGTCCGATTTGTATCCTAGTAGTCCTTATAACTAGCCTCGGAATTAGTGTAACAACAGATCGATCTGCAGTGGATCTGGCTTCCAGTTCTTCCTCGGGAGAACTCACTTTTGCCCGTACTTTAATCTACGTAATCCGTAATGTTCTCGAAGTATCTCCTGAAACTCCGCCCAATTGCCAGCCGTACTCAAGCGTGGATCGCTATTTCTCTCTCTCTTTCTCTGCCTTTCTCCGGATCTCATTTCTTTCTCCAGCTGAACATCCACCGATTCAAGGTGATTGCCCGCTTCGGTCTGATGCACGTGGTGGCCACCAATATTTGCGTGTGGATCCGCACCCTGGTCAAGGAATCCCTGCTGGAGATCACCATTTACCACCAGAAGAACGACCCCGAGCCGGGAGCCTCCTCCATTGCTCATTCGATCAGGCAACATGCCCTGCGCCATGCCGGCACAGTGCTCCGGACCCATGCCGGACCCAACAGCGAGTTCGAAGTGCTGGACGGTGAGGACATCCTGCCCAAGGATGTCTACAAGACGGACAACGTGCTGTCCAAGCTGGTGCGCAACACAGTCGATGGTATCTCAAAGAGCCTGGGCATGGGCGGCGACTCCGTGACGAGCACCACCACCAGTACCACCACCACCACCCGGGCACCGTACACCACGCCCGGCTACCAATGGCACAGCACTACTATGGCCCGCAAGCTGAAGAAGTTTATCACCAGCGCCACCACCGCGGCCACCAATAGCATCTCCGGCGGCGGCAGCAGCACCTCCACCAGCTCATCCACCAGTACATCCACCACCACCACCACCACAACGATTCCGCCTCCATCTAGCACCAGCACCTACATCCCATCATCATCGACCTTCACCACCGCATTCCCGTCATCGCCGTCGCAGTCGGCCGGAAATTTGGAGACCAGCAGCAGCTTCAGCGGCCTACAGCGAATCCTCTCCAGCGCCGCCGCGCCAGTCGACGGGTTCGGTCCGGCATCTACCGCCAGTTCGGGTACGGGTGCGGGTACGGGACTGGACGCCTTCCTTGCCAGCAGCCTCAGCCCGGAGAGCAGCACTCAGGGCCCGGGCGCCAGCATCATGAACAACCTCTTCGGCCAGGGACCCATGGAGAACAGCTTCCAGACGTACACGGACTTTGGCCATGAGGAGTCCACCGGCCTGGTCAGTTTCGAGAATCTGGAGAGCCTCGACAATATCTATCCGGCTGCCCTGTCCTCCAACATTGGTACACTCAACTCCACCGCCTGTGGACGCATCGATATTATGGGAACGATTGTCTACGATTCGGCCCCGTATCTGTATCCGTTCATCATCGAGTACTCTTTGATCGGGGCGGTGGTGTTGTATGTGATGTGGAAGCACATCGGCCGCTATCCGGGCCGGATGAACGACGAGGATCTGGAGCACCGGCTGGAGGTGATGCTCTCCCGGCGGGCGGTGGCTATGGCTCAGCAGGCGCGTTCCGGACGCGTCGACTGCGTTGGCTCGTCGAAGGGACTCTTCTTTGGGCTGCTGCTGCTGGTCGGGGCCCTCATCTGCCTGATACTCTTCTTCGTCTTGGTGCGCCATCAGCAGTTCTCGCTGTTGGCCATCTACCTGGCCGATGCCAGTCACTGCATCCTGATGGCCTTCGCCATACTGGCCATAATAGTGGGCTTTATCAGGTCTGGATATTGGGATGGGACTGGGAGCTGGTTGCCAGTCAAGGGGAAAAGTATAAGCTTTTAAAACTTGTTGAAATTGATCCTTAGATGTATACTTTTGCGTTATACTCTTCCCCTGCAGGCATTGGCTAACGTAACTTGTTCAATTCCTCACTAATCCCTAATCCTTTCCAACCAAAAACAGAGTCAAGAACCTCAAGTTCCGCTGCGAGGAGCAGTCGAACCTCAACGACATCTTGCTGCGCATCTCGGCCTTTGGATTGTTCACCTACTCCGTGTTCAGCATCATTGCCGGCAGCCTGAAGGTACTGGAGAGCGAGCCCAGTCTATTGGTGACGACCACCGGCGGAGTTGCCGTCTTCCAGGTGATCCTCCAGCTGTTATTCATTGCGGACGTGTCCCGGCGACGTGTCCACCTGCCGGAGCACGACCGGAGCAAGCCCGGCCGCCAGATCGTCACCTTCCTACTCATCTGCAACGTGGCCATGTTCGCCATCTACACATTCGAAGCTCAAAAAGTATTCGCCAATCCTGTAAGTAGATATGTACGTAAGCGAGACTGAGTTTAAGTAAGACGATTAACGCTCTCGTTCCTTATCGTTATTCTATACATATTCGATAACCGATAAACCCGATAACAAATACTATAATTTGTTTTAAATCTAACACATGTCTTCCAAGTCCTTGTTCTTGCTCTTAAACTGTTTGTCTTTTGGCATGCTTCTCATATAGTTTTCCGAAAACATTTAAAAAACACAGTTCATTTCTAAAATAACGATTTCATTTCACTTTTTCCGTTATAAGTTTCAAATACTGACATTGCTGTGAGCTTTGCATGCTGTTCTTGTGCTGTTAACCCAAAGAGAACCCTTTCATGACCTATCTATTAACCCATTTCCATTCCCAACACTATAGGTTCAGCTGGAGTTCTACGGATTCGTGCCCTGGTCGATCATCCAGCGCATCACACTGCCCCTGTGCATCTTCCATCGCTTCCACAGCGCCGTGACACTCGCCGAGATCTGGAAGACCACCTACAAGGCACGCCTGGAGTAAGCTGGATCGTATATATATATACAGAAACATATATCCCGGCACACATACGTATGTCCTGGCCATAGCAGGACGTGGCAGTTATGGGAGTTATGAAAATGCACCAAAAAAATAAAAGAAAACCCAAAATGTAGCGAACCCAAAACGCAAAAACCAAAACCGAAACCGAAACCGAAATCAAGTGAAAAGTTAGTTTCTAATTACGTATTAAACATATGCATACTACATATAATATATACATTAATGCATATTTGAATATATTGATTCGATTTTTTTTCCGTCGTCGTTTTCGTTTTTAGTTACGCATATGCATAGGTTATATAAGTTCAAAAAAACAATAAAGAATAAACAAATCATAAAAAGAAGAAACCAAAGCGAGAATAAATCAAGTAAAGTGAAATAAATATTTGTAACCGAAACCGAAAACGATAACGAAGCGAACGAACCGATCGGACCACAAGCTTAAATCGAAAAGTCTACGATTAACGATAACACGATAGCGATAACAAACAATTTGAATCGCTTTGCAAAGTCGCTTGTTGATTTTTGATTTCCCCTTCCCTAAATATTTCACCCCCTAAATATATTATTATTCTTTTTTTTATCACTTGAAAAAAACTTAAGAACTAAGTCATAGCGTTTATGCTGCCTGAGTTATATGTTTAAATATTGTTTAGTTTATAGTTTCGTTTCTAACATGCTGCAATACCTTGTTACTAAACAAAACCAAACGAAACGCAAATTAATATTAATTTTGTAATTGTTTTACCATTATTTAAAAACCCAAAATTAAAAAAAAAAAAAACGACAAAATCAATTAAAATTTACTTTTTCGAATAAGAAGTTATTCTGAGAAAAAATGGTTGTTTACTTTCGCGCGTTTGCGACTCTGCGATTAAGATTTTGAGTGTGCTCAACGAGTAGGTAAGTCCGGCGGAAAACTCCCCGGAAAACCCCAAAAAAAAGCCAAATGAATAACAAATAACAGAAAAACAAAAAAACACACAGTTACAGACAGGGAAATGCAAAATGCCATGAAGAAGAACGCAGCCACAGGAAACGGAAACGAAATGGAAACGAATCGATACCGGAAACCGAAAACCGGAAACGAAAGGAATTTCGCTCGAGCATTCTGAATAGATTTGAAAATTTAACTTCTCCACACACAAAAGTAACAGCCGAACAACAAGAACAACAACAAAAAACTGTGATGAATTATATAATTCATTTATTATTTAGCTATTGATTTGATTTCTTGACTTTATTTGATCGCCCTTCGTTTTCTCAGCTTTATTTTTTTCTCAGCCGCTAAAACCCACATAAACTGAGTCGAAAACTTTTGTAAGAATTTAGAAACAATGGCGCTAAGACAACTTCATGGCCAATTGTAAAAACAAATTTCCCCAAAAAACAACATAACGAAACGAAAAACAAAAAATACAAAAATAATATACAAACAAAGAACATACAAAATTGTGGCATCCAATGGCCGAAAAAAAAAAACAAAAAACCAAAAAGAAACAAAAACATTTTTAATATACATTATATAAAAGTTTATAAATGTCCATTTTTTGATTATTAGTAGTAATGTTAAAAAGCAAAAACATAATTAACAGTAATAATAATAATAATAATTGAAATATGTATGTATGTTATAGCAGAGAATCGGATAAACCAAGAAATTCTCAAAAAAAAAAAGAAAACCCATGGAATCAAAACCAAAAACCGAAAACTGAAAACAAAGACATTGAAATGAAATCTTTCCACGTGAATCCCCGCATTTATAAATGAAATTTTAGCTAAAGCAAAATGGATTGCCGAGTTTGATGATCGAAGAGCGAAGGATATGGGCAGGATGATGGCTATAGGATGAGACCATTGACAGAAGGCATCAAATTGTTTACAATTTACAATTTGTTAAAGAGTAACAAAAACATTTTGAAAGATATATTGCCACGTATATCTATAAATATATGTATACTAACCCACCAAATTCAAAGTATTTCAAAGTTTTATACAATGGAGACGATGCGCAAGACAAGAATTGGGGATGGGACTTGTCCCAATCTTTCTATCTCTATACCGAGGGGTGAACCCGAACCTATCCTTTCTCCAGCCCCCATACCCCATAACCCATATCCCTTATCCTCTTATTTGTCTGGAAGAAAAGGATGTCCCCCGAAACAGGCAGTCAGAAAGCATCAGTTTGCTAAAGACCAAAGAAAACCAAACCGAATGAAATGAGATGGGATGAGATGAGATGAGAATTTGTTGGTGGAAACTCACTGCCCTCAACGGATCCGCGGAATATCGCTGATTATACACAGATGAAAGTCAAGTCTACAAGTCTATATAAAATGCATGTTATATCGCTAAACGATATATTCAAAACTCGTAATCCAATCAAATGTAATGTGGTAGCAAGCAAATAGGTAAAGCCAAATCGAAAATAATGAAACCCAACCATAAGTAGTTCAGCACACACTATCACACATACATACACATATACATTTACACAATACACATTCATATGACAAGGATCTGGAGGATAATATCCAGGGATAACATCATATTCAAAGTTTGCGAATCAAATTCAGTTTGAAACTTGTACTTGCGTAGGCTCTTAGAAATTGTACTTGTACGCATAAAAGTCACACATACATATATTTAACTATACATATACATATATATATATATTCATAATATATATGAATATATATATATAAATAAATCCAATTGTTTTTTCCTTAAAATTTAGTTAAACATAAGATCGAATCATATTTTACGCCGTACAACATGAAAGTGAGCAAGCAGAAGAAATATTTATTAAATGTTTCAACTAAGTTGTATAATTATAAGTGAGAGTTTACATAATGGAATTATGTATGTATCTGTATCTAAGTAGAGCCACTGGAGAGTTGCAAATTCGAGACCGAGAAGAGCTAAAGAAAAAACGTATTCAGATCGAGAAACTTAACGCACAATTCAAAACCAAAACCAAAACCAAAAACACCAAAGCAGCCGCTACAATTTCCATGATACAACCAAAAACAAAAACACACACAAGTAAATATATATATATATAGACGTACTTATATACTCGTAAGTATATAGACAATTTCAATAACTGATAAATATATATATATATATAAAGAGCGAAAATTACATGCATTTCAAATACATTTTCCCATAACCGCATCAAATAAATCAGCAAATACGAAACGAATTCAAGTGGATAAGCAACCAAGTTCGACAAATGAGTACTATGAATGAATATATATTAATGAATTCTATAAATTCTATAAATTATGAGTGAGTGCCCCGGCACACGCTCGGATATAATACAAACAAATTTAGCAGAACGCGAAAAAAAAAATACAAAAATTGTATGCAATTTTTTAATCATTGTCGCATTTTAGATACGAAAACCAAACGAAACGAGAATACAATTTGAACAATTTTGTTAACAAACATCTACACTCGAACATACTCACACTACACTCAAGCCACACTCACATTCAGAGACATACACTCGAACAAAAAACCATAACAATTTGCATAACGAAGATAACGAGAAAACCAAGGACATGCTTACAATTTGAACATCAAGTTGTTCGCATGTTTTCGAAGCAAAGATGACATACAAGTAATTTTAAATTGAATAAAAATTAGTATTAAATATGTACAACAAAAATCAAGTTGATTTCTTATTTATTGGGGAAGTGGTTGAGGTCTCCGCATCTTCGACTTAAACTTATAGTTAAAACAAAAACGTTCTTAAAAATAATTTGGCTAGAAGCGCATCCGTCTCAAGGAGCTTGAGTGGCCACGTCCAAGTTCACTTGGAAGCTGGCCCACCGATAGTCCCTGCTATCAGGATCCCGGAGAAGGCACATGAGTGGCTGCCGCCCCTGGTTTCTGTTGGTGGTTTGGGGCAGGTCCTGCAGCAGCTGTTGCAAGCCCCCAGGAGTCACATAGCCCACGGCGCATACTGTAGCTTCTGTGAAGCTAAAGCCGGCAGAAGACACGTAGCCGAAGACTTCCCGACTGCACTGCCGGCGCACGCTGTCCCGGGTCTCGGTCGGATCGTTGGGCAGCCATAGACGGCACATCTCCTGGAGCTGGCTGCGCACCAAACCGGCCGTGTTGGCCGGGCGTATGTGGACGCGTTTGGTGGCTGTTTCCTGGAGGCGGCGCTTCTCTCGCAGTCGGCGTCCCCTCAGACGTTTCAGCATCAGCTTGTGTCTGTGCCGCAGTTGCTTTCGGATTGGTTCATTGAGGTCCGGCTGAGGAGGTTCCACATGAATGGGAGCCTGATCATTCCGCTTTATCTGCCGCCAGCGGTTGCGGTAATCCGTCGTGGAGGGCAGGCAAATAAGGGCGTTGGCCTTAACATGACCTCGGGCCGAAAGCCGCAATTGGATTTGGATAAGAGCTGCTTGTGGCAATGGTTCCGGAAGGGGCCTTCGTTGCCTCAAACTATCCGCTATCCCCTCCAGCTGCTGGCGATGCCGCAGTACATAGAAGGACCCAGCAAAGGAACCATCGTGCCAATCCCTGACCAGCTGCTTCCAGGGAGCCTTAAACGGACTGACGACAGCCAACTTCCGGTAATTGGTGCGCTTGTTTGGAGGTAACCGGAAGTACCTTGCCCGCTGCTCATCTCCCAAAACATTGGCTTCTTGGACTCCTGGTTGAATTGAAAAGAAAGTATATTCGAACCATATACTAATAACCAACTTCTTTCCACAACTCACCAGCTATCGTATCCGGCAGATGCATCTCGGCCCCCGCCTCCCTGGCGACCGAATCCAGTTCCCGCAGTCCACCAGGGCGCGCACCCCACATATTCAACGTCAGCCACAGAATCATACCATATCCTGCCGGAGCAATCACATCCCAGCCACAGCCGTAGCCTAGTCTCTTGTAGCTGGCATCCTGGGATCCTGGTCGCTGTATCAGGAGCAGTGGAACCTTCTGCATCTTCGCCTCGAACGCACATGGTGCTCCCGGAACGATGGCATGCTGCTGGCGCAACTTCTCGTAGTTCTCCGTGGACATGATACTCTTGGACAAGCGCTCCCGTTCCTGCAACAGCCACAAAGGACTATCCGGCAAGGTCTTCGGCTGGTTCACCAGCAAATCTTCAGCAGAAGGACGTTGTGTTTCGGCGGGCTCGGCTTTCGTCCGTTTTTTTGGACGCTGCAAGCGAGGATCTGCTACTTGGACGCCCATAACCAAATTGGAAAGCAATTCGCTCGGTGAGTATAGTTGCAGGGCTGCCTGGACGTAGTCAGACTGGGGCTGGAGCTCTGGAGGGTTGTCTTGATGCGGGCGCAAGCTGGCTGCCAACACACTTTGAGCCCTGGGTCCTGTCAGTCGGAAGCGATTGAACTCCTTTTGGAGGACCAGCAAGTGTACTGAGTTATCCAAGCTCGCATAAGCGGGATATCGTTCGAAAGCCTTGGTAAGCGTCCAGAAACGTAGCGGTTTCTCCGAGGTTCGTTTTTTACTAAGTTTCTGATCTTGGTCTTGGGTTTCCTTGTCCAGACAAGGAGAGGCTGTCCTTGTGAGAGGCTGGTCCATCTCCATCTCCTCCTCTAATTGCAGTGTTTTCTGCTTGCTATGCTTCAGTTGAAAGACCTTAAGGAGCTGTTCCAGGGTAGTCTGAGCCGCGCTGGGATGCACCCAAAGCCAGAGAGTGCGTTCTGGCTGACCCTCGGTTTCGGGACGCCACAGAAATCTGGCTTTCTGGATAGCGCCGTGCGGGTACTGACTATCCTCGAAGAGCTCCACACACCCCTCGCGCCGACCAGTAATGAAGGTCTTGGCGGTAATGCCCAAGCCACACTCAGGACTGGTCAGACGAGCGAAACCCTGACGCAAGACCTCCAAACTACCACGCAGCTCTAAGCACCAATAGAAAGAGATGTCCTGAAGCAAACAGTGCTGGGCACTGGCACGGTAGCAGGCGCGGTAGGTTTTATCACAACTGGCGAGGGGCAAACGATGACCCCAGCGATCCACCATATGAAAACGCTTCGCGTGCCAGATATGAGTCTCCAGCCAAATGTTTTTTCGCTGCCGGCGAACGTACTCATTAAGTAGATTCTTTGGCCGGCGACGGTACTTCCTAGAGGGACGCTTAGTGTTCACGGGATCATTGCCGCTTTTCCCCATTTGGGATTTGTGCGCCTGGCGGTATTTTCTTGGCAGTCGCTTAGGGTGGTGCGACATTGCCCGCCGGCGCATATGCTTAGGAAGAGTCTGGAAGATGAGCTTGCAGTTTCTTTGGGACGGCTGCGTAGCCTCCTCTATTAGGCTCTTAATCTCCTGAAGCGCTCCGGCCGCATAATGATATGTGGTTACATGCGTGGGCAGCGTCACTTTTCCGCCTAACGCCGCATCGTACTCCAGTTTCTGACTGGCCATGGCTGGAGGTAAATCCTCGAGGGTCCTTTCGGAGAACTTCAATCCTGACCAGAAACAAAAACAAACGAATCCCGCCGCACGTGTGCCGGCTGCATATAGTGTTTTACAACACTGTTTTTAGTGATGATACTTGCAATTTCGTAACCAGAACCTAGGCTGGAAATAAGTTAAAAAGCATCATTTAAACAAACAAAATTTTAATAAATTTTGAATAATTTCAGTTTATTTTAACTTTTAATAAATAGACTACAATTTTAAGCATGATACGATAACTCTTTTGCAGCCCTAGCAGTTGACCCTGCCGGTAGGCCACTATATATGGATACAGTCCGTTTTGGCAGCTGGTCACATTGTTGCCGTATAAAAATTTTGCTTGCGTTTGCTTCGCCACCGAATTTTCCCGTGTTTTGTGTTTTTCTCTTCTCCCTCAGCTAGCTAAAAAAAACAAATCGATATGGTAAGTGCGTGAAGTAGGCAACATGACACTTTGTATATTTAATAACAATTGAATGTTTACGGGAGCTCCTATTTCCCGCTTCGCCAGCAACGATGACGACGACGACTCATGTTTTCCTTTGTTTTGTTGTTTTTCAGGCAGCTTACACCGAGGATCAGTTGGCTGGTGAGTGCGTGTGTGTGTGTGTGCATCTGTGAGAGTGGGGCTGTGTGGGTTGGGTGGGTGTTGTCTTTGGGGGAAATGGGGCGCACAAGTTCAAAGTGCCAACGAATCGCAATATTTGCATGCGATTCTGGGACAGCACATCTGTGGCCCCCAAGCCAGCAATGTAGCAATGGTATGTGAAAGCGACGAAAAAGTATCTGTGTTAGTGTTACACATCTTCAGCGGCGACATACCTATAGGTATGTTGAATATGAATCATTGATAAAACAAATACGAGGGCAGCAGTGGCGGCGGCACAACTGGAAAGCAGCCATACGAATACGAAGACGAATATATGAATACGATCGCGATGACTCACCCGCAGAAACACTCAAAAACCGAAGAAAATCGGACGTCGCACCATTGAATTCCCTAGAAAAGATAATAGTAGTTTATAGAAAATATAAACCCTAAGAAATGTACACCCTTTGAGGCTATAGATTACTTTCTACGAATCTTAGTAATTGAGAAGCTCTATAGATCCTATACATTGGATGTAATTTTTCTAAAGACTATCATTTCCCAAGTAATCAATCAAGTTTATGAGGGACAAATTCCATCAAGTTCTGCCTAGAAACTTAGCACCCTTAGACTAGGGTATAAAACCGCGAAAAAAACCACAATTTGAAGGCATAGGATGTGGGCGATTAGATAGGCAGGAGAGGCGTCAGCTTGTACGATAATCACCCGGTTTTTTCGACCCGCCGGCAGCTCAACGAAAAATCAACTAATGCAACACCAATTGCAACTGCAACATGGCAGCGATAAGATCCGAAAACAAAAGTGACAGTGGGCCAGCTTCCATTTATGGCTGGGCCAGTCACCTTCTCTGGGTCACGTTTCCAATCCCAATCCAATCCCAATCCGATGCGATCGAATCTTTACGCAACTGGCGACACCGTTGTGATAACTTAATCAAAATCAATTGGTGTGTGTGTTTATTTGCCTGATAAGTCGGACCGATCCGATCCAATCCGATCTCTGACGTCAGCCCCCGTCGCATTCGATCATGTACATGCCACAAATATATATACTATATATGCGCTCACCTTGTTGCAAACTTTGGCTTTGCTCCGCCGATTCGCATTCGTCGCCTTTAGTCATCGCCAAAAATGGTCAAAAATTTGCTGGAATCGTTTGTTTTTATTGCCATTTTTGGATGTTGTATGCGCATGATAACCGAACAAAAACTGCCCCTCGGTCGTGCTAAAGCTTTAAGGTTGAAGAATATGGCATGCTCTTTTCGGTTGAGGTATACTTTTTAAACTCACTTCTCTCCCTATTATTTAAGTCCTCTTTAATCCACAGAAGACAAAACTTAGGCTTAATATGAGTTTGTAGGCCAAGAAACTGTTCCCTGACGATGTTTCACTTCGCACAGCCACTTTTCGAATGCCAAATGCTACTGCCCTGCTGGAGGAAAGGGCCGAATCCCACCCATTCGTGGTGTTTTTCCATGAAATCCGACTTGGATCTGTGCTTTAAACAACTGATTCTTCAACGAATCGTTATTGTAAACAAAACCTTAATACCCCTTTTTCATGGGATCCCAGCCCCAACTCCAGCCCGGGCCAGTTGCTTTTGCGTAAACAAGTTCTCCGATGAAGTGAGGGTATTGCATGGCAGTTAAGTGGGGAGGATTGCAGGGGGGCCGACAGAGTATCAATATGGTGGGGGAGAAGGAGGAGGCGCCGTCGGCAGTGGCGACGGGGCAGTGCCAGGCTCCAACCCGGGGCAGCTGGAGTTTGAGGCAGTGGCTTCAGTCATTTGGCCACTCGGTAGCTGGCAAGGTGGTGATCAAAGCGCAAAATCATAATAAAAGTCTGAATATAGGAAGATGTATTACTATACGGCTCATGTGAAACCCACATTCACCACACTGGAAGGTGGCACATTCTCTGCATCTGCAGTATCTCATCCATAATCTCTAATGTGTATTTTTTTTTATCACACACAGAATTCCAGGAGGCCTTCAACCTTTTTGACAACCGTGGTGATGGCAAAATCCAGCTCAGCCAGGTGGGCGAATGCCTCAGGGCATTGGGCCAGAACCCCACCGAGTCGGATGTGAAGAAGTGCACCCACCAACTGAAGCCCGATGAGCGCATTTCGTTCGAGGTCTTCCTGCCCATCTACCAGGCTATATCGAAGGCCCGCTCGGGGGATACTGCCGACGATTTCATCGAGGGACTGCGTCACTTCGACAAGGACGCCAGTGGCTACATCTCCTCGGCCGAGCTGCGCCACCTGCTGACCACGCTCGGCGAGAAGCTTACCGACGAAGAGGTGGAGCAGCTGCTGGCCAACATGGAGGACCAGCAGGGCAACATCAACTACGAGGAGTTTGTGCGCATGGTTATGAGCGGTTAGGAAGCAAGGAGATCCTTCGACACACACAACACACTAACTATCCACAGCACTTTTGAAACACACAATACACACACACACACACACCTGCCAAGCTAGCTGAGAGCCGTTCATTCCGCCATAAGTTCCAAAAATAAGAAAAAAAAAAAACTCCAACTCCATAATTCCAATTGAGAGCCACCTGCCCCCAGGAATTCCAACGAAAGACAAAGCCGAAAGCTGGGAGGAATGCATAGAAGCACAGAGAGGTTGGAGGCCACTTCCATTTCCAACTTACTAACCATCGATGTAGACATATAGGTTCTCGATTAATCACTAATCCACGTCTGTGAATTGTGCGTATTATTCTAAAAGAGAAAACGAAAACAGGAAAAATGTATAATTGCGTAATTATCCCGTAGTTCAGGCGTTCTTTTGTACCAATCACTCGATACCGATACATATGTCAAAACTTAAGAAAATATTTAAAAACAAGTGGAGCAAACAGCGAGAGTATCACGAAAAGTATTTGTAACTAAATTTAATATACGAAGTCAGCGGCGTATGTTTGAATTTAAATGCGCATTTTGAAGTTTTACATGTTTTATTTTTTTTAAATAATTTAATATTTGTATTTAATAAATAATTATTAAAAAGAACAAGTGAATGTGTAGGTCTTTTTACAAAAGAAACGTACTTAAAACTATTAAACCAATTGAAACCTTATATTGTGTTTTCTTTCCTTCTTTGGGATGATATTTAAAATTCTTATGAATAATAAATTATCCCTCTTACATTAGACTTTATCTTTTAATAGATTAGGAGACTCATTTATTTGAATGAATGAATAATATGCAACGCATATTAGATTATGATTCATGTTTTTAAAAAACCCGCCCAGAAATTACCAAGAAAAGCGTCTCACGCATTAAGCTTTTTGGTATATTTCGACTTTCCGTCTGGCCACACTGTCTCTTGTGTTCCAAAACAAAAGCGAAGATGTTTCCCGACAATTAATTAGTAACTAGCCGCCGCCGCAACTGATTTCCTTAATTAGCCGCTGCCCCAACACAGCTTGCATATACACCATGCCCCTGAACGCAGGGCCGGAGACTGGCGGCGGTAAGGGCGTAGTGGCCAGTGGCTCCCAGGAGCCCAGCTCGCCCGTCCAAAAGGTCTGGAAACCGGAGTGTAAGTCCAGGCAACGCCCTCCATGATCTGTTACTCACCAAGCTTCTCCGCATTTAGTGTACAAGATCCAGTTGGAAGCTCCGACTCCATTTCCATTGCGCTGTCTGAGAACCCTGCTGCCGCTGCCGGCTAAATCAAAGGCCGAGGCTGTGGAGGCCAATGACTCGGCTGTTCGACTTTATGGCTCTGAGTACCATGGCGTGATGGGTCACTTGGAGGCCGAGGAGCTGCTGGCAAATGGTCGCGAGGGAAGCTACCTCGTCCGGCGAAGTCCGCAGTCCGACGGATACTACACTCTCAGTCTCCGATTCAACAAGCGGACTAAACACTTCAAAGTGTTCTACAAGCCCGATAAAGGGCATTACCTTCGTGATCAGGACAAGTGCTTCGACTCGGTTCATGACATGGTGGCCGACGGACTGATCAACTTTCACATGGAGCTCCATGCCGGTCCAATTATTCAGCAGATTAACCAGCAGACCCGAAACTGCTATCAGCAGAGTCCCTACATGACGCTGAATGGGCGAAAGCTACGAGCACTGTCCAAGGAGATGGCTCCAGAGAAACCCAAAGATGCAGCGCAAACATCACTCCCCGCGCCAGGGAAGGACGACCAGACCGATGCGGAGCCAAAGCGGCAGTCTCAGCCCCAAGTTAGGTCTTCAATTCCAGCAGCTGCTGCAGCAGATCCCATGCCTCTGGTTTACGAAAAGCCGCATCAGTTCAAGGTTCGTATATTTCCATATAAGAACAATCTTCAATACTATCCTGAAACTCTTCTAGGTTCACACCTTCAAGGGCCTCAACTGGTGCGAGTTCTGCGCCAATTTCTTGTGGGGATTCACCGCCCAGGGTGTCAAGTGTGAGGCCTGTGGCTTTGTGGCTCACGCCAAGTGCTCCGAACTAGTGCCGCCCAAATGTGTGCCGGATTTGAAGCGGATTCGTGGTGTCTTCGGAACAGATCTAACCACCATGGTCCAGCTGGAGCAGCACCACCAAATACCTTTTGTAGTTCGCCGCTGTGTGGAAGAGGTGGAGGCGAGGGGCATGCTGCAGGAGGGAATCTATCGGGTTTCCGGCTTCGCCGATGAAATCGAGGCCTTGAAGCTGGCTCTAGACAAGGACGGCGAGAAAACGGACATGTCGGAGACGGCCTACGGGAACGTTAACGTTATTGCCGGAACGCTGAAGCTCTATCTGCGCCTGTTGCCGGTACCGCTGATCACATTTCAGGCCTATCCCAGTTTCATGGCTGCCGGCCGTAAGTGCTTGCGCCTTTGTTGATATTGTTATAATAATAAATATCTTCTTACAGGTAACAGCAACCAAGCTGAGCAGCTGACTCTCATGACCGAGGCAGTGCACCGCCTGCCGCCTGCCCACTACAGTTGCCTACAGTATATGCTGGAGCACCTGAAGCGCGTGGCCTCCCATTACGCCGTCAACAAGATGAACGAGCACAACCTGGCCACGGTGTTCGCACCCACATTGATAGCCACTCCCCAGCATATGACCAATCTCACCGAGGAGATCTTCATGCTATCCTCGCTCATCACCCATTGCAAAAAGATCTTTGCCTGATCCGCCTCCTCCTCCCAAATTCATGAAACCGAGTGGAATGGGCTATCCATTCCTCGTTCTCTTTTGCTTTGGCTCTACATATACTATGTATAACTATATAACACCTTAAAAACTATTCACACGACTCGATGATTCCACCAAAAATATAGCCTAAGATAAGGGTAAAGTATTAAGTAAGCATCCAAAAGATTTGGGAAAAAAGAAACCAGTAAGCACATCAAATGTTATGAAGGTCCAACGTTCGAATTTACCGATTTTGGTATTATTTTTTGGAGCATGTATTATGCGTCACAATAAACATATTTATTGAATTTATAAAAAAATGAATTCTTTTTGAATTATTTAATATTTTTTTTTTTTGAATTGTATATATTTGTTTTTTTTGTGAATTGTCTAATTTTTTTTGAAACTTTTTTGGAGTAATATTTTAAAATTGGTGAAACCCTGGAAAAGGCCATTGCTGAGCATGTGGTCATCCTTTGTTTGTAAACCAAGGTACCATAGACTAGGTTTTCAAAATTGACAAACGAATTTTGAGACTCGACCCGGTCGGAAGTTTAAAACCTTCATTCTCTAAAAAGTACTGAAATCAAAAGGACGTGTTCCGTTTGAACTTTTTGTGCTCTCATTTAACTTTTGTGTTTTTTCGTCGAGATTTTTTTTCGAGTTGAATTTTAAAAACCAAGTAAAGCAAAAGCTTGAAATGAAGGAGGTCAACAAGCAGGTTGAGAAACCCGAAATAACTGATGCCAATTTGGCCGTGAAAATGCGGCCCGATAGCCGTAGTCCAATGGCGGCAAAACTGAAGGAGGTGAAGAACCAGAAGCCGCAATTAAACGAGATGGCCAGTGGACTCGCGAACCTGGTGACTGCAGTAAGCAGTGCCGCCATGACTTCGAAGTCAAAGTAAGTTTCTTTCAGCTTTCTATCCTTAATTGGACCAATGCTTTGCAGACTTCAATGAAAAAACAAAGTTACAATTTATAGTAACCTTTATTTTCATTAGTTGCAATTTTTATAAATATGTATCCTTTTCAGGGACGGCAAGCTAAAGCTTGAGAATAACGATTCATTTGAGATGAATGCTCCCTCGGGAAGTGTTTCTCAAATGGATACTTTGCCAGCCCCGGAGGCTCCTCAGCAGCTTGAGGCCCAGCTCGGCGAGAACCAGATCCAACACGCCACCGATCACGGCGAGCATTTCAACTCGCAGGTCGGCTCTAAGATCGAGGTGGTGGTCGGCACGGTAGCTCCACCTGAGCCAATGAAAACTGAGGAGGTGACCGTTGCCGAGGTACCTCAGGAGCCACTGCAGGTTGTGCAGCTGCCGGTACAGCAGCAACCGGAGCATTCCGAATCGCAGGGTCCACAAGAAGCGGTGGAGCAACCAAATCCGGCAACCATGCCGGACGGAAGTTATGGTCTTTACGGCAGTCAGAAGCAAAGCACCGAGGAAGCCGGGTCTATGCGCGAGATCGGCATTGGCGACGGAAACTTGATCTTCCTAACTGGAGGCGATGGCCAGGCTAATTATAATGCTGGCGACTCGGTGGCCATCGGCCAGCGTTTGCCCATTTACGTACTGAACACGGACGAGAATGTTGTCCGCTATGTGCAGGATAGCGAGGGCAATGTACAGCTGGACATGGAAAGTGTAATCGAATACCTGCCGGAGGAGCATGACGGTCCGGTGGAGTCAATGAGCAACAATGGAGCCCCAGCTTCGCCGGAAGTGCATGCATCACTGCCACCACTACCACAACCTGTAAGAGGAGGCTTGCCGGATGCAACCCCTGAGATTGAAGCGTTAATAGAGGAAGGCCGTGTGATGGAGGCCCCTATGGTGGCAGCCCCTATGGTGGCAGCCCCTGTTTTGAGCGATGCTTATGAGATGATCAGCGATACGGAAGACGTCGATGGTAATGTACCAAGTACAAGCGGCCTGAGTAATCCAGGCTCGATAAATGTGAATACCTTTCATCCCGTCTTGGACTCCCCTTCTTCCCCGGATCCAGAAAATCCGACTGGATCCGTTTTGGATGATCAGGAAGGTAAGGCCGAACGCCGAGTTCCATCGGATCATGCTTACGCTAAAGGCACCTGGGATACGAGCAAGGGTTTCAAGAAAGATTAGTCTTATTAGCCGATTTTTATTTATCATATCTTGTTTATTATTGTAAATTGCCACAAAATACTATTATATAACAATACATCATGAACTATGGAATTCTTGGTTTTATAAGAAGAAATAAATAGATTTACGAATTTGTCGCCTAATTGAAATTAAATTCGTATTTTTGCAGTTTATCAGGTTTGCAGAGATCTTAGATACTGGAAGATATTGGAAGATATTACAAAATAGAAGAAATTCTTTACAGAAAAGTATCGTTCCAAAACATCTGTATATTCAAAAATATATTTAATTTTTTTTATACATTTTCTTAGCAACCTTTGAAAAATTATTCACTATTCCAAATTCATCCTGTAATTGTAACTTTCGTATTCGGCTCTCGTTTCTAAAAATCTTTTGTGACATTTTCTTTTCTATTAAAAAACAGAAGATATGCGGTCTTTCCATAAATTTGGTTTCTTCCACAAACGGTCCGAGTTGATGATTATGTTGCCTGAGGTGCACAAGCTGCGGGACATCTTTGAGCTGTTCGCATCCAAGGTGAATACGAGGAAGCAGACGATGATCGAGAAGCCTCCAGCCGAGTCAGGTATTGATGAAGGAGCCAATGGAGAAGAAGAAATACACACTGAAGAAGGTGGAGCAGGAACTGGAGGACAATCAAGGACGACAATCATTTATATTAATACCCCGACTATCGATATCTCTGATGTGGACGAATGCCTCCGCACTATGGGCTTATTTCCTAATGATCAGTGGCTTGGCAACCGCCTAAAAGAGCACCTGCGACGCCGCACAGAAATGGGACCAATGAGCACCCATATGGCTAGAAGGGTTGCCTTCGAACTAGTCCTCACGCTCTACTGCCAACTGGCAACCTTGAGCGAAAAGCTGAACGCCGACGAAGTACTGACAGCTTTGCGTAGCTGCGACCCCCAAGGAACCGGTGTCTTGTCCTACTCTGAGCTGCGCCATATGCTAACCAACGTGTGTGACCGCCTCGAGGAGGCGGAGGTCTTCAGCCTACTCCATAGTGTCTCGGACATTGACGGGAATGTCCACTACGAGCATCTGGTGAAGAAAATGTTCGACAGGGAAGCCCAGACAGAGGAGATGGTGCACCAGGCCAGGATCTATCTTCAGGCAATTGGCCCTAATGCCATCGACATGGACATGGCCAAAAGGGACGAGTTTATTGATGACCTGCGCGAGGCGGATCCCGGCAATACTGGCTACATCGATCAATCCACCCTGCTCAATGTACTCAATCGTGGCGAGGAACACTTCACCGGCGACGAGCTAAAGATTCTAACCAGTGGGATGATGGATGACGGGCATCCGGGTATAAACTACATGCGTTTTCTGCGCTTCGTCATGCACGAGTAAGCGGACCTGTCTGGTAGAGAATCGTTACTGGGGAAAAATCCCAAAGCTCATATGACATTTATTAAAAATAAATGCCAATTATTGCAAATATTACCTTGCAAACTTTTTTGCATTTATTTAATTTAAAGTCTGAGAAAATCTAAAGTCCAATTCCCTTTTCCTCTAATTCAAAATAAGCTTTAAAATTTATCGTATCGTTAGCATTCACTAGAGGTGGGTATTTTAAAATCCTTCGCTAGAGGCGGAAAATTTAAAACCCTGTTTATTTATCGATAGTTTTAGCTCGCTTTTTAGGGGTGGAGTCGCTATTTGCTATGGGTGGTCAGTTCGTCGATATTTTTAATTTATTTGCTTGATGGTGGTGGACCAATCCCATTTATTTGCAAGAAGCGATGAATTACACACCGGCTATCGATAGTTTTAGTTCACTTTGATACAGTTGGCAACTTTAAAATCATTTGCTGACGGGTAGGAATTCAAAACCTTCAAGAACTCTTCATTTTCGATGCAAATCTTAGTGTTTTTTTATTTGCTATTTCGCAACCAATATATATAGATATAGAAATCGTTTGAGGTACTCCGCTTGAAAATCGGATCAGAATTGTGGAAGATATAGACATCGCAGTGGGCCGTATGAGGGAAATCTGCATTTTCAAGGGGTCCCATCAGGAAAAATGGACAAAAAATTTAAAAAATATTTTGTGTCAGGATTTTGATGCAGAATGATGGAGAATCGATATAGAAATCGTTTGAGGTACTCCGCTTAAGAATCGGATCAGAATTGTGGAAGATATAGACATCGCAGTGGGCCGTATGGGGGAAATCTGCATTTTCAAGGGGTCCCATCAGGAAAAATGGACAAAAAATTAAAAAAATACTTTGTGTCAGGATTTTGATGCAGAATGATGGAGAATCTATGTAGAAATCGTTTGAGGTACTCCGCTTGAGAATCGGATCAGAATTGTGGAAGATATAGACATCGCAGTGGGCCGTATGGGGGAAATCTGCATTTTCAAGGGGTCCCATCAGGAAAAATGGACAAAAAATTTAAAAAATATTTTGTGTCAGGATTTTGATGCAGAATGATGGGAAATCTATACAGAAATCGTTTAAGGTACTCCGCTTGAGAATCGGATAAGAATTGTGGAAGATATAGACATCGCAGTGGGCCGTATGAGGGAAATCTGCATTTTCAAGGGGTCCCATCAGGAAAAATGGACAAAAAATTTAAAAAATATTTTGTGTCAGGATTTTGATGCAGAATGATGGAGAATCGATATAGAAATCGTTTGAGGTACTCCGCTTGAGAATCGGATAAGAATTGTGGAAGATATAGACATCGCAGTGGGCCGTATGGGGGAAATCTGCATTTTCAAGGGGTCCCATCAGGAAAAATGGACAAAAAATTTAAAAAATATTTTGTGTCAGGATTTTGATGCAGAATGATGGGAAATCTATACAGAAATCGTTTAAGGTACTCCGCTTGAGAATTGGATAAGAATTGTGGAAGATATAGACATCGCAGTGGGCCGTATGGGGGAAATCTGCATTTTCAAGGGGTCCCATCAGGAAAAATGGACAAAAAATTTAAAAAATATTTTGTGTCAGGATTTTGATGCAGAATGATGGGAAATCTATACAGAAATCGTTTAAGGTACTCCGCTTGAGAATCGGATAAGAATTGTGGAAGATATAGACATCGCAGTGGGCCGTATGGGGGAAATCTGCATTTTCAAGGGGTCCCATCAGGAAAAATGGACAAAAAATTTAAAAAATATTTTGTGTCAGGATTTTGATGCAGAATGATGGAGAATCGATATAGAAATCGTTTGAGGTACTCCGCTTGAGAATCGGATAAGAATTGTGGAAGATATAGACATCGCAGTGGGCCGTATGGGGGAAATCTGCATTTTCAAGGGGTCCCATCAGGAAAAATGGACAAAAAATTTAAAAAATATTTTGTGTCAGGATTTTGATGCAGAATGATGGAGAATCGATATAGAAATCGTTTGAGGTACTCCGCTTGAGAATCTGATCAGAATTGTGGAAGATATAGACATCGCAGTGGGCCGTATGGGGGAAATCTGCATTTTCAAGGGGTCCCATCAGGAAAAATGGACAAAAAATTAAAAAAATACTTTGTGTCAGGATTTTGATGCAGAATGATGGAGAATCTATGAAGAAATCGTTTAAGGTACTCCGCTTGAGAATCGGATAAGAATTGTGGAAGATATAGACATCGCAGTGGGCCGTATGGGGGAAATCTGCATTTTCAAGGGGTCCCATCAGGAAAAATGGACAAAAATTTAAAAAATATTTTGTGTCAGGATTTTGATGCAGAATGATGGGAAATCTATACAGAAATCGTTTAAGGTACTCCGCTTGAGAATCGGATAAGAATTGTGGAAGATATAGACATCGCAGTGGGCCGTATGGGGGAAATCTGCATTTTCAAGGGGTCCCATAAGGAAAAATGGACAAAAAATTTAAAAAATATTTTGTGTCAGGATTTTGATGCAGAATGATGGGAAATCTATACAGAAATCGTTTAAGGTACTCCGCTTGAGAATCGGATAAGAATTGTGGAAGATATAGACATCGCAGTGGGCCGTATGGGGGGAAATCTGCATTTTCAAGGGGTCCCATCAGGAAAAATGGACAAAAAATTAAAAAAATACTTTGTGTCAGGATTTTGATGCAGAATGATGGAGAATCTATGTAGAAATCGTTTGAGGTACTCCGCTTGAGAATCGGATCAGAATTGTGGAAGATATAGACATCGCAGTGGGCCGTATGGGGGAAATCTGCATTTTCAAGGGGTCCCATCAGGAAAAATGGACAAAAAATTTAAAAAATATTTTGTGTCAGGATTTTGATGCAGAATGATGGGAAATCTATACAGAAATCGTTTAAGGTACTCCGCTTGAGAATCGGATAAGAATTGTGGAAGATATAGACATCGCAGTGGGCCGTATGGGGGAAATCTGCATTTTCAAGGGGTCCCATCAGGAAAAATGGACAAAAAATTTAAAAAATATTTTGTGTCAGGATTTTGATGCAGAATGATGGGAAATCTATACAGAAATCGTTTAAGGTACTCCGCTTGAGAATCGGATAAGAATTGTGGAAGATATAGACATCGCAGTGGGCCGTATGGGGGAAATCTGCATTTTCAAGGGGTCCCATCAGGAAAAATGGACAAAAAATTTAAAAAATATTTTGTGTCAGGATTTTGATGCAGAATGATGGGAAATCTATACAGAAATCGTTTAAGGTACTCCGCTTGAGAATCGGATAAGAATTGTGGAAGATATAGACATCGCAGTGGGCCGTATGGGGGAAATCTGCATTTTCAAGGGGTCCCATCAGGAAAAATGGACAAAAAATTAAAAAAATACTTTGTGTCAGGATTTTGATGCAGAATGATGGAGAATCTATGTAGAAATCGTTTGAGGTACTCCGCTTGAGAATCGGATAAGAATTGTGGAAGATATAGACATCGCAGTGGGCCGTATGGGGGAAATCTGCATTTTCAAGGGGTCCCATCAGGAAAAATGGACAAAAAATTAAAAAAATACTTTGTGTCAGGATTTTGATGCAGAATGATGGAGAATCTATGTAGAAATCGTTTGAGGTACTCCGCTTGAGAATCGGATCAGAATTGTGGAAGATATAGACATCGCAGTGGGCCGTATGGGGGAAATCTGCATTTTCAAGGGGTCCCATCAGGAAAAATGGACAAAAAATTTAAAAAATATTTTGTGTCAGGATTTTGATGCAGAATGATGGGAAATCTATACAGAAATCGTTTAAGGTACTCCGCTTGAGAATCGGATAAGAATTGTGGAAGATATAGACATCGCAGTGGGCCGTATGGGGGAAATCTGCATTTTCAAGGGGTCCCATCAGGAAAAATGGACAAAAATTTAAAAAATATTTTGTGTCAGGATTTTGATGCAGAATGATGGGAAATCTATACAGAAATCGTTTAAGGTACTCCGCTTGAGAATCGGATAAGAATTGTGGAAGATATAGACATCGCAGTGGGCCGTATGGGGGAAATCTGCATTTTCAAGGGGTCCCATCAGGAAAAATGGACAAAAAATTTAAAAAATATTTTGTGTCAGGATTTTGATGCAGAATGATGGGAAATCTATACAGAAATCGTTTAAGGTACTCCGCTTGAGAATCGGATAAGAATTGTGGAAGATATAGACATCGCAGTGGGCCGTATGGGGGAAATCTGCATTTTCAAGGGGTCCCATCAGGAAAAATGGACAAAAATTAAAAAAATACTTTGTGTCAGGATTTTGATGCAGAATGATGGAGAATCTATGTAGAAATCGTTTGAGGTACTCCGCTTGAGAATCGGATCAGAATTGTGGAAGATATAGACATCGCAGTGGGCCGTATGGGGGAAATCTGCATTTTCAAGGGGTCCCATCAGGAAAAATGGACAAAAAATTTAAAAAATATTTTGTGTCAGGATTTTGATGCAGAATGATGGGAAATCTATACAGAAATCGTTTAAGGTACTCCGCTTGAGAATCGGATAAGAATTGTGGAAGATATAGACATCGCAGTGGGCCGTATGGGGGAAATCTGCATTTTCAAGGGGTCCCATCAGGAAAAATGGACAAAAAATTTAAAAAATATTTTGTGTCAGGATTTTGATGCAGAATGATGGGAAATCTATACAGAAATCGTTTAAGGTACTCCGCTTGAGAATCGGATAAGAATTGTGGAAGATATAGACATCGCAGTGGGCCGTATGGGGGAAATCTGCATTTTCAAGGGGTCCCATCAGGAAAAATGGACAAAAAATTTAAAAAATATTTTGTGTCAGGATTTTGATGCAGAATGATGGGAAATCTATACAGAAATCGTTTAAGGTACTCCGCTTGAGAATCGGATAAGAATTGTGGAAGATATAGACATCGCAGTGGGCCGTATGGGGGAAATCTGCATTTTCAAGGGGTCCCATCAGGAAAAATGGACAAAAAATTTAAAAAATATTTTGTGTCAGGATTTTGATGCAGAATGATGGAGAATCGATATAGAAATCGTTTGAGGTACTCCGCTTGAGAATCTGATC